TTTCATATTTCTAGACGTAAAATTTATAGCTTTGTTCATGATAACTTTACTATCCAATTAATAAATACACCACACCTAATGATTCTGATAAAAGGCCCTAGTGTCGCATTTCTAAGTTAGGGTGTATTTCGTGGAAATCCGTTGTCATTTCCTCGTGATAGTGTTACAAACAGATTGATAATCGATAGGTACATTTCTAACATGCTTTTATTTAATTACTTTGAATTTGAGATTGTATTGGTAACGTTGATATAATAGTATATCTTGTTCAAAGTTCTCTGAGTGGGTATGTCTGTTTCACATACTTCTTTCGCGAAGCAGTTTTTTTTCCATTTTTTTTTATTGTAAGTTAGTTTGTATTTTTATTTGAAGAGTGAGATGGCAGTAAAATTATAGAGTATGACCAGGATTTACCATTCGATTGCTTAGGGCCCAACCTTGGATAGGAGCACCGCGCACTTACAAAAGAAATTTAAACTATTTCATAGAGTAAAAAAAAAATTTGTATAATTTGAATCCTCAATGACAAATATAATATGGATTTTTATACTACTCATACATATACAAACATATAGTATTTATATTATAGTTGATGATTTTCAAACAGCTCTTTGAAATCCTGTTTAAAAAATATTCTATATTCTATCCTTGAATATTTTTAATATTTTATTTTTAACAGGGTTGGCGCCGGGATTACCTTTGCCTTGTGTCTCGACATAGACTAATGCAACCCTGGGTATGAGGGGGGAAAGGGGATTGTTAGTAATGTGGATTGATAACCCCATTGCTAGCAATGTACAATGTCAGGTCGACCTCCACGCGGTTCCACCTGAAAACCATCGTAACAAATTCCTGGTGAGCTTGTTACGATGGGCTAACTGACCTGACCTCATGCTCATCTTATCATCTTCCACTGGTGCCCCGCCAGCGTAAACCGTTAGCGCAGGTGGGTGCACCATTCCATTATCATCCAAAAAGAACCCTGGGTATGAGGGGGAAGGGGATTGTTAGTATGGGAACTAGTAACTCCCATTGCTAGCAATGTACCATGTTAGGTCGACCTCCACGCGGTTCCCCCTGGAAGCCATCGTGATAAATTCTTGGTGAATTTGTCACGATGGGCTAACTGACCTGATCTCATGCTCATCTTATGGTGCCCTCTCACATCCTCCAATGGTGCCCCGCCAGTGTAAACCGTCAGCGCAGGCGGGTGCACCATTCCATTATCATACAAAAAAAAACCCTGGGTATGAAGCTGTACTCCTATAACCACAAAATCAGCAACGCATATGGGTTCACAACTTTACAAATTCATTTTGCGATGTCCTTGATGCTGTTTATATCAATACGTTTGTCACTTTCTATACATTGACTATTTCAATTCCGAAAATAATCACAGCATAGATAAAACAAAGATTAGCTAAAAAACCAGTTCCATACAACTATTTAAGTACTTATTCTAATTCAGTGACAAATATTTAGGACTTATCTCCAAACTTCCATATTTTATTATATTTATTTTATCAGTTACAATAGAATAATATTGCGATTACCATGCGTGTTTGATTAAGCACTGATAAGGAATTGACGATAAAGAAATTATGTCAAATGGATTGTATGTTAACTGAGTGTTAAATTACAAAACTGTGATTTGTATTCACTTCACAATTCACACAGCGCTATCTAGTCCCTAGGAAATCAGAACTTGTGTTATGGGTACTAATACAACTGATATAAATAGATAGATACATTTATTTTGTAAATAAATTCTTAATGAACATAGCAAACACCCATACAATACAAATAATTATATTTATGAATGAATACAAATGTTTGTACTAGAGAATTGGAGCCGCGACCATCGGATATAAAGCGGAGTTCTAAAGCGCCGACGCCGTCATTTTAAAATCTGTATGCTAGCCTCAGATGTCGAACTGTATTTAAATCGTTCAATAAAAACAGATAATTATCACGACCGCATCACATTCTGTAATATATCTCAGTCTGAGGTCATTACAAACTATTTAAGTTTTTTTATGAATGATAATGGAATGGTGTACCCGCCTGCGCTAACGGTTTACGCTGGCAGGGTACAGGAGGATGATACGATGAGCATGAGGTCAGATCAGTTAGCCCATCGTGACAAATTCACCAATAATTTATCACGATAGTTTCCAGGGGGAACCGCATGGAGGCTAACCTAACATGGTACATTGCTAGCAATAAGATCATCAATCCACCTTACCAATAATCTCCTTTTCCCCCACTATAAGTATTAACAGAGTGGTGAACACAATGTTTGATATGCGTATACCTATATTTCGCCTAATGTATTTAAATTCAACGTAGCAGGGATCGACCGTACTGCCGTAGTGTTATTTTACAAATGTTTTTTCTTCTTAATGTCAGTAATTAATAACTGTGATATGATTTATTGCTATGACTAATTCATACAAATCTGTCCAGGCTGTTTGAGTAACAAAGATCCAAATATTTTTCTTATGTGGCTAATTATATTATTATATAAGAGGTAAAGTCTGTGAGTTTGAATGTTTCGGGCAATATCGGAGACAACGGACAGCTCATTTATCGAAGAACAGTAAGATCTATATAAAATCACTCTACAATTAATAGGAATAATGAAAAAGGTTCCAAAAAGAAGAGAAATGTGACGCAAAAGATATTGCGTGGGTCAGCTTGATAGATATATACGTAGATTTAAAGAACAGTTATGAGTTTTCAATATAAACTATTTTTTTTCTTATTGAGGGTTTTGGGCTATTGTCAGGTGTTAAGACATGTAGCACTGCAACCTACTTAGATCTATTGTGCTCGCCCTTTTTCAAAGTTCGCTACCTAGGCCCGTCAGAGACAAGAATTGAAGGATATTCTTACGTGCTATGGTTTTTATCTCATGATATAGTGTATACTTTCCAAAGGAGATATTTATGTATGAGTGGGCTTTTATATGTATGTATTATTGAATCCGAATCAAAGATGTATATGGATGGAATATATTCTTATACTAAAATATATTATATAACGTATTTAATAAAAAAAAACAAGCATCAATAAGATATCATTAGTACCTACTCAGCGCTAACTTGTCGATACTGTTTATCTACAAATATACGACCATGCTAAACCTTTATTCACGAGAAAAACAATGCAATTAACACATATATAGTCAATTATTACAATTATATTATAGATAGCTACGAATACTAACTACTAATGTGTGCTTTTAACGTGAATATTTTTTTATCTATCTAATGAATTGAAACAAATTTCCTCAATTTGTTATTTTAGTAGAAAAAATGTTAGGACACTTGATACGGCACGATGAATTCATGAAAGCTATTGTTGAGGGAACGATAGGGGGAGGGGGAGGAGACCATGGCACAGCTACATCAAGCAAATTAAAGATAGAATTGGTGTCGTGACCTATCAATGTTTAAAAAGTATGATGAAGAACGTCGAAAGTGGTAAGAGCTCCACCGATAAGATACACCGAAGAGAGAAAATTAGGAAAATGAATGAGTTCTTTTAGTCCATTATAAATATAACATAATGAAAAGAGCGTCGTACCGTAGTGGTTGCTAACGCCTATAGGTTGCAGTTCAAATTTAGAGTACCCAAATCCAAGAGACGTTGCGGTGATAGGCACGCCCTCTGCAATGTTCAATTCAGGGAAAGGTGGGCGTGTCAAGTGTTACGTTCACCAGGATCTAAGTGTGTTTGAGAATAGATGTAGAAAAATAGGTGAGATAGGTCAATGTAAAACAGGTATATAAAGAATATAAAAGGAATATATTAATTACACCTACTAAAGGGAAGGAAAGTGTCAAGTCACGTGAAGGAATAATTGTGTTCATATCTCGACTAAGTTGTCGAAACGTTAATACACCACCTGAAATGGTCTGGCGCCTGAAATAAGTACCCATGCACGCTGACGACTTTGTAGTACAAAGAAAGGTCACTAAAACTTTAATGATGATAAAGTTATGTAAACCTATACATTTATTAATCGCTATTATCATTTGAACTACTTCGACATACCTAATCTATGTATAGTTTACTCTATAGGTACGTCCAACAGAATATCCAAAACTAATTAAATATTTCCGACTTGGTTCCTAATCCAGATCCCAATGACTAGGTATATATATATAGGATTTGCTGTAGACTACTGATTGACTTTATAATAAAGTATATTTTTATTATATTAATCCCTCATCTTAGGCCTCATAAGGATTGTAATTTCCAAATCTTTAAGAACATCTTAATAATAATAATTTTCAAAAACACCACAAGAGCTATTATTTACTATTACATAAATGCAAATTACAATTGATTTTCTGTAAGATAGTTTCATTATTATAATTCCATTAATTAAAGGTAATTCATTCATTGTGTAGATTTTTAGATAAATATACCCACAATTTTGAAACAAACAATAAAAAGTATGTAACAAACAACTCACTACCAATATTGTCATTCACAAAAAATTCAAACAAACCTGCATCCCTTCTTTCACTCCTTAAGGTGTGAACATTCCATAAAATACTTTCTCATGTTTGAAGGAATCTTTTTATTATTGTAAGTTGATAACTTGTTGTTTAAGTTTTAGTGGATCCGTCGGTCAGTTAGAACAAATCTTTTTATATAGAAAAGAACTATATCATTTAATGACATGTTTACAATGTAGTTTATACTATATGTCAATGAATATGAGAATAAATGTTACATTAATAAATATACCTACCTCATTCTTGATTATTATCTGAATTAATTAGCGACAGCAATCGTAATGACCTTGTGTTACCAGTTTACCGTACGCATACCTGCACTGTTCTCTTCCGGAGTTTATTCGGTAGTAAGTTACTAACATTAATATTTACAACACTTGTACCCTCTTTTCAAGATAACTCATGATACAGACATCATACAATACACCACATCCATACACCACCGCGGCACTTAACATGTATTACACTCACCGGTTTCTCATGCAGAAGCAGTACACCTTCAGTCATTTTCTAATATATGATAAAACCGCCGTTCTTCGTGCGGCGATGGCTGACATCTGTAACAAGAGGCCACCGAGGTCACATGAGGCGCATATTCTGATACCGACCCGTCATGGCATGCGGCGACGTCAAACAACCTCATTAGGTGATAGGTGCTCACTTGTGCAGCAGTCCTCTGTACTGATGATTTTGGAGAAAATGCATGAAGTCGGATCTTCGTAGTCAGGCGGGAAATCAAACTCGCGGCATTTCTGACAAGGAGGCACCGGCAAGGTTTGTTTATCACTGAATGGCGCGAAGCTGCAGGAGTGAAGGCGGTGCGGAGCGGTGCGCGCGCGACGGTGACGTGCCGCGCGCCGCGCTCGCGCCCGCGCCCGCCGGGTGACGGGTGCCACGGCTAATCAAGTTACGTTCCGTTTCACGTCTCTATTTGATGCTCTTGTAAACCGCAGAGATATATATATTATAGAAATATATATTATAAAATATTATGAAATATATAAATGACAACCATTTAAATTATTCTGTAATACTTTCTTTTTAAATGACTAATTATGTACGATAAACAGACATCAATAAATAATATCTGTTGGTTTAGGAATCAACATAATTTTTAATTATTTTTAGGGGCCTAGTTGAATATTGAACTTTTAATTTTATTGACTTTACAGCCATAAAAAAAATATAATTTACCTTTAAGGCGGTAGGCCTCAGTTGTCCGTTTCGTCACAAAAAGGAGACAAATGGACATACAGTAAGACACAATTTTGGATTTAGAATTTTCATTTTATAAATTTGAATTCATAGAAGTCGTAGAAAATATCAATGATATCTCTAGAAAGGATATAGGTTTCATATTAAATTTCATTAATCAATTCAGCTGATTCGCCATGAAAAGATAACAAACAGACAGAAAGGTAGTCTCACTTTCTCAATTACTATGGACTACTTTTCTTATTAATATACTCATATAATTAAGAACTCGAATAATTTCTTCTTCTTTTTTCTGTCTGTTTGTTCCGGCTAATCTTTGAAATGGCTGGACCGATATAGACGGGACTTTTTTAGAGGAAGCTGATGTAATAAGGAATAAATTAGGTTACTTTTATTTTAGAAAAATTACGTTAAATCGTGGAATTTAACGTAATTTTTCTAAAATAAAACGACGAAGTCGCGGTAACAGCTAGTCGCCATTAAAAGTATTTACCTCTATCTATTTTACACCAGGCGTCGCCACGAGCGGACTGGAGTAACAGGTCATCAATATCAATGTTGATAGATGCCGGGGATTTGTTCAACTACCGTCATTAGATTGTCCGACGATAAATCGCGATACACAGTGCTCATGGTATCAGTTCACTTATTGACCGATGCTACAGAACTTTGTTTAAATTTATTAATCATTGTATTCCACGCAGATAATTTTAAAACATCTTCCTGGTTAAAATGGGGGATTTATTTATTTCTAAGGCCTCCCGTACCTTTCGTGGATAATAGTGGCGATCAATGGAAAATACGAGTACATAGATTTAAAAGATCGCTTGCTGAGGTACGTTAACACACACCTTCACCGCTCGTGTTTCTCTCCGTACCCAATCAAATCTGGTAGGACCCAGCTAGTGCAGCTTTAGATACATTACTAGACAGGCCTCAGGCCTCAGGCCAAGATCTTTTAAAAAATTGTAGTGAAATTTCGCTAGTATACCCCTCACTCCCACTTCGATCGCATATAAATTACCCACATAGCCATTTTTAGTCCATGGTACAGTGAGATTTACGAGTACTACATGTTCAGTTTTTTCGAAAATAGGAATATCCATATATCGTCTGGATAATGAAACACCTAAATCTTCTGTGATTTTATGCTTTTCATACGTGTTCAATTGTATATTACGTCGCAAAAACCCGAAAATTGCTTTTCAATTGATTGAATTGTACAGATTTGTTACAATGAAGACTACGCTTTTTGAAATTAAAAAATCTTCTCCAAAAGAAAAACAGTTCAAAATTCCATATGTTCTATGACCCCATCAGATTCGACTGTAAGTAGGAAAATTGATCTAGATGTCTTTTATCTATATTATTATATGTACTTATACAATTTTTAATATTTTACTTAGAAAAGCCCGCTTATATTGATAGATAAATAATCATGTAGATAATATCTGCTATCTGAACCTCTTTCCAAAACATGTGTCATATAAATAACGTGAATTTAAGCGCTGATCATCATTTGTACTGCAATCATTAGATTTGTAACAAAGCCTTAACTCGGTTTTTTTTACCATGAAATGTAAGTAAATTAATTAATTATAAATATAATAGATATATATATTACTTATTAATTACACCTAAAAATTATTATATACGCAAGTGAATTAAATGTTTTTATAGTTTTTACTAATTTCCCGTCTGTTAAATAAGTAGCTACTCGCAGGCTGCTGTTGTCAGTATAAGTATATCTATTATTATTATATTTGTTTTTTATAGATAGTTTACTAAAGACTCCACAGAATCACAGAATGTTTGTGTCGTATACTGAAACACAACAAACTAATATTATTTATTAGTATTTTGTGCAAATACATATCAGATTTTTGTACGGGAAAAAATAGATATATGATTGAAATATGTATAAATTAGGCCTATATAATTTCAATTGCATAAGGAATGAAAATTTAATCGTATAAGAACCTCCTCCGTCCATGTTACAGATTTACATAACTTCTTATTCTTTTTCTACAGATTTACTTCACTTCGCAAATTAGGAACCGATATAATATTACCTTTTCTTAATGGTTTTGAATTGTAAGACTATTCTAAATATTATATAATTAAATTGCAGATTTATTTAAAAATAATAAGCCGTATTTATTTTATGAAAATTGAAGTCGTTTTGTATAAAACTAATAAAGGAAAATTAATTTTAAATGCCTATATGTCCTTAAACCTTATTTTTTTCATTTCTCAATAACTTATTTTATTTTCTTATTTTAAGCACTTCATTAAATATAGTATATATTTTTGTATACTACTTATATTTATTAATGCACAAAATATAATAATTGTTTCAGATACAATACTCTTGTTACTCAGCGCGGTAGCACTGGGCAGTGGCGCAATACTGACCGCTAGTAATGCCAAAAATAGCCCCGAAGAAGCAGCCATAATTTGTGGCGCTGAAGGTTCACATGGACAACTGATAGCTCACGAGAACTGCAACCAATTCTATGAATGTGCATTTGGATATCCCGAAGTACACACCTGTTACGAAGGGTTGTTTTTCAACCCTGAAAAGGAGTATTGTGACTGGCCGGAGAATGTGAATTGTGTCCAGTGAGAGGTTCTCACAAAAGTTGAAGAAGAGAAGAAATTGATGGCATGCCAGTAATCGTAGTTAAGAAGGTTTATTATAAAATCACACGTAACATTATTATTAAATAATATAATATAATCTTTATTCAAATAAACTTAATTTTAAGCACTTTTAAATAGTTTGTTTGTTTTTCAACCTACACCTACATTCCGAATGCGGATTCAACTAAGTAAAATGGGCAAGAAACTTCATTATTTGCCGTGCTAAGTCAGGATTCTAATAAGAAAAGACGCTAAGCAAATTCTTATAGTATAAACTGTATTGGTATCTTGGCATTTCCCGAGGCTTTATTTAAACGGAAGTCGTTATCTCCTATCACTTTTGATTTCCGGAGAAGCATTAACAAAAGAGATTTCGTTTGAAACTTCTAACTTGATTATTTTTATCATTAGCAATTTAGTATCCTTATCTGTAACAAATATGAGAGATATGTCATTTCATCATTTTAACAAACAATATTGTTATCGATTATAGGAATATAATCAATACCTACTAGCTTAAAAACAGACCTTCACGACTTATATGGGGATCTTGGGACTAGATCATGTTGTGCGTATTGTCCAGATTTTCATTTAGTTTGAAAATCGTTCAGTTTCAGCGTGTACCTAATCGACCTAAATTTTTAAATTTACGACAGTATTTGAAACAATCGATACCTACCCAGTCACCACAATGTTTGATTACATATTATTAATTTATAATCAATATTAGTGTCATCGTATTAATAGGTGTCTATAAAATGACAAAGTAATCCAACTCATATGAGTTGGATTACTTTGTCGATAAATAAATTACAAACCTTACAGCAAATTGTGTCAAGACCGCGCATTAATGCTATTAATTATATTAGATATCTCCATATTAATTCATAAAATAATATAGATTGGTATCTACTATGTTCTACAATGTATGAGCCCAAGACATAATAAAATATCTTACATAGATTTTTAATACAATCATTTAATTTATATCGCAAATTTTACTAAACTTTAACACACAACTGAACTAGCAGAGGATGAACAAATGTTATAGATTCAATTTCTTGCTATTAAACACAGCAGACGCATAAACATATAATATATTTAAACGTATCATCCTTAAGTTTTAAAAACCCACCTCATACTGGTAAAGCCAAATCTTCGAACAAAATTATGTCGGCCAGATACGAACTCACAACCTAGGAGATCCATCTATTACTTTTTCGGTTAAACATTTCCCTATAACAGAATTGGGTCGTCCGTCGGTTATTCAGAGCGGTGCCAGGATGTCTGGAGCCGGCTGTCTGGGCGTCCCGGAGTCTGCGCCCAAGTCCACCATCTTCAGTCGCATAGCGTCAGTCCACAACAAGAGTGAAAACTATTTACTAACAATACAAGAAATTATAATTATTTAAATAGACAATTAAATATGAATCTTCAGTTATTCATTGTTATTATCTTATTATCATATAACAGTTGCTTGAAACAGAAAAATCTCAATAAACAAGAAATAAATAACAAAACTTCGAGTGTAAATAAAACAGTCACTGTTATCCCTAAGAAAGTTAACGTAACTGAGAAAAAACAAGAAAAAATTAAAATACCTGCGATTAAGAAAATAAAACCTCCGCCTAAAATGATATCACTTGACTTGTAAGTATAAAAAAACTTGTAAATTAAATTATATCTGTGAAAGAAAATACTATAATGAACATTGATAACAGGGTACAAGAGTGGGCCCAGAAAATATCAGAAAAGTTATTGGAGCAAGAAGAAAGCGTGGTCCATAGGAAAGCATTACTACAGAAGTTTTCAGACATTAGTATAAAAGAGCGCAATGGATCAACAATAGTTCGCAAAATGGCAAAAGATCTGGAAGAGCTGCTAGTGAGGCGGATGCAAGCCGCGGAGAACATTATGCGTCGTGCTGAGGAGCTTGCTAATTTGGACAACGAGCCGCCAGATGACTACACCTTCGACTACAGTGTGGTTAGTACACGTGACGTATTTTAATCATCTCGCCTAATGAGTAATATAGCAAGGTGTAAGAACATATTTATACTGTCTGAGTCATAATAGGCACAATATTTTCCTTCTATTACTACGCTGGTCTGGCGAATTATGGAGTTTTTTTTGTTCTAAGTAATTCTAAGGCAACAGTTGTTTGACTACATAAGCTTGCGTAATATATAAACACAGACAAACCATGCTTAACGATATTTATTTTTAAAACTCGGCTTATATTATGAATACACAAAATATACAGTACATATATATGTATATACAAAATTACATGTAGTCCCAAAATACCTTTATAATTATTATTTTTTGTTTTACTTTTATTATATTATATGACAGTACATGTAGGCTTATAATTATTTATTTAATTTATATAATATTATTTTCTGTGCATATTTATTTCTTTTCATTTTATATAGTTGTTCTTTAAAAATATTAAGATTAGTGTAATAAATAAATTAATATAGAATATTCTTAAAAGGACCTGAACGTATTGAAGAAAATGGAAGTGCCAGAAGACGAGCTTATAAAACCCTACGATTGTAGAAGTTTGAATAAGGTTAACCTAGGTAGAAGTACGCATTTCGACGCTGAAATATCGATGGACACTTCCAGCGTTTATGTGTCACCAGAGGTTTTTGACTGCAGTGAGTACCTAAATATTGATATAAACATGAACAAACAAACTCTACCAAATGCAAGACTTAATAAATCTTGGCTTAAATTTAAAAACATATAAGTATTAAAATTTTTAATACTCTTAGCTTTGATACTCATTGATTTATGTTTGTCATTAAATTTATGCCCCTAACAAATATTAGTAGTGAACTTTAAAAGTGACTCCCCTTTTAATAACATTGAAATGGCTTCCTTGATTATGCATAAAGACTATTAAATAAGAAAAATAGTAAAATATACATTTTAGAAACTCTTTTTTGTCAGATCCTGATGTGATTAATCATCTGCACTGGTCTGAAGGTTTGTTATCAACGTTCAAAGAAAATTATGCTCAAGATTCAACTACGGAATTCCAATATTTTTGTAGCGCGAAAGGATTTTTGCGACATTATCCTGGTAAGCTTATTAAAAATATTCTATTTTTAATACCTTTTACGTTAATATTATATTTATTTATTATAGTATAATACTAATAGTATAATATAGTTTGATAAAAATTTACATCATGAGCGTAAACGCATGATTTTTAGACAAAAGCATCGAATTCCCGAACCTACACAGATCCGTAGCACATTTAAGTGCTACGTATTACGTAGCACGAATTTCTTTTTACACTAGCTGGAGCCTGTAACTTCGTGTCTACCCTTATAACTTTTTGTTTGTAAATCGATTGAAATGGAAGAAACGCTAAATTTGTAGTGAAACTTATCCTTTATCATCTCGCTTATAAAAGTAGTGTATATACCATTGCACGGACAATCAGACAATTTCTATAAGTCATTGGGTTCTATCGTTCATAAGGTTTCCTAATAATAGTTTTTTTGTATATTTTCAATGTATACATATACTTCCGTTATAGGTAATTTCATTACATTTACAGATAATATTGCCCATAGAACAGTTTCAGAATTATTATATAGATCATATCTTTTCACTGGACTGACATTAAAATTTTATTTGTTAAAAGAATATATGCACGAAGTTCATTCTCACAAAATACACAGCCACAATTAATCTGCTTTCAGCTGCGCTGTGGGATAGTATGTATAAATTGAAACTAGATGCTGACAGTGTATATGATTGCCGCCTAAGGCCCTGGTACGTGAGCGCCGGTGGAGCTCCCCGTGACGTACTTGTGTTGCTGGACGCTACAGGATCAATGTCCAATTCAACTAATCAAGTCATCGCCAAACATTTCTTATTGGCCTTACTGAACGCCCTCACAGATGACGATCATGTCAACGTGTTACGATTCAACATCAATGTTGAATCTTTGATACGTTGCTTCAATGATAAGTTTGTACCGGTTAGTACGAATATTTTTTTTAATTAGCTGAATTGGTTTGTGAAAAACAACCTTTGGTTTTCCATTCTTTAAATTCATAATCACACGATACAAACATTTGTACAGTCTGTGCATTTTTATGTACATTATATATATTTACAAAAAAAAAGTATTTCTATCAGTGTGTTAGTACCTATCAATAGTGGCTAGAGCTCGACTCGATGCTTCGATTGGAATTAAATAGCGCTGTGGGAATTGTCCAGATGAGACTAATAATATTCTCATTATTTACTATTCTTAATATTTTTAAAATTATATGTTTGTATATTATTATAATTATACAGGCAAACCACGTCAACACAGCTGCCATCGCAACAAAAATGGACCAATACGCTTTGCTAAACAAGACTGACATGAAAATGGTATTCCGGTATGCCGTACAGATGCTGCAGAGCCAACGTAGTATGAAGGATCGACCAGCTTCCTGTCAACAGGTCATCGTCTTAGTTACTGACAGTGTTGAGAGTAACTACACAGAGCTGCTGAAAGATTTGGATCCCTTAGGACGTATTAGGTCTGTAAACCATCTTCTCTGATATAAAATCAAATGTTCTGCTTGAATTTAGTGTTATTTATATTATCAATCAAACCACACCCCAATAGATATTTTTAAGTTGTTATAATTTTGCCATAGTTTTTATAGTATCTCAGAACAACTGTTATATCGCCATCTTGTTCCAAGTCAACGAAACCTTGTGTTATAAGGTACTACACAACTGACAGAAATACTCAAATACATGTTTTATTGTAAACACACATATAATATCTATACATAGAAAATATCCAGACCGATATAATAAATCTTAATCATGAATAATGTACAGAAAGCCATATATGAGGAATCGATACCGCAACTATCAAGTAGGGTGGTGTGCTAAACCGCTAGACCACCATAGGTTATATTAAAATTATGGTAAATCTATTACTTCAAGGGACAAGCGACGAATGTCGACGAAACTACCCATTGTCAGGTGATGAAAGACTTAACAACTTTATCCTGGGATCAGACCTTCACATATCCAGCATAGTTACATATATGGTTTACGTTAATTGCTTCATTACAGGAAAAATGAATTGTCTATTTGTATTTATACGATTCAGTTGACTAGTGCCTTTGTTGGTATGCGAGTATGTACAGACAAGAAGTCTCTAATCACTTTTCATAATTTAAATTCAGACTTTTCACTATATGGCTTCACGATCCTTTCGGATTGCGCGACAATACACGTGAATACGGTGATATAATATCTTGCGACCGGGACGGATACTTCGCTGAGCTTAGTACGGACGCTGACGTGACCGAGCAAGTCATGAGGATCCTTCGCATTCTGGAGCGGCCTCTAGTGGCGCAGCGTGAACATCGACTCAGAGTCTTCAGCGATGTATACGCTCACGTTGAGGTAAATTTATATTTTTAATTAACTAGCTGTGCTCGGGGTTTGACCCGTGTGAAATTCATAGCCCACGTGTTATTCTGATGTATAAGCTATATCACTGTAAAGGTTCAATAAAAACCGTTCAGTAGTTTAGTGACACAATCTCTCCTTAGCTTGGATAGCTGGCTTAGCTGACTGGTAGAGAATGCTATCAGGCATTAAGTCCGCCATGCATACAATTTTGTGTAAAAAAGCATAAGGAAATAGGACAGTTTTTGCTACTTAACTACGTCAGCTTAAACTATCCTTGTAATGTATTTCCCTACTTTATATCGTTTATACATAAATTCAAATTCAAATTCAAAAATCATTTATTCATGTAGGACATTTTGGCCGCTTATGAACGTCAAATTTTTACATTATAATTTTATTTTTTTCCCTACCGTCCAGTTCGGTATATAGATCCAATTGAGAAGAACTGGCAAGAAACTCAATTGAATTACTTTTTTTTTAAAGCCAGTTTATTTAATGTATATTTATATAGGTGTCTATGTCTAACATTAAATGAAAATTCAGTGCATGAACAACTATTGCCATGCACACTCGTCATTCAAGTAATCGTTTAGTGAGTAATAGGCTTTGCTCAGTAAATATGATTTAACAGATGTTTTGAATTTATTTAAGGGTAATTCCAACATATCCTTTGGTATCTTATTGTAAATTTTTATACCTATTCCCATAAAAGACCTATTAACTTTTTCTAAACGATACTTGGGGACAGCAAGTTTGTCTTTAAATCTTGTATTAATATTATGAATATTGCTGTTTTTTGGAAATAAGTCAAGATTTTTATGAACATATAGGATATTTGAATATATAAATTGAGAAGCAACGGTGAGAATATTTGCCTCTTTGAATTTCTCTCTTAATGAGTCACGACTCTTCATACAGTAGATCGCTCGAACGGCACGTTTTTGTAATATGAATATATTTTTAATATCTGCCGCTTTTCCCCATAGTAATATTCCATAAGAGAGTAAACTATGAAAATAACTAAAATAGACTAATCTAGCAGTATCAGTATCAGTGTACTGTCTGCTGAACTTAGTTTCGCTGCAAGGCTTTGAATTTGTGCACCCCATTGTGTTTTATTATCTAGTGTGATTCCTAGAAAGACAGTAGATTCTATAAATTCCAGAGATTCGTCATTTAATTTAATATTGCAATTAGTATTAAAACTTTTAGACAGAGAGAAATTAACACATTTTGTTTTTTTAGCGTTTAACATAAGATTGTTAGTTGTAAACCAGTGCAGGAGACGCCGCAAAGCACTATTTACATCGTCATAATTATTAGTCATTCTATTAACTTTAAAAATCAATGAAGTATCGTCTGCAAATAATACTATGCCGCATCTATCCTGCATGGCATATGGGAGATCATTAATGTAAACTAGGAATAAAAATGGACCGAGAATAGATCCTTGAGGTACACCCATTTGCACAAGTGACCCGTCAGACGTAGCGTTGCTAACCTTCACTTTCTGTATTCTATCAGATAGATAAGATTTTATTAAATTTAAAGCATTGTCTTTGACGCCATAAAAAGCAAGTTTTTTTAGCAATGTATTATGATCAACGCAATCAAAAGCCTTAGAAAGGTCACAAAAAACACCTATCGCATCCATTTTAGTTTCCCATAGCAAATACGTGTCTAAGCATACCTATATTGAACGACCTAAAAACCGAATTGACTATTGTATTAAATTATTTAAATTGAAATAACTGACAAGCTGCATAAGGATTATTTTTTCAAAAATTTTACTGAGTGCTGGGAGTATAGATATAGGTCTATAATTTATTGGGTCACTTCTATCTCCAGATTTAAAAAGCGGTATGATTTTACTAATTTTCATTATGTTAGGAAATTTACCTTCATCTATACATTTATTGAAAATAAAAGCAAGAGAGGGCGCAATAATTTCCATTATACTATCTAGTATTTTAACAGATATACCCCATAGATCCTCTGTTTTTTTATTATTAAGCTGTTTGAATATTTTCATTATTTCTACTGATGATGTATGTCTAAAGTTAAATACAGCTGATGACTTGCTAACATTGTCTGTTAGTAAAGTTTCAGCAGCAGACGGGGAAGATTTTAGAGCCTGTGTCGTAATTAATGGAATATTAGTGAAATAAGATTCGAATGTATCCGCGACCTCTGTGTCGGAATTTACCAATTTGTTATTAATATTTAAAGCTATTTTACTATTTTGAAAATTAACTTTTCCAGTTTCGCTATTTATTACTTTCCAAGTGGCTTTTATTTTATCTTTAGATTTAGTTATTATTTTACCTAAATAGAGAGACTTAGCTGTATGACAAACCTTTTTAAATATTTTCGAATAAGATTTTACATGTTCATGAAATAAGGGATCGGATATATAGCTTCGTTTTTCGTAAAGTTCGTAAAGATTAGCCCTAGACTTATAAATACCAAACGTGGCCCAGTCACAAAACTTTGATTTTACACTAGTTGAAAAGGTTTTTGTTTTAAATTCACTGCTAGCTTCATGTTCAATTAAATTAAAAATATGTTCACATACAATGTCCGGGTCATATTGAGGTACTATGACACTATATATTTTATGTTCAATTTTATTTTTAAAACGTGCCAAATTCTTTTGTGTTATTTGTCTGCATGTAATTGTTTGAGTCCCTTTGGATCCCTTAGTTTCAATTATAACTTTTTGTCCATAATGATCAGATCCAAGACAGTCGAAATTCATTTTCACCTTTACTTCACAATTACAAAAAACATTATCTATACAAGTGGCAGAATTTCCTGCGACCCTATGGGTTCTAAAAAAAGATTGTGCAAATTAAATGATTTAAATAAGTTAATCAATCTTAAGCTTATTGAGCATTCCGATAATAAATCAACATTAAAATCGCCACATACAAATAATGTTTTATTCCTCCGTGCGACTCGTCTCAATGCTTCCTCCATAGCCAGTTCAAAAGAATCAAAACAAGCCGATGGCGGACGATAAACGCAAATTATTATACAAGTAACTAATTCTACGCAAGATAGTTCAATTGTTTGCTCAATAGAAATATTTACAATGTCTTGACGGTTTTTATATTCTACATCATTTTTTAAAATAATAATTGACCCGCCATGAATGGCATTGTTCCTAGCAAAAAAACTAGCTATATTATAATGTTCAAAAGGACAAATTATTTCATATTGTTTAAGCCAATGTTCTGTCAGACATAACACCCGTACATTGTTAGATTCTAAGAATAGACTTAATTCTAATTCTTTGCTGGAGAAGCCACGAATATTTTGATGAATAATGACCATATCCTGTGGCTTAACCAATGTCGTAGATGTTAGTTTAAATTAACACATGTCACATTATTAGTATTATTACTAATATTACTAATTAAATCCGTTATACTACTTATAATGGGATCATAAATGTTATACGCTAGTAAACTAGCAATAGTCTTTTTTTGTTTTTTAGGAAGATAAAAATTACCTCCCGTCATATAATAATTTGTAACAAATTTGTTACTTTCAAAATAAAATATATCATTACAATGATATGTCATCGAATAAATTAAATTATTTATACTATAAATGAACTTATTCTGTTCATTAGTCAGGGATTGAGAGTAGGGAAATGCGCATAATAATATTTTACCTATACCAAGCTCCACTATATTATATAATGATTTTATTAAATTAACTATATCAGATTTACGCATATGCAAACAATTCCCTAACGCTATTACTAGGGTCGTGTGAATATCATATTTTTCATTTACTATATTTCTTATAATCTTATATATACCTGATCCCGGAAAACAATTATTTATTACTTGTTGCGAGAGACAGTTCGATAATAAACTACCTAAATCCTTGCCAAATTCATCTGAATAAATAATTGTTCTCCTGATGGTTTCATGTACAGTGCTGCATTTATTTACTTTTGTACTGTTTCGTGTGGGTAAACATGAAACGTCTGGTTCCGTGACGGATGAGATATCAATGTTCAACTGATTATGGTGGGACGGTTGGATATAGTTATCAGACTCTGGTGAATTACAGTGACATCTATCCGTAAGAGAAACAAACCGCTCCATGTTGTAGTTACCTAATTTTATTAAATTATCCAACTGATCAGAATATTCATGTATTTCATTCTTAGCTGATTCGTATTTCAAAGATAAATTGGACAACGAGTTCTCTAATAGTTTAATTTTTTGTGATAATTCATCTATTTCTAAATCTTTGTTATATATTTTTTCTTTACAATTATTTAATTCTATTGATAAGTCAATTTTTTGCTTCCTAGTAATAATTGATTTTAAACACTTTTTATGACTTTTCACTAAATTTTCTGATTTTCGAATAAATTTATTTAATTTTACATATTTTTTTAACTTATTACTACTATTAATAGGTACTTTATTAGGACTATAGGAGCTTGGTGTATTTGTCAAATCTATGGTCACAAGGGGCAGAGCAGATGTTTGATCACTAGTAGTATTTAACATTTCTGTATACAGATCCATGGTCTCGTTATAACTACTCAACCGCCTGTGATCCAACAAAGATTTATTTTGTGATTGAACTTCCTCAAGGTGCCGCTCTAGATGAGTGATTTTCTGCAATGCTGACTCATATGTGTCTCTGCACAGATCATATTTATTTACAATTTCTTGAAGTTTTTCATTTTCGATATGTAGAACTTCAAAGTCTGTACTGATCTTCACTAGGTCATTCTTCAGAGCCACATATTTATCAGACATCAACTTAATTTCAATCTCACTTTCATCTCGTTCCTGTAATAAGGCCTTATTTAATTCATTGGATTTTTTTAACTCTAAGAGTGTCACCTTGAGCTTAGCATCAAGATCACATGCTCTGCGGGACATCATTTTTAATTATTATGTTAAATATCTACGAAACAAGACAACAATGAATATTATTCAATAGAAGAAATACAGTGTTGAAAGTGCGCTATTTCCCTTCAATAAAATAATTTAATAATAAATATGTAAATAAATAAATATTGTTAGTAAAAACTTTAAATACCAATACTGTTACAAAAAAAGAATTAATCTTATATATTACCACTACAGTAAATATGCCTTAATTTGTCATATGATATCTAGCAATGGCTATGGATTACTAATATTGTATTGTTATTTAATCAAATACATAAGTTTAGTTTCGCACAGCTATTTGGAATATATTATCAATATGATAATAAATAAATTTTATGAGCTGTATTGTAATAACAATAATATTTTATGTTAGTGGGTAGTTTTTTTTTTTCCTCTCAACAACAACAACCGATCTTCACTATCGAATATTTAACTTTAATATTATTGTTTATTTGTAAACGGATATAGTAATAGTGAAGTGTAATAACTGTATTTAATTATTAAAGGAGTCAATAGAAATCCAAGACTTCTATTGTAAATTACCAATACTTTGACAGTTGGCGGTCCCACAAATTTTGTAACGTAGATTTTTGTCACAAAGAAATCACAGATTTGCACACCAACAATAATCGACGTTACTTATGCCCAAAACTCACTGATTATATACACTAGTATCGTTATTTCACAAGTAATAAATTAAAAACAATAAATAAATAAGAGCCAACTGACAAAGACTGTTATCGGCAGTGTTGCCAGAGAGAAAAAAAGTATATTTGTTATTTAGATTTAATTATTAAATATTTAACTTTCTAGGATCCACGTCGAGCAGAATACTATTGGTCACAGAAAGAGAATGCCGAGCAAGCCTACCGATATAGTGAGCTACGTCGCGATAAGAAAAATCTGCTGAGCAATCATCGGCTCAATCAAGACTACATGCATCAAGAAAGTCTTGTATGTATTTCATATATAAAAACGTTGTGCTGAAGAAGTTTGTTTGTAACGAGGCGATAAAAATTAAACTATTTGCATACAAAAATATAGTACATACCTACATATTTGTTTTTCTAGGAAAAATATGGCTATTATTATGAAGGAGAAGACATTAACTATCGTCTCCAGATAACAGTATCTGTGCCTGTGTTTGACCACATCACTGTTGAGGTAAATATATTGACATAAATAAATAACAATTTACATGTACTACAAGTGCTAAACAACTTATAGAAATACGTGAAAACGTATTTTTATCAATGTAACTATAGCCATAAAACAGTAACAGTAAAATAAATATTTGTACGTATTGTGTCGTATAATAGCGCTCCGATATGAAGGACAAATTCAGTAATATATTTCAATAAGTAAAAACATTTGTTTCTTTTTTTTTTGTATCACATAAAATCCTAAAATCCTGATTCATATATTTTTTATTTTCAGAATATTACTAAAATATTGGATGAGGTTAGTGAATATTTTATATTTAGCCTTACCACTTAGGTACATGTAGTCCTCATTAATGCATTTGTTAATTTCATACTGTAAAACTATTCAGTAGGTATAAATATTAAATGTAATAGTTTTGATTAAACTAGTGTATGATTTAAATATCTAAAAAAGCTAAAATTAACTTATTTAGACATCGTGTCAAAAATACACTCATATTTTCATCTTTTTTAGGTCTAAATAATTTTACTGTGTATAGATAACAAACTTATACCTAACTAATTACTATACGTAGCAGCAGTAGAGCTATTAAATATTATTAAATTTCGAACGATAGACAATTAGAATACCTATACATCGTCTGCATTAACGTAAACCATGACTCTTTTACAATTAAAGGAATGATGAAAGTTGATTATTTTATAAATAAGAGTTACTTCATCTCTGTGGGGACCCCTATCTTTATTCTTACATTTATGATGTAGGTATTTCATTTCGACTAAGTAAATTCTTTGTCATAATCTGCTTCAAAATCGTTAAATCGCAAGGCCTTTATGTTTATATCTGATACATCGATATAGCAGTTGAATATTTATTTAATCAATAATCAAACACATTGAAACGATCTTATCAAATATTAAATACATATCAAAATTCTGATTTTAGGAATGGCAAAGGAATTCTACTAGGACGGTAAGTAAACAACATAATCCATTTCTTAAAACATGCTAATACACAATTTATGATAAGTTATCTGAGTAGGAAAATAGACATATATAATATTACTGAGTCCTAATTATTATACAAGTTGAGCGACTCTTCTATAGATGATGGTAGAATGGAGCTGCCTTCTGTTTTATCGGTATACCTACACTGGCAGTGTAAGATGATAAAACGAGAATGAAGTGAAGTCAGTTAGCCGACGCAAATTCTCAAAGAATTTCCTTACGTATGACTTTACATGAGATAATATAAAAACGTTTTTGTTACCGTATTTTTTTTTCAGTACCCAGTGAACAGGCTACTAGGTGTGGCTGGAGTAGATATACCAGTCGATCATTTGAAGATGATACTGCCTTACCATCAGGTAACTCTAATCCATCACACTAATACAGAATCTTAAAGAGAGTATTGACATTATAATATGAAATAGATAATTTAGTTAGGAAGTAAGTACATAAATTAAAATGGTAAACGGTCCGGCGACTGCACTAATCTGACAAATGAACTGTTTAAAACATATATGTATTTGTATATATCGTTTAATATATCTAAACAAAGCTTACAAAGACATACACCTGGGCAAAGACTAGACTGACATACTCTTATGTATAGGTATACTAAGAAGAAGTTTAGTGTGGTCTTCTCTTTCTGTTTTACAGGCAGGCGCGGGTGGGTCTTTATTTCTTATTGATCATCGTGGAAACATAGTATTACATGACAATCTAAAACCTACGGTAAGTTCTAAAACCTTCCTACTTTTATTTTTTTTAATATTTACCCAACATAACGCAAAATCACGACTCTACTACCCTTTTTTAGTTTGACGGGGACATTTTGAAACCAGGATATCGCACCATAGACTTTTCTGATATAGAACAAGCGGGTATCAGTCATTTACCCAGATTTTACCCCCCAGATTGGAAAGAGGTGAGTACATTATATATCTATACATACATACATATATATGTGTATGAAATATAAGAACTGTAACATAGGTGTCCGCATAAAATTGTTATATCCAATTTAATGTAAGTTTTAAGTAATAACTACTCAATCTGCTTTAAATATCATCAAGTTTTTTATGAACAATTGCACAAATTATGACTATTATGAAAATATAATTAAACTAGCTTTTGCCCGCGGCTTCGCTCGCGTTAATTTATCCCCTTAGGGGATGCCTACGTCACAGTAGATTTATGCATGCAAAGTCTCAGCCCGATCGGTTTAAAATTGACAAAGTTTCATACAAATTTTCATCCACAATTTTATCCCCTTGGGGGTAGAATTAATCAAAATCCTTTCTTAGCGGATGCCTACATCATAACATCTACCTGCATGCCAAATTTTGGCCCGATCCGTCCAGTGGTTTGGGCTGTGCGTTGATAGATCACTATGTCAGTCACCTTTGAGTTATATATATATATAGATTGAAGAATGTCATTGTCGGTTGTAGCTTCCACATGAAATGTCAGTCACAAGCGAACTTTTTTAAACTGTAACGCAACGTAATATGGTAAACAAAGAATTAGAGTCCTAGCTCTATAGCTCAGAATCAACTTAGTTAAACGGTAACTAAGACGATGTTTACAGCACTGATCATAGTGTACAGATGCCAAGACTTACTAGTGCAAACGTTTGAGAATCAATAAGTATTATTCTCTGATCCTTTTTATAATATCAAAGGTTTAAACTTTTTACAGTTCCGTAAATCTTTGGTAATCGAACAACCACAAGGCACCAAAAATATATTATCTAAGAATATTTTTGAGGGAGGCATGCGCGCTATTGTAGAAGAGAGGGAGTATCATTGGAGGAGAGTATTGAATCACTATACCGCTGTGGTCGTCATTCCCAAGTATAATCGACGTCGGGCTGTCCCTAACGGCAGCTTCACCCAAGAATTAGCAAAGGAATGCTTGAAAACTTTATCCAGATCAGAGTTCTCCATACATCCAGATTGGTAATAAAAATTCCATATTCTATCAGACATTATCATCCAGTTTTTTTAATCAATGATAACGGAATGGTACTTGCGCTAATGGTATAAGCTGGCGAGGCACAAGTGGAGAATGAGAAGATGAGCATAAGGTCAGATCAGTTAGCCCATTATAACAAATTCATAGAGACGACCCTAGAACTATCGTGGTTAATTCCTGATACCTAGTCCACATGGAAAAACCATTTTTGATCCTTTGAATGTATTAGATGATTTAACATAATTATTGATTACCTTGTATTTACATTATTTATTTTATTCAGGCTACATGGCTCATATTGTAAATACCTAACTAACATATAGGTATATGAAATAATATTAAACTATAAATATAAATTATATCCGTGGTCACGGCACTGATGACGGCAATCTGCCACGGTATCGCCGATACACTATCTCCTTTGGCCAGTGTTCCGCCTTCATGATGGTAGTCAGCATGTTGGTGGGGACCCGGGCCACAAACGTCTTGCAACTCCCTTTGTGACTATAATACAGCTGCGTCACCCTCAATGTCTGACTACTGCTGGTCCGTATGTAGTCGACAATGTCCTGCTCCTTACACATTATGGTCGTAAATCGTAATTCATCAATGTTAACCTGAATTTTAGAAACAGAATCCTGTAATAACAATTTCTCTTTACACAGGCTGTACTGTCGCCATGTGGAACCGTATTTCGACTCTAGAAACGCTGAAGTACTTCACTTCATAAGGCGCCGTAGTGACGAACCTAACTTTGCAATGAAAAAACTCAAGCATCTGTTCTCACCAATACCACCGTCCTTGCTGGAAAAAACCTACCAATGTGAGTCTCGCTAAATATGTGTTTCACATGCATATGTAACATAACTCTAAATGCAAATAACTTATGTGTGGTATACACACTTAATCTTACTAATATTATAGATAAAGGCGAAAGGTTGTGACTAAGGATGGATGAATGGATGGATGTTTGTTACTCTTTCACGTTATGTGTTATTTTTCTTATATGTCAGAATAACACCTAGGCTACAATTTTAAAAGATATTAAATAAATTGGACGAAATATAATGATAAACGTCAAGTAAATGGGATGCGGACAAAGTTGCGCGGGTTAGCTTATGGTTTATAATTGTAGATAACTAAGATACCTATATATTATTTTGCCAACAAAATCTAAAAACTCTACTATAATCCCTTTATTGGTAGGTGACGAGGAACTAATGGCTCACATGTGCAAAGAAGCGATCGCAACGAGCCAATGGGCTGAGGATCAAAAAGACCCCGAACAAGACTCCTCTGTTCAACTTGGTTCGGTCACGGCGTTCTTCGCTAGTGGTTCGTGTCTGTTGCGTTTGTAGTAGTTAGTTTCAATGCTGAATTTGAACTTGAACTTTCAGGAAATTAGTATCTACTATGTTTCGGATAATAGTATGATGTTGCACAATTGATCGACAATGTTGAGCATAATATAAAATTAAGCTTTCACAGCACACGTCACTTGTGTAACACTGATTTTATTTATATTCGTATATAAATGAAACTGTTTTGGCGGCATGTAACTAATACTTGTGTTACTAAATGAAAAAACTACGCATGAAATTATTAAATGGGCAACTACAATAGTTTTATACTATAACACTATTGTAGCTGAAAAGAAAAAGTGCAGAATATAAAAATTTTGCGCTTATGCAATGGCATAGATGGTGTTGTGTGAATTCTTCGAGGGTATGATTATTATTGCTGTGTTCAGAGAGCGGTCTGTCGCGGTGGCAACAGTACCATGCGGCCAGCCGGCACGCGGACCCGCCGAGCGGCGCGGAGTGGGCGCGCGGGCCCGACGAGCCGTGGTACGTGCGCGCCGCCGCCGCCGCCGGCACGCTGCTGCTGCACGCGCCAGTCACGCCGCACCGCCGCCTTAGAAACGCAGACGCCATCGTCACGCCCGTTGGTATCTCCTAAACTGAAGAGGAAACCCCACAACACATGCTACGTGGTTATAGTCCACTATATCCTGAGGAGATAAAGACCATCGCTCCTAAGAATATCCTTCAATTCTTGTCCCTAACGAGTGTAGGTAGCGAACTCTGAAAAAGGGCGAGCACAATAGATCTATGTAGATCACAAGAGCACATCCAAAGAGCACTAAACATCATAGTTAAATGGTGTAAGGAAAATGAATTATCAGTAAAACCTGATAAAACAGTAATGAAGAATGCTAATAGGTATGCCAAATCGGTTGAAAATTTGGTATAGTAAAGCTTGTATGTATACAAACATATTAGTTTTTGTTTTAGTCAAAAATACCTATTAGTTTTGATTTTATAGGCATTTAAACTTACGATAAATTTCGGGTCCCGCTAACAGTCACGTGACATGTGACGTCATTTTACAACGCTCCGCTCCTCTTAGTAGTGAGTCGCCGGCGGTAGGTCAGTGGCTAAGGAGTTTGTGCATTTTGTTTTGTTTTCATCCGCGCATTACGTTAATATTCTATTAATGAAATGGATGAAGGAATCGAAAAAGGGCAATCGGATGATCTGTCTAAAATAGATGCACTAATGGTTGCCCATTATTTATCAACAAATAGTGATTCATTGACGCCGAAATGAGAAGAATAAAAATGCAAAGGTAAGTTAACTTTTCTTGCTATTTAGAAAATAATTTATCTGTTTTATTATCGTATTGCAAGTATTGCAACTCTAATAGGCAGAAGTACCAAACCTTTTAAGTATTACATTATAGACAACAAATGTGTGTTAGAGTTTTATGTATATAGATACGTATGTATGTATATAGGTGAATATAGGTACTTCTTTTAATAAATTTAACTAAACACATATATTGATTTATTGCAAATGTAGTGGGTTGAACAGATGTACTAAACCTTTAATTTGTTTTATCTTATTAATAGGCCGTTTTATTTATTTTTATTTGTTACTTATTCCAGGTCGGCAAGAGACAGCTTTGGTGATGATGTTATCGGTTACATACAAGTAAAAAGAGCAAGTGATATTTGTACGGTCAAATGTAAAATCACGCGCGTATACCGCGTACGTACCACACGTTATCGTTGCAGTTTAGAATGTAATGAAAAGGACCAAGAAGTTTTAAACGTAACTTGCGAAGATTGTGCCGCCAACAGAGGCTGTAAACGTACTATAGCATTTTTAATGTGGCTACATCGTCGAAGAGAGGACTCAACGACTGTTATCAAATTTGTTGGATTTTTTTGTGGTTATAATAAAAATACCTATTACTTTGGTGGTAGTATTTGTATATTTCGGCACAACACATGATTTCCTAGTATTTCGTTTGGTTATTTTTGAAGGTATTTATAATTTCTAATGAAACGTAAGACGACAGCACTCTCTCAGCACGCTGAGAGCGCGAGCGGACTGAGCGACTGTTGTACTATGACGTCACACCGTCACACGAGTCCGCATTGCACGTTTACTTCTATAAATAAAAAACTAATTGACGTATTGAAGTAATTCTTTCACTTATTTTTTTTTATTTTTGACAGAAAATATGGATAGCTAATAATTAAAATTAGTTAACATTCTTCATTGTTCCGTTTACAAAAAGGAAGAAACTTGACAAACTTGTCATGCCTAAAGTAAATGGAAGAATATTAGCGCCCTATTAATATTCTTATAATATCATTATTATAAGAATATTAATAGGGCGTAAGACCTTCGACCAAAAACTGACATGGAACGCACAATATGGAATAAGCCGACGGGTAGCCGGGCCCAGATGGGGAATTAAAGTAAAAACAACATATGCATGATGACTAGGGTCCTCACAGGACACTGCAAATTAAACAAGCATATGGCTAAACTAGGCCTATGCACGACAAGAATCTGCAGATTCTGCCAAACTGAAGAGGAAACGCCGCTTCACATCCTATGTGGTTGTAGCCCACTCATGCATAAACGAAATATCTCCTTTGGAAAGTTTACACTCTTTCCCGAGGACATAAAAACCATCGCTCCTAAGAATATCCTTCAATTCTTGTCCCTGACGGGTCTATGTAGCGAACTTTGAAAAAGGGCGAGCACAATAGATCTATGTAGGTCGCAGTGCTACAGGTGCTACAAACATCTGACAATAGCCCAAACAATCCAATAAAAATGTAGATCACAGTGCTACAAGTCCAAGCACCTGATAATAGCCCAAACAACTCAATAAAAAAATCTCCTACCGTTCACTACCTAATTCCACCATTAATCTTAGATAAGCGACTCTAAAATTTAAAAGAACATTAAAGTAATAAGTTGAAAACAATCTATTTTATCACTACCCATTTTACAAAGCAAACAGATTAGCGAGTAAAATTGGTAAAACTGACGTAGCCACATAAACAAATTAACAGTTAAAACATTATAAATATAAATGAATATTTTTTCAAACAAAACTTAATAATATAAGGTTGTAATTATGAAACTGTATACATTTTATTTTTATTTTGTAATATAAAGTTGTCATTTTATAGGTCGGTGCTCGAGGAGAGTGGCTGACTGCAGCTAGAACCCTTGGACACCCAGAGAAAGGCATAGTTGGTGTAGCCGGTTATCACTTTTATCCGCAACATTTGGAGGATTTTCTTGATCTTATTACTAATTTTCCTGTAAGTGTCTATATGAACAGGGTATAGATATAATCTATGTATATCTGGATAGTATTGTTTAAAATTATTTTTAAATCGTCAAATTTCAATTAATTCGTAGTGTAGTTTTTATAAAATACATTAAATTAATCACTCATTGAGAATTATAAAGTATTAATGCAACTAACCCAATTATGGTAAGTATTAATATTAGAAATTTAACTTAAGGTCGTGGTATGTTTCATAGTCTTTTTCATTTAAAGAATATCGAAAGATATTCTTTCCAAACTTAAAGCAATATAACAAATTTTTTTTTGAGATATCCTATGCCAGTCTTTGTGATACAATCTATGTTAAGTCTCTCATTAACGGCCAACTAAAAATTTTGTCGTATCTTACTGTCATTTTTAATATTGGTGTGGTTTACTAGTGTAACGAAGAGGAAGCCGACTGTGAAACTAAATGCGACGGCACAACTTGGTCGTGTGTACTAGTAGACGAGGGTGGTTGGATCGTAGCTGGTGACTCAGAGTATATGAGGACTAGCAATGAGGATCCAGTGAGGAGACACCTTGCCGCTGTGCACCCCGCCGCCATGGTGGCACTGCTCGACGCTAAAGTATTCCGACTAAACTGGATACATGATTACCAAGGTGTCTGCTTCGATTATAAAGACTCTACTGACACGGCCTCTGCCTTAGTAAGTAATAATAATAATAACCCAATACAATTCACACAATGCTATTTATTTACCTATAGCACAGATAACATAATATTACATACCTATAGTGTTGATTTTAATTGTCATTTTTTTGCTCCTTTTACTTTAAACTTTGTAATGTTATATGGTATACACAAGTAAAAATAATGCATTATTTAGTCCCAGGATAAGCAGACCTTGTGTTATGGGTACTAGCAACTACTACTACTGATTTAAATACTTAGAAACATTTTTTTTTTAATATGTTCATAATATACATAGAAAACACACAAGACCTAATACGAATACTATTATACTCATGAATACGAATATTCGCATCGTGCGAGCAATCGAACTAGCGACATCGGAAGTAAAGCAGTCTGCTAAACCGCTAAGGCAATTCAGCGATTTTTCGACTGAAACCACATAGCATTTAGGTGATCATTGACATATACCTGCGACTAATATTAAGATTAACTACAATCATCTATTACCTACTTACATTCAAGTTTTGAGATATTGATATACCTATCTCAAAACTTGAACCAAGAAGTATACCGCTATTTTTTTATTCTACAGCGTTAATTTGATTTGGTAACTAATGATATGTTTTTTGTAGATGGTACCATCACTACTAAAGTATTTATGGAGATCTGTGATACTTTTGTTAACAATATCGCAAGAGATTGCAACAATATTAACTTTATTGAGCACTAGTAAGTATATTTGTGTAACTAACCCTAAAGTTTATTTTCTAGGAAATAAACTTCAAAAGAATGTAGAATTGTATTATAGTTTTTTAACAAATACCCTCAGCATCGTGACGAGCTGCGGTCTCGCCGTAAATAGAAAACGATCGGCGTAGTTTGACTTTAGCGATACATATAGAAAATGTAACTTTAGTATAGATTTTTATATTAATTTGTATACTTTTAATCGAAAAATGTTTACAGAAATTGTATCTACAAATCTACCAACATACCTACATTGAAACTGCATATTATAGGTAACGGAGTATGGGGCGATACAGAAGCAGAGAAAGAAAAACGCCGTAATCGTCTAAAACGTGATTATGAGCGAGAGAAATACGATCGACTCTTCGACACAAAGGTGCTGGTGAATCGGACTAGTTTCGCAGCCTGCGATCGTTCACGGCCCATGTACGAATTACAGGTATTTTACTTTGTTTAGTAATAAGCACTTGCAATAAATCGTTACGGCTGTTATAATATAATCTATAATAAAAAAAAATAATGAAAAAGTAATAAAATCATATAGCAACACAAAGTTGGTAACAAACGTAGGTATGTAGGTATTACAAAAATAATGTCTGTATGTCTGACCTAACACTCTGTGTCACTTATTTCCATTGCCGAGCTTGCTTTGTAACCTGCAATACAACAGAATCTGTATTTGTTTAATTCTACTAGCTCATTTGAAAAAAATAAAAGCAGAGTTTCTTCTCAGTTCTATGTCGCTAGAATCGACTAACCGAACTAACGGAAAATTTGACATATCATTAGAGACGGTAATAGACATGAATAAAGATATTTTGATTTGAGTGTCATATTTTTATTTGTCATATATGTATATTTCGTTACCCAAGTTCATTGGTAAAGTAAAAATGTAAGTAAGTACTTTTTTTGTACAGTCTATACAGGCAATCGACATAAATCGTATTATCGCCTTTGTATGGTATTAGTCCTAATAAATCGTTATGCAACTTCGCACTCCCATCCAGCACTTATAATCATCTCAGTGTTTGTTTGATAGCGTACTGCGCAGGCTCTATCAGCGCTGAAGCGTGTGCCCACCGCTTGCGGCTGGCCGCTGGCCGCCGCTGTAGTACCCGACACCAACTTAGTGTTACTGGCTGTTTACAATGCCTGCCCCCACACTGGCAAGCCGGTACCGGACCCACTCAACAATGAACCGGTATTTAATTACAAGCCTTATCATACATATTAATTATAAAGAGGTAAAGTTTGTGGGTTTGAATGTTCATGAGAATAACGTATTGAACTAAGTTATCTATTTTTGTAATTAAAAAAGATATAAATGAGGTTTCGTAACCTCTATATTAAAGTATACGACGCACTGTAACTTTTACGCTAAAGAATAGTAATGCAGCGTATTCTGATGTCGCTGTATATGGTATTAGGCATGGCGAGTGACAGTATTTTCCACCAGGTGGATCATTCACTAGATTACCATTGCAAATCATATAAAAAAACTATGTATCTACTTCCGTCGCTATTGAAATCTGCAGCTTTGTGCATCAAAATGTTATAGGTCGACATGATACAAGTAACAAAATTGATGAAGAAGGAAATAGATTGGAACAAGTTGGATTCGGCGAGCAGACTGGCGTGCTGGCGCAACCTCGAACCTCTGCCGGGTCGCCCGCCGCACACACCGTGCTACCCACACAATTATACACAAGTAAATTATTGTGCACAATCTTCTATAACAGCTGCCTTTACACGCCTTTTCATGTGCGAATCGTCTTTCATGCAGGAAAAATCTTGTTAATATTATAATCGCGAAGTTTGTGAGTATGGATGGATGTTTGTTACTCTTTCGCGCAAAAACTACTGAACGTATTTTGATGTAACTTTACAGTATCTAATATAGCTTATATACATCAGAATAAAATATAGGCTATAAATTTCATGTGGGTGAAACCGCGGGCACAAGTAATAGAATATCAATCGAAAATTATTAAATTAGCATGCGCAGAGCTAGCGCATTTTCGCTATTTCGCATTCTTCGATCGTGTGCTTTAGCGCCTTTGCTTAATAATTATTTATCACTTATAAAGGGGCGGACATCTGACAATGGAGCAAAAACAGAATTAGAGTTATTGATAATCTTAAATCTGTCTCTGAAAAATAACATTTGCGAATTAAAAGATAGTGAAATGAGTCATACACGCTAACACGCGCGAAATGATGATGAAAAATTACAAGTTAAGTACTAGATTTGCACCTTACGGTTACGCGCGCTGGGTTACCCGCGCAAAACCGCACGCGCTCCAAATCGCGTGAAAGAATGAGTCATGTAAAGGCAGCTATTAGTATTTATTTCTAAACTTTTGCGTATGTGTACTACATTATGAATAGAGTTCTCTCGACGTTTCGAGTAGGCTGCTGCACAAGCTGTGGTCACGAGCTGCTAAATGGAGTAACAGCAAATGTAAATGTCGATAGGTGAGAGAACGAAAATAAATATACCAATCTGGCTAACAACTAGTGGGATTCAATTAATAATCACAATTAACAATCACATTAACATGTTATTTCAGGAGGAAGGTTACAGACAATGTGGCCCCTGGTTCCCAGATCCCGAACCGGAGATTGCGAGTCACACAGCATTAACCAAGTTCATGCCTCAAGTTGTTCCTGTTCTAATACTTTTATATTTGAACAATTTAAACATTCAATTGTATTAAATCCAATACAATTTTTTACCTACTTCATAAAGGTTTTAATCGACTGTATTTATATATATAGATATATATAAAAATATTCATGTTACACAAATCTTCTTCAATCCTCGAAATGACTGAACCATTTTGTTGATTTATTTATTAACTAAACAATTTTAATTGAAATCGGTTTATTAAACAGAACATACAGAATGATTGAATGTCAAGTAAAATATTTATAAAATTAAAATAAAACGACCGATTAATTTAATTTAACTCGTTTAGTCAATGATTTTAACTTATTTATTTGGTTCGGAAATATCTAATACTGTTCATGTCTAACACACAAGTCACACTTTCCCATATTTCACTTATTACATTACATTTCTGCAATAACTATGGGCAAAACAAATACCGGCAATTATTGTGAATATATAAATGTATAATATATATTACGATTACATACATGTGTACTAATTATATATTGTAACTGCTTTCATACTGATTATACTCATAAATAAATGTTACTTAAGACTTATTGGTTTTGATTTAAATATGCAACATTTTGTACCACCTATATAATATACATATTAATACAATAGACCAATGCATTCGATTTTTTCCACTTACATCCGCAAATCCCATAGAATATAATAAATAGAACATATTGACAGAAGCATATAATAGGTGGAACTTGGAAACATTGTGATTTACTACAAAATGCGGTAAAGACTCATTGAACCGACAAAAATACACACCTTTATAATTATTTTAAATTGTCAATATGTTCGAAGTATGCTATACTTTTTATTTATTTATACATATAATACTTTAATACATACAACCCTGAAAAGTCAGACTATTATAATGCTATACTTCCATTTCAATGGCTAGTGAAGAGACATTATTTTTCATGAAAGAAATTTAATTTAAATGTACCGATATTTGAGAAGGAGAAAAATATTCTTTTAATATCTGATATTATTATTTATAAGTCTAAACTTCTAAACATTACTTACGTAGATAACCTTAACTAGATAATATTAGACAAAAATAGATCAGATGGTAATTTTGTAATTTCAATAACATATTTGTATAATAATATCCTTCAATTCAAATGAACTTTCAAAACTGATAGAACCTACCGACTTTATATTCTAATTTGCATTCATATTACACATGAACAATTCAATATTAAAATTTTTCTCATTGTAATTAATTTCTCTCTTCGTTTTTTAATCATAAAGACATTTCTATAGAAACTAAAAGAAATCTAATGCTATGGCAGTTTAATTTCTTATTTGATCAGTTTTGAATTATTACATATCAGACGTAATTATATGTATCAGTTAGTTTATCTATCTACAATACAATTACCGTCGCTTCAGTTTCAGTACTATCCTCGTATTCAATTTCCCATTTGGCACCATATATCCAATTATACAACTACAAACGTCGACTTATTAAATTTATATAGAGAGCATTGAGTGATTTTTGAACTGGATAATTTTAACACCAATTATCTTGAAAATGACATTTTAACACTATAATAAAATCTGCTTACAACTACATCCTTATTATTTATATAAAGCAAATTGTATGAGTTTACATACATTACGATCCCGATGTTAATATCGTAACGGGTGGACCACATAGCACTTTATACCTCCGAAGAAAGGAATGAATCTATTTGCATTTGATTACAGTAGGTAAATATTGATAAATTACGTGCCAGACTGGTGTATCTTTTTGCACTTTGAATTACTAGTAATCATCGAAAAGTTAACATATGTAGCATAGGTAATTTTCTTCCCACAAAAAAGTTACATAAAGTAGTATAAGATTATAAATAAGGTAAGTATTATTATTAATTTTATTGTTTTTGTTACAAAGAAAACTATTTGGCCCACCACTGTACAATAACTAAATTAATAAATTAATTCATAATAAATGATGTTTACAACAATAATTAAAACAACAACGTGCATTTAGAATACAACAAAATTTTCTTTGGTTAATAATATTCATAATAAACTCAATAGAGTGCAAAATAAATCTATAAAAACATTACATAATAAAGATAAAACAAAACACATCATATGTGCATAAAAAATATAAAAAAATTAAAGCATAATACATTTATCACTGAATTGTGAAATTTCAAGAAAATAGACAATTAAAATGGAATGGTCTGTACGCGTTAAATGTTTAACAATCATTATTTAAGATTGTATAAATACAGTTGTGATATTTAGTAATTAATATACATTTAAAAAAATATTTTACATGTCGATGGTAATAATAAGGAAATCAGCTGCAATATAATGAGCAATGTTTACGTTGACCCCGGTAGTGATGTTATAATACCTGTTCGTATATTGTAAACACTTTATCAATATTACACACTCACGTATTACTCCTCTTCAGACTCGGTGTCCGAATCTGGGATAGTGTTGAACCAGTTCTCCCAGTTGGATGGCGGGCCCATGACAGTTCGACTGTAAATAATTTCACACTATTAACCGAGGGAAAAAAGATACCTCTTACCATTGGGTATACATGGGGGGGGGGGGGATTCTTAGTAAATATAGTGATATAGTGATGCAAATCAGCACGTTCAATAGAAGATTGTGCCAGTGTACGTTTTAACTAACGACACGTAGGTCACGCAGTAGCTCATATATATAGTTTATGTAATTAGTCTAAGGTAGAGTAATTCAAGATGTAACAGTTAATATACAAGTTACACCCTACTGTGTGTGTTTACTCTCACCACCGCTCCTGTCATCACAGTAGACTACCAATTTTTAGGAGAAGGGAATTGTTAGTGATGTCGACTAATAACCCCATTGATAGCAATGTTAGGTTGACCTCCACGTTGTTCCCTCTGGAAACCATCATGATAACTTCATGGTATATATTTACGATGATGTGCTAACGTATCTGACTCTATGCTCAGCTTATCATCCTTCAATGGTGCCTCGCCAGCGTAAACCGTTAGCGCAGGACGCAGCGCGTTAGCGCACTTATGCCTGGTGACGGGCTGCGGCAGCGTGGCGGTGGCGGGCGGCGGGGGTAGAGGCGGGGTAGTAGGTAGTAGTGAGTACGCACGTGTGCCTGGTGACGGGCTGCGGCAGCGTGGCGGTGGCGGGCGGCGGGGGTAGAGGCGGGGTAGTAGGTAGTAGTGAGTACGCACGTGTGCCTGGTGACGGGCTGCGGCAGCGTGGCGGTGGCGGGCGGCGGGGGTAGAGGCGGGGTAGTAGGTAGTAGTGAGTACGCACGTGTGCCTGGTGACGGGCTGCGGCAGCGTGGCGGTGGCGGGCGGCGGGGGTAGAGGCGGGGTAGTAGGTAGTAGTGAGTACGCACGTGTGCCTGGTGACGGGCTGCGGCAGCGTGGCGGTGGCGGGCGGCGGGGGTAGAGGCGGGGTAGTAGGTAGTAGTGAGTACGCACGTGTGCCTGGTGACGGGCTGCGGCAGCGTGGCGGTGGCGGGCGGCGGGGGTAGAGGCGGGGTAGTAGGTAGTAGTGAGTACGCACGTGTGCCTGGTGACGGGCTGCGGCAGCGTGGCGGTGGCGGGCGGCGGGGGTAGAGGCGGGGTAGTAGGTAGTAGTGAGTACGCACGTGTGCCTGGTGACGGGCTGCGGCAGCGTGGCGGTGGCGGGCGGCGGGGGTAGAGGCGGGGTAGTAGGTAGTAGTGAGTACGCACGTGTGCCTGGTGACGGGCTGCGGCAGCGTGGCGGTGGCGGGCGGCGGGGGTAGAGGCGGGGTAGTAGGTAGTAGTGAGTACGCACGTGTGCCTGGTGACGGGCTGCGGCAGCGTGGCGGTGGCGGGCGGCGGGGGTAGAGGCGGGGTAGTAGGTAGTAGTGAGTACGCACGTGTGCCTGGTGACGGGCTGCGGCAGCGTGGCGGTGGCGGGCGGCGGGGGTAGAGGCGGGGTAGTAGGTAGTAGTGAGTACGCACGTGTGCCTGGTGACGGGCTGCGGCAGCGTGGCGGTGGCGGGCGGCGGGGGTAGAGGCGGGGTAGTAGGTAGTAGTGAGTACGCACGTGTGCCTGGTGACGGGCTGCGGCAGCGTGGCGGTGGCGGGCGGCGGGGGTAGAGGCGGGGTAGTAGGTAGTAGTGAGTACGCACGTGTGCCTGGTGACGGGCTGCGGCAGCGTGGCGGTGGCGGGCGGCGGGGGTAGAGGCGGGGTAGTAGGTAGTAGTGAGTACGCACGTGTGCCTGGTGACGGGCTGCGGCAGCGTGGCGGTGGCGGGCGGCGGGGGTAGAGGCGGGGTAGTAGGTAGTAGTGAGTACGCACGTGTGCCTGGTGACGGGCTGCGGCAGCGTGGCGGTGGCGGGCGGCGGGGGTAGAGGCGGGGTAGTAGGTAGTAGTGAGTACGCACGTGTGCCTGGTGACGGGCTGCGGCAGCGTGGCGGTGGCGGGCGGCGGGGGTAGAGGCGGGGTAGTAGGTAGTAGTGAGTACGCACGTGTGCCTGGAGAACGGGCTGCGGCAGCGTGGCGGTGGCGGGCGGCGGGGGTAGAGGCGGGGTAGTAGGTAGTAGTGAGTACGCACGTGTGCCTGGTGACGGGCTGCGGCAGCGTGGCGGTGGCGGGCGGCGGGGGTAGAGGCGGGGTAGTAGGTAGTAGTGAGTACGCACGTGTGCCTGGTGACGGGCTGCGGCAGCGTGGCGGTGGCGGGCGGCGGGGGTAGAGGCGGGGTAGTAGGTAGTAGTGAGTACGCACGTGTGCCTGGTGACGGGCTGCGGCAGCGTGGCGGTGGCGGGCGGCGGGGGTGCGGGCGGCGGGGCGCGGCGCTGCAACGTCTGCGTGCCCCCCGCTTCCTCTTCCTCCGCCGCGTCTGCCTCCCACGCCCACCTGCATCCACACACACACACACCACGACATTACAATTAGGCACATTGATTGAGGAATAATCCCATAGTATGATATAAGAGCGTTATGATAGTTATAACACACGAGGCGGAATTTCAGCCGCAACCGAAGGCGATCGTGTATGTTAAATACGCACGTATATCATACAACATTCTTCAACACACTCGATTTGAAATAAACTCGACCATAGAACACATACAAACTTGTCTCAGTTAAGTTTCCGCGAAAGATGACATTTGCTTCTCTGAGCTTCTGTCTAAAATTGATGAACATGTAACAAACAAACAAACAGGCGATTGGAGTTTGTCTCGTTGAAATGAGAAACAAGAAAAACGGGTTACACGAGCGAATCCCCAATAAAATATTTCTAAAGATAATAAGAAAGTACGAAGTAAATATAACAAAATTAATTCGTTATAATGAAGTTAAGTACTTATTCAAGGCGTTCTCTATCACTAAAACAAAATGCAAGCAGAAAAATGTTGATAGCAGTACAATGGCAAATTCGTGCAATTTAAAGAGGCAAATAATTTTTATTAACCATAATTTGAAATTATTAGTTTCATAATATCAACTAATTTAACTAAAGACAGTCTTCTTTACCTTCTTTATTTTCTTCCTCTTATGGAATACAACATTGATTTCACCAAAAAAAATATGATTTCACCAATCATTTTAAAACTACAATTTTTCACATAGCATTTTATACAAAACAAAAGTAATAGAACAAATTACGAAATTAGTGGCCCGAATTTATATCATGCATTAACTTTTTGCATTAGTGACGTAAAAATTTAGTGTCGAAAAATGTAACTGGTGCGTTTTCAGTGAATTACTACTTAAAGTACATATCATCAAACTCAACAAAATAACTAGCTGTGTCTATTAGGCGCCGTTCTAATTGGCCATTCTAATTATCATAAATAATCATATTCTCTTCATAAACACTTTATTAAGTTAGTAACTACATTGGTCATATTACTAGTTGATATTGTCCAACTATTTCTTTTATACGACCGTGAAACCTACGAATCTATTTAGTACCTATCCTAATTTAAAGTCGATTCGTAGATTACGCGGTCATACGAATAACTCATAAATAGATTCGCAACACAACGTGAGGGTTGCTCCAATGAAGAGAGTACAGGGCGAAGAGAATGAGAGAGAGCAAGATGGGGATAAAAATAAATGCACAATTCTTCTTTGGCCTTTTTGTACTGTTGTTCTAATAACATACTATACTAACTACTAGAAGATTAATAAACTTTATATCACGATTTGCTTATGTTATACCACTGTTTACTTTGTTCGAAACGAACCATTACAGATTAGGACACTATTTTACCACAGCACAAGAATTTAGATCACGAAACTCATAATACGAGAGATGGCCAATTAGCTCGTCACCTTATAAGCGGTATCTATGCATAAAACGTCAGTTTGAACAGTAGTAGGTACAAAATATAGTATGTGCCTGGAGCTGCTGGCGGACTTGCAGTTCTCGCACTCGTTGCGGTAGTCGTCGGCGTCCTCGCCGCCCGGCCCGTTCGCGCCATCGTAACTGCATACGCAAGATGGCTGGACATGGACAAGTTACACTATTACTGTCACTATTACACACTACGCACTATACACTATTGGTCATTATTAGATTTGACACATAGAATAAAATATAATAATTATATTTTTTTATTGTTATAGCCTTTATTTAGATCAACTTATACATTATTTTTAAAGAAATATAAAACTTAATAACGGAAAATAATATTGTAGTATTTGATCTTTTTAAACTTTTTGCATCTGGCGATTGACCTGTTTGCGATCGGTCGGCACAATAATTATATTAACAATCAATAATTTAATACTTAAAATCTATCAACTTTAAGATTTGTATGCTTGATATAAGCACACAATCTGCTTATCGCCATGTTTTGTTACATGTAATGTATGCAAAATCTTTTACAAATAATATTCTTATTATTGTCATTCAGAGTTGATTATAACTGTCTACAGTAATAACACAGTAATGACATTATTATACCTCTTTTCTACAGAATATAAACATAAATTAGTATTGTTAGAAAAGTATATATAGAAGATTCAGTACTTTGAAAACTTTGCAGACCACTCGGCTTATATGTCAACTTTTATCATTTAAGATTCTATACGTCACATAATTGTTATCGCCCGCAATGCGACTTTTAATTTGTCTACCAATGCTAAGCTTACCACTTGCTTGGCATTGTCATCCGATACAGAAAAAAAGACAGTGTATTGTCCTGAATAAGAAATAAATAAACAAACCTTATCGATTGTGAGCGGCAGCGTGGCGTGGGAGGGCGGCGGGGCGGGGGCGGGGGCGGGCGCGGGGGCGGCGGCGGGCGCGGGCGGCGGCGCGGGGTGCGCGGGCGGCGGCGCGGGGTGCGCGGGGTGCGCGGGGTGCGCGGGGTGCGCGGAGAGCGCGGGGGGCGCGGGCTCGGGGGCGGGCCGCGCCGGCTTGGGCGGCAGCCGGGGCTCCCCGCCCACGTTATACTCCTCGCTGTGTGCGCGCGCGCGGCTCGACCTGCACGTCATCACACAATTACCCGCGCATTCCCGCGTCCTTCTACCTCGCTAGCTTTAACGCCTTTTTTAATATTTAACATTACAAAATGGCGGAAATGACTATGGAGCATAATTATGTACAAAATTAGTGATTATATTAAACGTAGATGTCGTTGGAAAATATGAGATATTAGTATTAGTGGTGGCGTACCTGTCGTGGAGGGCGCCGTCGGCGGAGGGCGCGGCGGAGGCGAGGCAGGCGGCGGCCGCGAGGTTGAGGTTGCGCGGCATGCTGCGGCCGGTGTCGAGCCGCTCGGCCGGCTTGTGGAACGAGCGCCGGATCTCAGAGTGCAGCGAGCGGTCGCCGCGGGAGAACCCCAGCGCCGCTTCTAGCGCGCTCGCCTCCGCAGCCGTCGCTATGCGGGGGATCGTACGATGCCTGGTGACCATAGCAACCATAACATTTTCATTTTATTCGTACATATATAAGCCATAATCTACAGTAATAAATGTATATATTAAAAAAAATAGTTACTGTTACAGCAAATCTCTGACACGTCTACTATATCACATTTTATTTAATAAGTATTACTTTATAAAAGTCACTTAGGTATGCAACTTTTTATCTATGCGTGCGGCGGTGTAGAAGTCTAATCTTACTCTACAACTGAACACGGCATACAAAACAAGTTGCTCGACCGTTGAAATAGGCGAGATGGCCATATTCAAACTTTTTAGAGATGTGCCACTGTAGTGTGGGTATTGACAGCGGGGCGGGGGGTACGGAGGCGGAGGCGACGGTGTAGTTCCTAACATCACTCTACGACTGAACACAGGATATAAAGTGTATAACTGACAGCGAGTGTGTGTTATTTAATAACTGACAGCGAGGTGTGGAGCGGGGCGGCGGGCGCGGGCGCGGGCGCGGGCGCGGGCGGGGGCGCGGGCGCGGCGGCGGGCGCGGCGGTGTAGAAGCCGGGCACGTTGTGCGGCCGCTCGTGGTCGGGCTCGCGCTGCAGCACGCTCAGCAGCCCGCGGTTACTGATCGCGCCCAGCGAGCCCGTCAGCCGGATCGCGCTCGGAAACCCCACCACTGCCACGATTACGAAGAGTCGCGTAAGTTTATAAAATAAATCAAATTCTTAAAAAATATATATTATCTTAGTACGATTTAAATATAAAAGTGTTTAAAAAAATTGTGTGTGTTCGAGTTTCTTCTCGACTTAAAAATCTAGCCAAACCGAACGACAAGATCGGTGACACAAAAATTAACGTAATCAAGTGGCAAAATATTATCGCTATGTAAAATAATTATTGTGAATAATTATAACTTTAAATTTTACAATTACATTTGTTCCTTCATTAAGAACTCTTCGAAGTTTATAATTTTTTTCGTAACATAATAAAATTACTTATTAGTGGTGACACGAATATATAAACTGTATATGAAAATACATACCATATATTTATCAAACTAAATTATTTAGAAATTATAATAAATTCTACAAAATATTCAATCTGAATCTACTCTACTCTCCAAATAAAACATATGAATTGGTTTTGATTCTAAATATAAGTTTTTTTACTGCTTTTTAATAATAAACAACATGTACATTTATTTTTGGAATTACATATTAAAAACCATATAACTACTCACCAGTAGGAGCTAATGGATGATGCGAAATGGGCATAGTTTCTCTTGCTTCCGGTGGATGTGCTGCCTGTAGCAACGGTGCATTGTAACAATTTTGTGTGTTCGCGATCTGTGTTATGATATATGATTTTTATGCTTGTGCATAAATCAGAATATTGTGGGCCTTGCAATCCAAGTATTAAAAATTATAGGTTTCAAGCTTGAATGACTAAAACGCTGCTCATATATAGATCTGTAGCACTGCAGCCTACATAGATTTTTGAGAGCTATTGTGTTCGCTAACTAAGACCTATTGATTTGAGTACCCCATTATTAGGGCTATTTATTGTACTAATCCTGGCATATTCTGCCCGTGATTCAGAGCTTCCTGTTTAGTTATTAATTTGAGATGTCCCAGTTTTAGGCAATGAGGCATGCCACAAAAGAGTTTAGGGCCCTGTTGGACGGTTCTTGCCCCTAACTTTACCCATTGGTTGGCATGTTCATTGCCTTCAATGTTTAAGTGCCCATGTACCCATCTCCATATAAATATAGTAGAGTAGAAGTAAAATTAAATATAAATCGCCAATAAATAAATATTGATACTTAATAAATAAATAATCAAATAATCATACCAATACCTGTTGGACAGGTCGCGGTATATTAACATAGCTGTGACCGGAGCACTGAATGTTGTCATCGGAGCGCACCAGAGTCTCCACTGTAGCGGGATACGTACGATGGAATGGTGTCTCGTTGCTGATTCTAAAAATATTTGGTATTATCCACTGCATTAGTATATTATACTAGTTATTCTATTAATTAGATTAAAAAATATAAAAAAATATGTATGTTACTCTTCCTGATGTGGTTATCATTTAGGACTAATTAATATTTACTATGCACTATTCCTGACATCCGTAACTTTAAATTAGTGGGAATAAATATCCATATCACTAAATTATAATATCAATTCAAATTATGTTGCCAAAATAAAAAGAAATGCACTAATTATTTTCAAATTCTATTAATATAATTAATGTTAAAGTTTATGAGGTTGGATGAATAGAAGGATGCGACTTTGGATGGGATGGAATTCTTTAACATAACATAACAAGGAATGAACAGATTCAAATGTAATTTGTACACTTTAGATACGTTTTACACAAATTCAGGCGATATACAGTTAATATAGCTGTACAATTATAGATGTTTACGTAATTCGATAAGATAAATTATAGTTACCTCATATTTTCGGATCGACATTGCGCCATAGCCTCATCGTAGGGCGGAGGCGCTTCCCCACGGGGCAGGTAATTACTGGGTGGTTTCCATGCAGCCAAGGCAGTCTCGCATGTTCCGCCCATATAACCCATGCTGCCGCTAATGTACCTGAATAGCAAAGGCATAGATGATACTTTTAAGACGAGACTGTAGTTAATACTTTTAAGACTACAGATAATATTTCTATTAAATTAAGATTCAGGAATTTACATTAATGAAAAAAAATATTATGTCTAATAATAATATATAACCATTTAATTTGATACAGCTGCCCTGCACAAATTCGTCTGCGTCAGATTTACCCTGTTTTTGCAATCTTTTTCATAGTAGTTCCGCCTCCATTAGTAGTAGTGATGTTATAGTGATTTACTCAAAAAATATGACACGCAATAAGATGTTTCATAATGTGATCGATAGTTTGTCTGTTTCACAAAAGATATTTAATCAAGTTACAACTCTCATACAAGTTAGAAGAGGAGCTTGTACACTTAGATTGTGAAATGTACTACCTGCCGAGGTTTTCTCGAGAGACAGACAGGATGGTCTTTCAAAAGAAGTATAAAGTTTATTTAAGGGCCCGCAACAAGCACGTGACACTCCCTGGTGTTTCAGACGACTTTAGGCTATGGTAACTGTTTACCATCAGATGGGCCCATATACTTGTTTGTCACATAGATAGTAAAAAAAAAAGTAACTAACCCAATACTAGTTAAGCTCCTCTGGTCGTCCGCATGCGGGGGGCGTCGTCTCTTCTGTTTACGGACACGGTAGACGACCAATGCTACAGTGAGCAATACCACGGCAGTGGCGCCGCCCGCCGCTACGCGAACGTTTGCCTCAGCTCCCTCTGCAGGCTTCACCACGTCATCCAGGCAGATAAACTCGCAACATGTATTGCCCACTCGAAATGAACGGCAATCCTGTTTAGAGACACACATTTACATATTTTTTTAGTATTTACAGATGTAATAGTCAAACCCACATTAAGAGTATAGGGTCATCCATAAATAATGTGACAACAATTAGATGTGGCGTAGCGATCCGTTTCTGAAGTGTGACATTGTGTGGGACAAGTCCAATATTTCATGATGTCATATTTTAAAATCTAAATATTACAATAAGTATATATAATGAAAATAATATTAATTTAGATACTGCAGTATGTTGTATTTTTTATCTATAAAATTGTAAAATATGCCTAGTATGAGACATGAGACAGAGAACAAGAACAAAGGGAGAGTTAAGGGAGTTAAATCCTATAATAGGCATGATGACACTATCTAAGAATGTCCAAAAACAGTATTTCATGTAATTTTATATGATAGGCTATATAGGATTCATATTTAAACATTTATTTTCAGATTACAAGCGAGATTATATTTATTTTAGTAAAAATAATAATGCAAAACATATAAATCCACCATGATAGATAGAACACCAATCAGGAGCGCGTGACGTCAGTCATTCGTAAACAAAATCGGTGTTGTCAATTTAACATAGTTTATGCTAGATTTCGCATACTTTTACATCCCTTTATAGGCTATATGCAACAGCATCTTTTCACTTCCTTATTCTTATACAAAAAAATATGAGATAGAAATAGACTACAATATCGCATACATACTGTAATTTAGTCTATAAAATTTTAATTGTAGTTTTAGTCTATAAAACATGCTTGATAGTCGTTAATATCCACCAGATAACAGCCACCTAAATTATCTAAAGTCAACATTACCGATTAGAGTGGGAGGAAATCTAGCATTTCCTCCCATATTTATTTTGTTCCATAACATAATTGAATAAAACATAATGTTCACTATTCACAATAATACGCACAGCAACATTATCGCGATATCCAATGCCGTAAATAATAAAAAAAAGTAAAAAAATAAAAAGAGATTACGAGGGTGGGAGTCGTTTCGCCTTTTGTTGTTGTCGAAAAAAGTGTTCTGATGATCGCTGTCGTAATTGTCGTAATTGTCGATATTTTATATAGATTTCTTAACTAAATTATTTTATATAGATTTCTTAACTAAATATTCTTAACGAAATAATAAAGGAACGCAAGTTGATACTGGAAAGCACCTATTGTCGGTTTTGGCGGTAAACAGGCAACCCGTTCAAAAGGTAAGTTCGGACAAGCCCGGAGTTCTGGGAAGCCTTGCTGAAACCGAACCGGCAATCCTCGCAGTACAAGGTGAGTGCCTTCCAAATTATCAATCTTGCTCAAATCCAATTGTCGTAAATACAGTCCACTAAAGACAGCTGAATTCAAAATTTTACGTTAGCTGTTTTCATAAAACATAAAATAAAATAGATTTTATTGATTTTAAAGATATAATAAAAACGTACGTAAACAAATGATGTTTTATTTGAGAAATGTTAGCATTATTTTAAAACAATTAGCATAATTTTATTAAGTTTAGCAATTTTTTTTAATATCGTGATGGCAACGTTGTACATAGTACTATACGAATACTATACTCACAAAGTTGTTTTGCATTATTTGTAAATTAAATAACTTCTTCGGCGTTTTTATTATTGTATTAATACATTGAGGGACCGTACACCATCAATACATATTGGGATTCATGATTATTGCGCTTAAATCTTCAAAAACTTTCAACAAACAAACATATAACTCTACTTGTTGTCACTTGTCAAGTGTTTACGAATGGTTGACATCACAGGCGACGCCATTGGTATTCTAGAGTTTTTGCGCGAAATCTAAATTGTATTTTTTAAAAAGCTTTTTCTATCTAAGTTTTAAGCTTTTTTAAAAATATGATTTATTTTGTATAAAGATAAAATACAAGAACATCGAGGGGAGTTTTTTAAAAATCAGTCATCATGCCTATTGTTTCATTCTTATGAGTATAAGCAGATGCGATACTCTTGCGTTCCTTTATTATTGGTCGTACAATCGAAACACAAATTCATTAATTCATTGATGGTCACTATAAGGCACCAATAAATGTGAATTAAATATTATATAAAGTGATTTTTTCGAATATATATAATTATTTATTTATTTATACAACTTCAATGCACAAAATACTAAGGTAAAAGTACATATGGCGGGCTTAACGCCTTACGGCATTTTCTACCAGTCAACCACAGGTTGTGCAGAGAAACTAAGCGGTGCAAATGTAATCAATAAGAAAAATAATACCTATGTCATAAATAATATATATTTACTAAACATAAGTACATGTAAACATACATATACAAATACATACAATATATATAAAGTTATAAATATGAATAAAATACATACCTAAATATACCATATACATATCATATAACATACTTAATAGTCTGACAATGAAATAGCAACATAACAAAAAAAAAAAAAAACAAATTCAGCAACTATAACATAGAAAAGATGTACAATGAGTCACGCAAAAAGATAAAATGGAAAACTATTCTACATAATAGAAAAGTTACATACTGGAATAGTATTCCTGCAATTTACGCTTTAAAGAAAACTTACTTGTGGCGGTCTTGATATCAAGGGGTAAGTAGTTCCAAAGTTTGATAGCCTGAACGGTGAAAGAATAGTGGACGAAACCGGACAAATGAGCCAATATATAAAGTAAACATTTTCTGGTTGTGCGAATATATATATTCATGATAACTTCATAATCAATAATAGTCACAATTACTAACAATACTCTAGAATAAATAGAAAACCTATAGTTTTGATGTTTAAATTACCAAATCTGATTTTGAAATACTTTAGTAGTAATATTTAGCAAAAGAAGAATGATTAGCCTTAACATTTAAAGGACTATATTTAGCCAATGGAGATCATTTCGAATAGGCTCTATATATTTTTTGTTTTTGTATTAATCTTTAAACTGTGTCAGTCTAAACATTAATATATATAAAGCTCATTCGAAATTACATTATTATAAATATATTTATATTCTTTTTTATATATTTTTTATAAAAACACAAATGTTACAATGCAATAGGAAAACAAAGATATTTTTTAACAATATTTTTGACAAGACTAGGTATACTAACTATTATGCTTTTTAAATGTATCTATTTTTTATCATATTGACTCAGTTTTAATAACCAGACAGTTAAATATTTTGTTTAATAAAACACCACTACAAAAGTTATGAATTACACATTTTAAAAAATCGACAAAATCAAAGAAAGTGTGTGCTACACAGCAGCAGGTGAGATTTTGATCACTGTGCTCAAATTAAATGAATGTCAGAGGTCAATCAAAAAGCAAAGTAACATATCATTATTTGTAATACCTGAGGTGGTGAACACAGGACTGCTTTGCATACTTTAGGCAAGCCATTGTCACAAACGCATAATGTACAGGTATCAGGGCCAGGCACGTAATGTAAACCATGGGATATTATACGCCCGCGCAAGTCAGTACATTCTCCTTGGGCGGTTACACCTGAAAATGCAATCAACTTTATGGTGTCAAGTTTTAGTATTAGAACACGTTTAAAATTTATAATTCATAATATATACTTAAATTAGAACATTAATAAAAGCAATTTAATATACTAACTATAAAAATGTAAAGTTGACAAACACAACACAGCCTTGCCAAACATTTTATAAAATAATTAATCTATATAAATCAAATAACAAATATAAGTCCCATTTTTGAGACCGCGACAGGTTTTGTCTTATTTTATAATCGATATTGGTAAAGTGGTGGGTTAGCCATGTAAACTGAAAACTGAACTGAAAAATATATTTTTTTTTGTACATGCGTATCGTAGCGATACAGGAGTCCAGAATAATTAAAAACATTAGATAAAATATGTTTAAAAAGGAATAATACTATAATGCTATCCTGTTTATGTAAACTGCCACTGAGGTTAAGAAAAAGAGATAGCAATAGCAATATGTTTTCTAACTACTATTGGCCACTATCTCAAAGTCATTGTTCTGAGTAGAACTGGAATCATATTCGACAAATGTCAAACAGATGTAGATTGCTGACACAGAAAAAGAAGAAATTTATCACTCGTAAACTAAATTAATATGTAACATCCAATTGAAGAATAAATTTTTAGAATTGATTTATTGCTCTAAAATATTTACAATAAAATGTTGACTAACTTTTTGTAACAAATATGTTAATCAGCGCGATGAGGATACAAAGAATAACATCTCTTGTCTCTTTTCTACAATGCGTACTATCTGTAAAATTAACAAAAACATGGCCTTATTTCTGTGCATTTCTGGCAACATTACTTGTCAGACGGTTGTTTTTTTTCTATATTCTATTTCTTATGATCTTTTCTGTTAAATTTATTTATATTAAGTACAAAATATGTAAAAGTAAAATTCTACTTGATAAATAAAGTGTGTATTAGTGTATATTGTTAATAATGGCAGGTTTTGGAGATTTCACTGGATATAATAGGCCTTTTGGCTTAGATCCAAATAGAGAGACCAATGATTTGTATGATACCCGCTATAAGCAAATTTACGGATATCACACCCCAATTACTGAAGAATATCAGGGACCTCCACTGATTTTGGACGATGCACCGGACGAAGGTATCTATCAAAATATTACAAAATTTCAAACTTATTTGAAAATTACTGAATGTGATGTTGGTTATACTACATTAACAATTTCGCAAAATGATAGGTTATTTGCTTTAGTTTTTTTATTAAAACTTCATATATTTTCAATTTTCCAGTTGTATCACTATCAAGTTTATTGTCCTAGGGTTGACTTGAGAACCACTTGGGATGAAAAATCCATTTATCTTATGTACTTGAAACACAAAAAACATTTTATGTATTTCTTGTTTTTCAGATAATAGTTCATATGTCACAGCAGCAATAAGTGTAGCAAGTCTTATCACAGAAAATTTGTTAAGCCATCCATTCATTGTGTTGAGAAGACAATGTCAGGTATGGTATAGTAGAAGTAAAAATTACTCCATGTACTCCATAATGGTAGTTAGAAAGAGATAATCTTCACTTGTGCATTCTGACAAATATGTTATAATTATCCTATCAAAATAATAATAATAATTTTTGTACCAATATCTGAAATGAAAACCAGTTATATTTCCGAGACATAAATCTATCCAAACATCTTTGCACATATAACTATATTGGACCACAGAAACGTAATTGCATATTTGTTTAATTTATTTTCCTTAGCAATAAAACAATATGACAATTTCCATACTAAAATGGGTAAAATTCATAGCTTGACTTGCACATGGATAGTGGTAATCAAATAATGTGTATTAATTATTTATTATTATGATAATCATTTAACTCAAAATCATATTTTCTACTGAATAGTCCAAAAGTATTTTAGGCTTCTATTAAGTATCAACACTACTCTATGTAGGTACATAACAGTCTCAAGAGTTTTCACATTGTACCATACACACTGTTGCCAGTGGTTGTGAGATTGCACAGGAGACAAGGCATTACAACACTGTGGAAGGGAATTGGCTCCACCTGTGTTGTAAAAGGTCTTAATCTGGCTATTGAAGATGTGGTTGCTAAGGGAACAGGTTGGCCTAAGTAAGTATTGGTCTCAAGTAAATTTTACATACATTTGTAGCTAATTGAATTACATAGAACAGTAGTGAATTATTTTGTTGCCATACATATAACATTTTATCATAACAGTAACATTATACATTGATGGAGAGTTAGTTGAAAACAACTTACTTTCACTTTGTATCACTAATTGAGTTTTATACCATTTGTTAGCAATAATACAATGCTGTTTCCTACTTTTTATTTATTCAATTTTAATTCTTTTTTTTTTTATTACAGGGAAGTTGGAAAATGTAGTACCGTCTTACAATACCTACAGCATATAACATTAAAATGGTAAATTCTTATATAAAACAATCAAAAAGAAATAATTTAATCTTAAATATATTTATTATACTTTACATAAAGTTGTATTATTTTACAACTGTCTCACATATTTCTGGTGTCAAGAAGCATATATTATACTTCTTGATACCTTCTTGATGATGGAGACAGAGGTAACAACTCATAACTCTCAAGTTGTGATTTGGTACCTCTATCTAGTATCTCAGGAAAGGAATAACTAATAAATCTACTTGATTTATAATTGTTTACTTTTTTCTTTGCAGTATTAGTTTAGCAATTATTACACCATTCTATTCAGCCAGTCTGGTGGAAACTGTACAGAGTGACATAGCAAGTGACAAACCAGCTCTTTTTGATGTATTTAGAGAAGGATTTATGCGCATATTGGAATGGGGGACACCAAGTAAAGGTAGAATGCTACCAATATGGGCAATTGTTTTGCCTACAGCTGCTTTGGGAATTTCCAAATATTTAGCACAGTAAGTCATATAACTATATTTAATATTTAAATGATTATACTATTTTTATGCTTTATCTCCAACTTTTGAAGCATTATATCAGAAATAATTAGTTATGTTTCTAAACCAGTTTTTAAAAAACAATAATAACTGCTCCACATGTAAACTTAGAGATATAGCCCAAATATATATTTTTAACATCTTATAATTAAAAATATTATTATTATTTAAAAGAAGTAAAATATAATGACCTCTATTTCTTATATTTATATCTACAGTATTTTGAACTATTTCAAATTTTAAGTAAATTGCAGTAATAATTTATAAAATATGAATTATGTAACAAGAGGATTCCATAATACATTGTTGCTTTTATTATTTAGGAACCCAGAAAAGCAAACTATAAGAAATTAGAAATTATAACCTAAAAAATTATTTTATATCAACAAAGATTGTTTAAATATTAGAAAGGCATACTTATTATATTAAGTGATATTTTGTTTCAGTACAATAATAAGAAGTGTAACTGCAAGGGTTCTCAGATTCCAACAAAGGCACAAACATGAGCTGAATGATGCCTACAATGTGAATTATAAAAAAAATACACAAAATCCTCTTATAGAAGATGTTAACTTGAAAGCCAACATTTTCTCATTCATTACTATGGAAATAATATTCTATCCCATAGAAACAATCATACATAGACTTCATATACAGGTATGAAATCATAGTGCTCCAATATAAACAACACAATGCTTATTTATTATAGATGTAAAAAGAGATAATTAAAATCTTTAACTCTCTCTAATGACTTACTTACTTTATATAAAAAGATACACTCATTCATTTTATTGTCATAAATTGGGTTTTTATTTTATATACATATATAACAAAACGACAAACAAAACTGTTTGTCTAGTTATAAAATGAATAAACATATTTCCTCTGTATGCAATAACCAATTTCAATTTTCCTTTCAGGGCACAAGAACAATCATTGACAACCTAGATACTGGAACATCAGTTACCCCAATTTTAACAGGATATGAGGGTTTTATGGATTGTTACAATACAACTATAGCCAGGGAAGGTGTTGCTGGCTTGTATAAAGGTTTTGGCTCATTAGTGCTTCAACTTGCTGCACATTTGGCAATTATCAAATTGACTACACTAGTTGTGGCAGAAGTATCCAACCTCTTAAAGCCAGCAAAATCACCATCAAATTCTGAGGACTCTGTACACTCACAACAAATATATATATTCAATTGAATTATATTGATGCATCTAATATAAGACATATATTGTTGGCACATACAATTGATAGCAAGGAATAAAAAAGTATTGTCATTTTCCAAATATAATTTGGTCAATATATATACATGAATAAATGTAAATGAATAATAGGAAAATAGTGGTTTAGGTTAGGATCACTTATCTAGTTTGAAATTTATGAAAAATAAGATTTGTTTTAGTCATATTGTTTTTATCGAGTAATATTTTAGAAAGTACTTGTTAAGAAAATAAAAAAAAATAACTGAAAAAATCAGGTTTGAAATAAAAAGTTTGTATTCTATGTTATCATTTATTTTATAACAATTTTATGTTTTCAACAATAGCACAATAATCAGGTATTTAAACTAAACTTCAATATTTATCATACTTCTACAGTGATATTATCTCTTTAATCTTTATTCTACACTAATGGGTTAATACATATCTACCTTTTAGTAATCTTCTCATAATAATTCTACGGCCATTTGGTGTTGATATCCGCTTTTGCCAACCGTGTCGATGAACGCGTTTTACTTCGTTTGGTCGAGGAAAATAACAACGCACTTTATTTCTTAAAGCAGTTAGAGAGAAACAATTTGGTTTCACCAAACTTAGTTCAGATGCGATACCAGTTGGAGATACATTGATAAGACTTTGCTTGACTAATCTGAAACGATCGTAGGCCAGATTATTAATATGTCTGAACGTTTTCAAAGTATATACGCTGATATAACGGTGCATGCAATTATATATAAAAAATATATTTTATATTTATAATCTAACCTCAAAGGTTGAAGCAATACTGTCATCAAACCTGACATAATTATGTTATTTTTTAAAAGTTACGTTTGGAATTATTTCTTAATAATAGAAAATATAAATAATAAATTACTGCCGTTTTAAAATATATTTTAAGATTAAAATATTATTTTACGAAAGAATCACGTAGTAGTCTCGTATTTGACAGTTTGTGTTACTTTGTGAAGTCGTGCATAGGCAAATACTGAGCACCATAGAGTAAATACATATACCTGCATGGACCGAAATTCCAATGTATTAATTTGGAGTTCTTGTCCTAACTAAGTATTGCAGGTAGTCACAATAATGTTCATTATTGTTCTAGAGGAAATAGTTACTAAATTTGATTCATTAATCATACAGACATGACAGTATACAAACATTTTTTTGTCACCTATAATCTTTTAAATCGGTACATACAATTGCGATACATCCATTCATACGTAATCATATATATCCATTCATACGTAATTTATGATCTGTGCTCTTATCGGTGGAGCTTCCGCCACCTTCCACTATCTTATATCAATCTTTTTAACTGTTAATACGACACGATTCCAACTTTTTCTTCTTTTGGGTTGGGGTTGAGCTGTAGGCTACCTAGTCACAGGTCACAGGCGAATAGTGAACGGCCATCAAATGTGATGGTTAGCTGCGAATAGGTTGAATAAGCAGTCCCCGACCAAACAGCGGCAGCGTTACCAGGACGTGGTGGGAGGTTCGTGGGTGTGAACCTTTCTATAAAAACCCTTAGAAGTCTAATGACGACTTTGTGACTTAGCGACAAAAGACCGTCATCAAAAAGGTTTTTCCCTAGTGTCGGGTAGTGGCGACGCTAATTTATTTATTTATTTATTAGCATACAAAACAGATTACAGTCAATATAATAATATAATAGGAGCGTGTAGTTCGGTACAGAACTGGATTGTAATCCAACACTATGTATGCCTAAGAGCTAAATTATATAGACGCATTCAATATACGCTAGATAATTAGATAAGGTTATATAATAAAAAGTAAACTAAATAGAAAATGATATATAACTACGTAATGCAATGAATTATCATGTTAACAGAATTTTATTTATATTAAAGAAAAGAAAATTGGTACAATGTTAAATATAATTTGTCTCTTTACGGTGGAAATTTAATTGTCTCCGGAACTGGACCAGCGTTGAATGGAAAATATCTATATTTCTATTCGAGACAAGAATTTCATTGTATTGGCGACACATTCGATATAACTATTGGATTATAATAAGAAGTATTATTTGAGTAAACCTGAAGATAGAAGGTGTTATAATTACGGTTGCGTGATCTAAATCTCGTATTAAAGTTTAATAGAGAAAGAAGAGTGGACGAGTCCAACTGATGATGAATAATTTTATGTAACAAGGTTAGGTCATTATTTTGTCGTCTTATATATAAAGGGTCCAGATTAAAGTATTTCAGACGTTCACTGTAAGATGCAAGTTTACGACCTAAGCCGCATCTATAGCTAAGTATCTTTAAATAACGTCTTTGAATACTTTCAATTCGGTTGCTATGTAGTTTACAGAAGGGAGACCAGATAGCCGAGTTATATTCTAAAATACTACGTACGAGTGAGTAATAGATACTAATTAAGCTTCTACTCTGCCGAAAGTTTTTAGTTGATCTTGTAATGAACCCAAGAAGACGGTAGCTACGGTCAACAATATTATCATAGTGGTCTCGAAATGTTAGTTTGTCATCAAAAAGCACGCCCAGATCTTTTGCGACACGTTTACGTTCAAGAATTTTATCCCTAAGGATATAGTCAAATTCGAGTTCATTTGTTTTTTAGTAAAAGTTATAACGAAACATTTACCCACATTGAGCTGCATGAAATTACGATCACACCAATCGGAAAGTGAATTTAAATCCGATTGCAATCTGTGAGCGTCAGTACTATTGTCCACCGTAGAAAATATCTTAAGGTCATCTGCATAAAGTAAACAAGGACAGGATAGGACATCGATTAGGTCATTTATGAAGATGACAAATAATAACGGGCCTAGATGACTACCTTGCGGCACACCAGAGAACAGTGTGACGGGAGCAGAGGTATGACCCTTAATTGCAACCAGCTGACTCCTACGACTCAAGTATGACTCGAACCAGCGAAGCAGAGAGCCATGTACTCCGAATTCTGCCAGTTTTTTAGAAAGCGCAGCGTGATTGACCTTGTCGAATGCTTTTGAGAAGTCGGTATAGATGGAGTCCACCTGTGATCTTTTTATAAAAGCCCTGCAAAGATAGTTCTTATATTCCATAAGATTAGAGACGGTACATTTAATACTGGCAAGGGGCCAAAGAAATAGTTCTGGAAGGGCCATTGATCAGGTATGAGCGGGCAGTTCCACCGATCGCTGAACCATGGTGTGGAAGGCAAATAGGGAAACCATCACACTAAATTCCCTATTAAATGGAGCATGGAATGAATAAACATAAAAGTAAAGTTCTTGACAATGGGTTTCCACGATGTCACATGCCGTGGCGGTCTGAGTCCGGCTGTGGTAGAAGCAAGACAAAACCGGTAGTCATCATGCGAAATCCTTGAAACATGGAACGTAAAAATACCTTAACGACACTAAAATGATCTAAAAAAAAAGAGATTAAGGGCCCTAAATATAGTACATTAATAAACCGTTTTTATACAAAACGTCCATCCCTAGAAACTAGATACGGATAATAATCTTCACATTGAGCATGTTATCACTACATAATCTCGTCAATGAGAGATCATTACTTACGAAAATTAAAATATTTAATTTGTCCCAAAATTGCTTATCCAGTACCTTACCTGGCTAACAAATAGGGAACTTTGTTATAACGACTTAGGAAAGTACATTTTTTACATAATTTTTACTGCTGGTATTTTTTTAATGTCAAATAAATCAAGAAAAAAAATTGGTAAGATATTTTAAATCTGGCAACTCTGTTGTGTTTATAATATTTATAAAGTAATTATAATATGGCGGACCAAAATAACGAGAGCGCTAAAAAACTATTTTCGTCAAAATTTGCACTTTCCCAAATAGATAATTAGTAAATGTTGCTCTTATATATGTCATGCGTGAAGTTTGTATTGTAATAAAGTTATTGTGTTTATGTAAGTGACCAAATGAAGATACGCAGTATACAATTTTCATCACTGTTGATAATTAGGCATTTCAATATAAAATATATCTTATCTGAAGACATATTTCTATTTTCTGTTATAGAATGTCGACTATAAAAGTAAATTTTGAAATTGGGCACGTCGCTTCTTTGCGTTCCAAGAAAACCCCAGAAGGATTTACTCATGATTGGGAAGTTTTTGTGCGCGGACAAGAAGGAGCCGATATAAGACATTTTGTAGAGAAAGTTGTATTTATTCTACACGACACATTTCCCAAGCCAAAAAGAGGTAATCATTATTTAATAATACATTTAACAACATAGTACAAGATAACTCATTTGTCAATATAATTATAATTATTTTTTCCATAAAGTACAAAGACATGTTTATTCTGTAAGAATGTTATACTCCATTCCAATAGAACATACATAAAAGGTAAACAAACTTTTTATTGTGAAAAATATCACATAAGGACTCACTAAATGGAAATGGTAATACATTTTTCTGACTTCTGATGGTTTAAGTATATACATAATCACTTTTAGCAAGAGTGTTCATTTGTTTCCATTTTCTAAATTGTATTTCTAATATGTCATTCACAGATTAAGAGAAAAATGAATGAATCCCCTTTTTTAACTATATTTGTCTATTAGGGATTTGTAATAAAAAATTAAATGGCAGTCATACTAATCAAATACATAATTATAATGTATTCAATATTAATAAAAATAAGTGTCAGGACTAATATATATCAATCAATAAATAATCTATTATTGAAGCTTTAAACAATATGCTTATTATTGATAAATAAAATAGTATTAATTTAAGATTGTGCACTTTATCTTTCAAACTAATATAAAATAACTAGTTATGATTCATCAGTATTTACATATACTAATATATATATTAAATCCATTAATAGAAGTAATCAATATGATTATTGGTGATTAATTTGCACTGTGTTTGGTTATGACTAAACTGATTAATGATCTCCTTTGTTTACCTTCTTGGCTAAACTTTTGTATAAAACAATCTTATTTACTTTTATGCTAGGTCTCAGTAGGATGTGCAGTAAAATAATCCTATGTAGTGATGTAAATGTCTATTTACTTGACAAATAAACATGGTTTTCTAATTATTGTACTTTTATAAATAATCAAAATAAATTTATATATGCTGTGAATATCCTGAAAATCCTTTATATTATAATATTTTATTAATTTACATATAATATATATATACATAAATATGAATTTGTTTTTATTTAAATATTTAAGTAAATACCTGATTTATAAATAATGATCCATAAAGTAAAACAGCAAATTGTGTAACCCTGTGTAATATTTCATAACAAAAAAACTACCAAAAAATCTTTAAACACATTAATAATTCACTGTATCTGTTTATTTACAGTTGTAAAAGAACCTCCATTTTCACTTAAAGAATCTGGCTATGCAGGTTTCATGTTGCCAATTGAAATATATTTGAATAATAAAGATGAACCTAAAAAGATCCAGTTCTCTTATGATTTATCATTACAACAAAGTGGACTTCTTAAGGACAGATATATTTTCCAAAATCCCAATGATGACTTCAGAAAGAAGTTGTTAAGAGGTGGCGGTATAACTATTAATAATAATGCATTTTATACTAATCCTGATCAAGAGAGCAGGAGTAGGGACTCTTTCAGTGATGATAAACAACAGCTAATTAGTAAACCTAAAATGTCTTCTGAGAATAAAAAACATAAATCTAAAGAACATAAAGAAGAGATACCACATAGAACAAGTAGTTTTGAAAACCTCTTTGGGCCACCTATACATAAGCCACCGAAAGTGTCACCAGAGCCAAAAAAAATTGAAAAAATTGCCAGTTTCCAAAATTCTAAAGAGAAAAAAGATAAGGATAGAACAGGTTCAGACAAGAAATCCAAACATGAGCATAAGGAAGTGAAACCCGAAAAGATAAAGATAAAAGAAGAGAAAGAAAAGGTACGATCAGAAAAAAGTAAAAGTCATAAAGAGCAAGAACGGTCTAAAGATAAATCCAGTAAAAGACCTAATGAAAGGCCGCCATCACCTGAAGCAAATAAGAAAAGATGTATTAGTCCAGTCAGAAAAGCACCCAGTCCAGCACATCGTTCTGGTAGTGCTTCTAGTTTCAAAGATGAATATAAATCATCAAAACATAACACTGAAAATATAGAACAAAAGAAGCCAAAAATTGAAGATAAAGTCCTTGAAGTGAAAGCTGAAAAGGATATCAAAGAAAAAAAGAAAAAGGAGAAAAAAAGTCATGATCGAGATAAAGATCGCAAGGAAAAAAGAGAGCATAAGAAAGAAAGTCATAAAGTAAAAGAATCACCAAAGGAATTGCCGAAAGAAGTTTCAAGAGAAGTATTAAAGGCAAAAGAAATTCCAAAGGAAAAGGAATTAGTAAAAGAATCACAACCAGTTAAAGAAAAACAGCCCAAACAAGACAAGAATAACAAATTTTCTATTGAAAATCTTAGGAAAACTCCAACACCAGAAAATGTTGATCGTTTAGAGATTCCGAAATTGAAAGATAGAGGTGATTCAGAAAGAAAACACAAGCACAAGAAAAAAGACAAAAAACGTGATGAGTCCAGAGAGAAGCATAAAGAGTCTAATAAAGAGAAAAAACACAAACATGACAAAAACCGTGATGTACCTCAGGAAAAATCTGAGGTGACTGAGCGTCGAGAGACACCTATTCCTAAAGAACGCCCTCTTCCTGAACCAGCTTCACCTATATCCATAGACACAGCCTCTCAATGCAGTTCTAAAAGTGGGTTGGCTAAAACTTCGCATACTGGCAATGAAGATTTAAATAGCAGCCATTCTGATTCAGAAAGCTCTATAATTGCCGAAGATGAAGAACCAAAAATAAAACTTGAGAATCCTTCCCCAGAGCCACTAAAACATGAACCATCGCCAGAACTAGAACCAGAGCCTGACCCTGAACCAGACCCAGAAATTGAACCTGAACCTGAGCCTATTATAGAACCACCACCACATAAAGAGAAGTCCAAGAAGCATAAAGATAAATCTTCAAAGAGAGAAGAAAAACGACGCAAACGGAAAGCGGCTGAAGAGGAAGAAGCTGAGAATAGAAAAATTGTAAAAGTCTCAGAACATGCTCTGACTAATAATGATATAGAACGCGGAGAAAGTAGTGGCTCTACTTCAGTGGAGACAAAAGTTCAGGACAATGGAGTTTCCAGTAGCCTGGGTGAGGATGCTGAACCTGGAGATTTGTCCCCCGAGTACATGGGGCAGTTACGTGATCTACAAAAACGTATAATGACTATTAACAATAATGAAGATCTAGAACGTGTTGTGAACTTAATAGCAGAAACTGGCCGGTATGAAGTTACTACACAAACATTTGATTTTGACTTGTGTTTATTGGACCGCTCGACAGTGCAGCAGCTTATACAGTTAGTAGGATGCTAGCTAAGAATTACAGTAAGACTCTCTGTACGCTGTTGGATAGACAATGTACAATGTTGTTTTAAAATTGATAGTGATGGTGGATGTAGGATTTATAGTGGATATTTTGTATTATGATGATTAAGGTAATTTACACCATTATTATATCTTTATAGAAGCTGTAATAGTGTGTTTAACAGCTAAGCTAATCTCATTAATTCTATATTATCCTATCAATATAATCATACTGCTCTACACTTGAGTGTTAAGTGCAATACTGTATAGGTATGTAAAGCTATAAGACTGTTGAAAGATTGTTAAAATCATAATGTATATTTTGTACATTTAATATATTAATTAATTATTATAAGTTAAAATATTTGAGAGTTTTTAATTAGCCCTCAATATCGAGGGTTATGTTAATAATTGTATAATAGATAATAATTAGATGTAATTATTGAATTATTTACCAAGTCTCTCACCATCACTTATTAAACACTATATATACTATATATAAATTACCCAAAATTAATATTGTCATAAAAACGTTATGCACTTTGATATTTCGAAGAAATTGCTGTAAGTTTTTACATGGGTAATATTTTTTTACGACAAAACATCACTTTTTGATGGTAATAGATTTTACAGACATTTTTAATTAAATATGGTAGTAATATTTACATTTTTCAAGTGTTTGGCGTTTATTTTAATCGGCATCTGTATATTATGTTTGTTACATAACTTATTTTCTTTTAACTAGTATTTTAGGTACAAAATAAAGAAACATAGAGTGGCCTTTAATTGTTTTTTATTTTTGTGTATGTCAGAATTATTCCTGACAGTATAAAAATTACTCAACTTTCCCTTTTATAATATTAAAGGTATTGAAGTAAAAATGCAAAAAGTTTAACAACATATTTAATCAAATGAAAATTATATTTTAAAATAATGAAATCAAATATACAAGACAAAAGTATGTAACTTAAAGCCCCATACATTCGATATGGATATATTTAAATGAATGATGAATACCTATAATAATGAAGACTGAACTTAGAATGAATGATATCCCCAAAATGTCGAATGGTAGGAAGTAATTACACTTACGACGTAAATCATAATAAATGATAAATAATGAATTTGTGAAAAATGTGTAATGATAATGTTACTACCGATATTTCATTGACGTCCATTGATAATAATAATTATCGTAAGCATATCTTGAGCTCAAATTAATTCGAACTGTTTTTGCCTGACGATATTATTTTTGACACATATACGCTCAACGTAAGTTATTGCGCAATAATATCAACCATTATCTTTCGGACCAAGATGATTGAATTCGCAATCCAAAGTGAAGAGCGTCGCTGTCCTTTCCCTTCGGTGCAGTCGAAACCTCATTACGATAAAGTTTTGTTCATCTCTTCTTGCCGTTCTTGTGAACGCTTTGGCGCCATTTTGTATAAAAATCGCCAATGTGCTCCATAGATATACCAGTTGCTTGAGCAGCGCCTGTCATACTAAATTCTTTGTGTTGCTCGTCACTACCGGGTTCTTTCCCTACTAGTAGTATAAGCAATGGTGTAGATTTTCCTTGGACCGAACTATCAGGGTCACCATTGCCTCCCTGGGTTTGTTTCTCGTCTGCTGTGAAATGATTGCAGAATTCCAATATTTGCAAATAGTTAAGAATATGTGGAGGTGCTTTACGAGGATATTTAAGTAACGGTAATGGCCTTGATTGCCCAGGTCGTTGAGCCCGTAAGAACCGTGACCCACTTTTTAGTTGGATCTCAAGCCAACGGATGGCATCGCGCGCACTGCTCTGTTCTCGTTTCAAATCGTCAAGTTCTTGTAGCACTGACAAAAAAAAAATAAACATAAGTAAATTAGTGTAATATATTATTTTACTGTACAAATGCATGTATCTGGTCCGCTCTAATTGCTATAGGAAATTATTTTATTAAACAAAATTAATATTTAGATTAATAAATTTATGCTATTTCGCAATTAATCATCATATAACATATTACAAATATAAAGTTAAAACATTAGTTCGAACAGGTAATATTTTAGCTCACTCTGCATGTCAAATGGGAAATATAAATACAACTATTTGAGTACTTAAAATTGAATTAATTTGCAGAATTGTCCAAAACATCAGGAAATCATTATAAAAAATATAGCTTCATCAATGACACATTGATACATACCAACAGATGGAACAAGTAGAATAAAGTTGCGTGCGCGCAGCAGGTGTTTGACTTTGCGTAGATGAATGTTGAGCGCAGCGGTGTCTAATACGAGGAGTACCGGTGTTGCTGCGGCGGCGGCGCGTCCGCTCCGCTCTAGTTCGCGGACTTGAGACGCCAGCCACAGCCGTCCCAAACGTCGCGGTAGACCACTCATACCTCCAGCTCCGGTCCCGACCTCATTGACCTCCGATTCCGTCTAAAATACATTATGATTGTTCATGTGATGATAATCATTTGAAATAAGTGGGAATACAAATCAAAACCTTTGTAGCCCTTTTTAGTATGTACCTTAGATTCATGAATTATATGATCACATGGTGACATAATATTCATGTACATAGGCGAAAGTTGTCACTTGGGTGGCCCCCGCCCATCATACTTTCCATCACTCTAGTTACATAAAAAAGTGTAAGTCAAAGTCAAACTGCCATATTGGGAAGATATTACTGTGATTAGAATTATTATGGTTTGACCAAATATGACCAGTCCTAGATAATATATTAATCCATACTTACATGCTGTTTTTTAGAATTATGCCATTCCCTGCTTCTTTTGTGGTTAAGTTTGGTATTTAGTTTAGGAGATTGAGTTTTCTTCAAGTAAAATATTTTCATAATTCTGTTGAATCTGATGCGTGGTACAACCTTTGCTATTTGATTCCCAAAATCTATAAAGTTTAAGATTCGTATAATGTTCTCTTCATAAACTGAAGGTGTATATCTATCTAGGATTTGCCATTCTGCAGCATCTTTATCAAATTTGCAAATATTTGTGCCTCGCAAATTAACATCTTCTGGCAAAGGTATTGTTTTATACTCAAACATAAGTTTTTCAGCAACATGTTTCGCATACTTTAGTACTTTACAATCCTTGTTTTCATAGACTTCGCTTTTAGATTTAAAATAATGAGAAAATATATTCAGCAAGTCTACAACACATTGAAATAAAGTTTCCCCACTATCACCACAAGAGAGTATTAAATCTTTTTCTGAAAGAATCCAATCTTGCAATAATTTTATACTTGGTAAAAAGTTATTACCAAGTAGAAAATTTTGAATATCTTGAATTTGAAGTAATTCATCTTTATTATTTGATTCAGTAGGTTTTACTGAAACATCTCCATTTAATTCCGCATCTTGTTTTATGTCTTTTAGTTTCTCTTTTTCAACATTTCCATTCAATTTTGGATCAAATTCTTCTGTATCAGTACCATCATACACTGAATCATCACTTTTAACATCAACATCTTCAGAGTCATAAGTGGAATCAGATGTTTCATCACCAGATTCTGATTCATTAGTGTCTACTTCACTACTTTCTGTATCTGCATCACTCATGTCAGAACTTTCTGACGAAGCTATGCGCCTTCGACGACGTCGTTTAGCCGGCGTCTTTTTACTGTTACTTTTTGGATCACCATTTTGGAGCTTTTCATTATCTTCAAGTATAACTACCATTTCCAGAGTTTCTTCTTTACTATCCTCAATACTAACACCAGTGACAAGATTTTTTTCAAACACAATAGATTCTTGCTTTGTTTCAATTTCTTTTACCTGCTCCTCTTTGGAATGCTGTGTATGAAAAACTTTCGCCCTATAATTATGAGATGGATTTTTAAGTCCAAATGCTTCAATCTGCTGTAAAAGTTTCTGTAATAACTGTGACAGTAAAGCCAGAGTAAAAGCTTTACATGCAAATGCTTTTGATTCATCTGTTTCAACCATTTTTGTTAATGTCAAAAGACAAATAAGAACTGTTTTATGAACAAGATTACAGTTAAAATAAGATGGATTAATGCTCTCCTCTTCTATAGCCTGTATGTAATCATCATAATTTTTATTTATATCAGGTAATGCAGATTTGTTAAAGTCCAGAGCAATTTTAAGTTCATGAGCAATTGTATTACATTTTTGTGGAATATTAGCGTCATTATTTCCAAAATACCAAATTTCAATTAAAGAAAGAAAATTTGCAATTGTATTTTGAATGTGCTCTGTTTGAGTCAAAGTCTCAGACACATTTAAAGTTTCACAGAATTGTGAATTCTTTTCAAATATTTTTAATAAATTGCCCATAGCACCGTCAAAGGGTGATGCACAACTTAGACAATGAATATAATAACACACAGAGTCCAAATTATAATTCTTGTCCAAATAAAGATTACCCAATTGGTTATAAGGCATTCCTGAGGACTTGTCAATATGTGCAGCTTGGAGATAATAGCGTGCTGCAATTGATGAATCAAAGGTATGAAATATTTCTGCTTGATATCGACTTAGATCTCCTAGATAAATCAAACATGAATGCAGTGCAAATTTTCTAAATTGCAACTCTTCATCATCTGGAGTTTGGTTCAATTCCCCAATTTCCTCATCTGTATGCAGTGGAATGTAATCTAATTCTTTGAAATAGACTTTAATTTCTGATTGTATTCTTGTGATTAGATGTTGAAAATGACCTATTCCACACACTATATGTGTAAACAGGTAACTGTCATATTCAGTGTCAGATTCTTGCAATTTTTTTGCAATACAAACAATTTCGTAGTAAACTTTTCTCCACAATAATTCAATTGCTTTTTTCCCATAGTTCAGTGGATCCAGAAATAGCAACTTTTCACAATTATCCCTTAGTTTCTGACGTTGTACTTCAAGATGGGTGGCAAAAAGATCAGGGATGGATCGACTGGATGTTGTGGTCTCGCCAACGCGCCTGGCTACGTCGGTAACATAGCTGTAAATATAACCAAGAGAATCACGTTACTATTGCGTACATACCTATCTTTGGATTGTCTTCACATCAGAGAACATTCAATACCAGTTGATATATCGTTTTATCGTAGATATTATAACGAAAAATTAGTATAAACCTCACCTATACAGTTTTTTGGCCTGCTCATTGCTATTAGCAATTTTAGCCTCCAAAGTTTCTTTAGATCCGTTCTTCATTTTCAAGCCATTTTATTACCTTGTCAAGATTTTGCTATTGGAATTAATTGTTTTAATATTTCAATATTACAATATGGATTCGTATTGATCATTTCTGCAAAATCATTATACACATGTAAACTAATGAAATTAGACGAAACAAATTTTATACGCATATAGTGTGATGAAATGAACAAAAGTGGCAGTCATTGTCAGTCTAGCCTTATTCCATCAATCGAGTTGTCAGTATTCTCATACCTTCCTTTTTTAAGGTCTCAGCATAAAGTGCTTTCACCAAAAATGAGTTTGTAAACGCCAAAATTTTAGTTAGAAAACCCTATAAATTTCGATCGGGAAATATAATTATTACTTTGTCTGTACAAATATTTTATATACGAAAATGATTATTACGGTAAAGGTAACATGCAATAAGATATTACATTATATATAGTAATTGCATTTGCAATTACACTGTATGGTGTCATATTTCAAAAACATAACTTATTTTAAAAATATATAATGTTTAAATATAAAGGTGATCGTTCGGTTTTCTGTATTCTACGACATAAAACAGCTTTCGTTAATGGGCCTTTTAACTCACACACACCATACAAACCCTGAGATCCTTTCGCCAATAAGTGCTCATGTAATATTAAATTTAGTAGGCAACACTGTAAAGTTGCAGAAAAAAATCGATGTTTCGCATCTGTGGTACTGTGTGACTTGAACAACTTATAATATGATTGGCTTTGGTCCGACTCCAACGAATTGATTGAATAAATATGTAATAGGTCTTTATCAGATAAACAATGTTTTCTTTATATCCAAAACAAATTATTACAAATAGTTATTAATAACATTTTTTTTATTATATATCTAAATTGAACAAAACTATTCGGGAACGCATCTCAAAAGACAATACATCGTACTATAGAAAAATTTAAAAACAAGATACATATTAAAGAAATCTATGTTACAGTAGTTATAATAGAAATATTAAATTATGGATGAACCAAGGAAAAGAAATGCAAATAGAAGTAATGTCGAAAAAAAATGTGTTGATAAAAATTCATCTGAAAAGAAAAACAGTGATCTAACGTAAGATATTCTTTACTATAATCGTATTGTTTTCTCTATATATATCTAGAAATATTAATTGAAGACATTTTTCAGATGTTCTAAAAACAATAATTTGCCGTTGCGTGTCTTCTCACGCATTGTCGTCATAACTTCTCTTCTAATTATTGTATATTTTTCATTGAATGACGAAAAAATTAAAACATTTGCCAAACAGTCAGAAATGTTACCAGGAAAAGGCCAAATCATAGAATGTTCGCCTGAATATTTAAAGGAACTGGATAAGTATGAAGGTTGTTTTCCCAAAGACTGCAAGAGATTTGTGACTGATAAAGTTATTTCAGAGCAGGAGGCAGATAAATTACTTACAATAGCCAAAAAGGGACTTGAATTGGGTGGTTCATCTGGAGGAGCGTCTATATTGGATTTACATAGTGGGGCACTATCTAATGGAGAACATTTTGTCAATATTTACAAAATAGCTAAGAACCTTTACACTGAGAATGACTTCAATATTTATAGAGTACTGTATGAATTTCATTCTTGTTATAAATTAGTTTCTTTAATACTTGTTAATTTACATAATTGTGTACTTACAATACACAGGTGGTAAAGGAAAAAGTAAAATATGCAGTTGCACACCATTTTGGAGTGGATCGGAATAAAATCTACTTGACTCATCCTACATTTTTTTCTGAAATAACTTCAAAGAAATCAGTCACAGTACATGATGAATATTGGCACCCACATGTTGATAAGGTATTACATTATACAATTTTATCTATTTCTATTAGGAGTGTTTAGAACAACGAAAAATAAGACTGATATGGATATTTAATCAATAAATTAAAATGGATACATATATATGTATAATATTAATAATTCTATTTGCTGTATAAATATATTATGGGAGTCATTATAGCTGTACAAAATTTTCTTTATTTACCAATTTGTTTTTTCAGGAAACATATAAATCTTTTCACTATACTACATTGCTTTACTTGGGAGACTACAATAAAGATTTTAAAGGAGGTAGATTTGTGTTTGTCGATAAAAATACAAACAATACTGTTGAGCCAAGAAAAGCTAGACTAAGCATGTTCACAAGTGGGCGTGAAAATGTACATTATGTTGAAAAAGTGTCATCAGGGGTACGATATGCTGTAACTATTTCATTTACTTGTGACATGCAACATGCTATAGACAATCCTAGTACTGATAAATATAAGAATTAAATATTGAATATGTATACAGTTTTTCTATGTACCCTCCATACACCTACAATTTACCCTGTATATTTATTATTCCTTCCTTGATTAGCTGAATTTATATGTTTTGATGCATTTAGAAAACGAAAATAGGTTAAATCTATTTTGTTTCTAGACTTGTAATTGAGGTATTAAAAAAATAAATGATGGATTAGTTACTACTTAATAATAATGATTGTTATTTATTACTATTGATTGATAATGAAACGTCTTACACACAATAACACTTGTTAAATAAAACACTAAATTGAAATTCGAATAAAATAAAATATGTCATTACATCAAAATCTCTTACAAAATTATGTGAGGATGATGTTTTCAGGTATTTATACCCTATTGAAGCCTAAAAAATATTGTGGATAATTAAAATGGCTCCATCTTTCATCTTTTATATTATGAACCCATCTTTTGTATTGACGACCTCGGTGCTCAAGCGGTCTAGCTTTAACACCGCTTAACGTCCGATGGTCGCGGGTTCGATTTCCCGCACGGCACAAACATTTGTATTCATGTGTATGATTGGTTGTATCGGTCTGGGTGTTTTCTATGTATGTATTAACCGGGTCTTAACACCCTCTTATATTAAACACGAAAGTTTAAAAATTAATTTGGCGTCATCTACCAAACTAAACAGTGCTTTTTGCGACAACTCGGCATATGTATAGGTACATATAAATAAAATTAAAGTCATCATCGCAGCCCGGAAGACGTCCACTGCTGGACATAGGCCTCCTCAAACATCTCCACGACGATCGGTCCTGCGCTGCTCGCATCCAATGCCTTCCAGCGATCTTGACCAGATCGTCGGTCCACCTTGCTGGAGGCCTTCCCACGCTGCGTCTTCCGGTCCGTGGTCGCCACTCGAGGACTTTACTGCCCCAACGGCCATCTGTCCTACGAGCTATGTGCCCTGCCCATTGCCACTTCAAAGTCGCAATTCTTCGGGCTATGTCGGTCACTCTGGTTCTTCTGCGGATCTCCTCATTTCTGATTCGATCACGCAGAGTAACTCCGAGCATAGCCCTCTCCATTGCCCTCTGAGTGACTCTGAGCTTGTTGATGGGGCCCATAGTTAACGACCACGTCTCTGTTCCGTAAGTCATCACTGGCAACACACATTGGTCGTAAACCTTCGTCTAGAGACACTGCGGAAATTTGGACGAAAAGATATATCGGAGCTTCCCGAACGCTGCCCATCCGAGTTGGATTCGACGATTGACCTCTTTCTCGAAATTGGATCTACCTAGCTGGATAGTTTGCCCTAAGTATACGTAGTGATCGACAATTTCGAGTGTAGAATCACCGATTTTTACGGGAGCAGGTACGACATGGACGTTTGACATAATTTTCGTCTTGTCCATGTTTATTTTAAGACCTACTCCTTGTGAGACTCTACTGAGGTCTTCGAGCATTTTGCTAAGGTCTTCCAGGGTCTCAGCCATGACCACGATATCGTCGGCAAATCGAAGGTGATTGATGTACTCACCGTTAATGTTGATGCCCAGCCCGCTCCAGTCCAGAAGCTTGAAGACATCTTCCAACGCAGCGGTAAACAGCTTTGGCGATATGACATCGCCTTGTCTGATACCTCGCTGCAGTTGGATAGGCTTCGAATTCTGGTCGTGGAGGCGAACTGACATAGTGGCGTTTTCATACAAACATTTCAACGCTTCGATATATCGATAGTCAATTTGGCACCGCTGAGAGAGACACAGCTGAGTATCAGGTACGCTACCCTAGTCGACACGCTCTCGACCTTGATAACATTATTCACAAGGGACCTGTGCACGAGGAACCCGACACCGCCTTGGGACAGTTGATCGCCCTCCCGGAAGTAAAGCAGATTGCCGGATTTCAGGACTATCGAGTCCTCCCCCTTTCTTCGGACTTCAGATAATCCCACGACATGCCAGTGCAATCTGCTCAACTCTTCCTCCAGTTCAATTAACTTTTCGTCGGTCCGCAGTGTTTGAACGTTGTATGTTGCCAGGGCCAGTGGTCGCCGTTTGTGGTAGCCTGGTCTTACCCGGAGATTCTTCGCACCCCCTGCCCCGCCGTTTCCACGACCGCTACCACGACTAAGTGTCTGTTTTTAATTTCATATCAACTCTGAAACGGCTGAACCGATTTTGACAGGACTTACGCTAGCAGTCATTTAATGTTATAAGGAATAGTTTAGGTCACTTTTGTTTTTTGTATACTTAATTAAATATAAATGAAATTCCACGCGGACTACGTTGCGAGTAACAGCTAGTAAATAATATACTGGTAGCGCAGGCGGAAGCACTATTTTATTGTCACATAAAAAAAAAATCATGAATATAAACAGTCATACTCATTAGTACAGAATTTTATTATCTTGCAAGAATCGAACCGCTGCAATTAGTAGGTGGTGTGTATATACCATAGATAATATACTATACTTTATACCACCGAGGCAAGTTTTTATACATCTACCAATGCGTCGTCGGCTAATACAATGTACCCATGACGATGCGGCGACGGCGACTAATCGTAGTGGAGTAGAACACCGAGGAGTTTTTGGGGGTAAGAATACAGCAGAATATAAGGGTGGACGGTTCTATATGCTGTATTTACCCTTGAAACAAAATACATATATATACATACTCATACGAGTAATCGCGTATAGTTGGCAACCTTGTCAAGTTGACAACCCTAGCTTTTATCAAATTGCGCTGTGCACTAGAAACGTACTTCTGGTTTCGGTTTCAGTCTAAACCGGGTTCTGTCATCAGTTTCGAAACCGAATTCTTTTTTATATTATCACAAATAAATAGTTATTTTCTTAAACATATAATAAATAAAGTCGGCTGATAATTCAAATAATAAATGAGTAAAAACCAAACCAGATTCGTACTTATTACACATAATGTTCAAGAACAGATGTTTTGAGAAATCATTTTTCTTCTAGGAATTAAAAAAAACAGGATAACACTATTACATTTCTTATATATTTGATATTATGTAAAAATTTTACTGTATTCTTTCATAATAATGTTACGCTACATATTTCTGTAAAAAACGATTTTAACCGGTTTTGAAATTATTAAATCTGAAGGAAATCACTATTCTCAAAATAAAAACAAAATGAAAATTTTTGTTTGCGAAAACTGACAGATCTAAATCTTCAATTCTAAAAAACAAAAAACATGCATATTATTTTTTGAACAGAAAATTTCTTGTCGACCCCTATGCCTCGTCACATCTGTTTGATCTAAAGAAAATCATATTTTTACGTTGTTCTATGTAAGGTAAGTTGATTATAAAGTAATATAAATTATTTAACTTTTTGTTTACATTTATATAAATTTATTTTAAAATTTAGTATTTCAAATGGACGGGTCTCATATTGAACATAGCGGCAGTGATTCCGATTCGGGTGAAAGTTGGACAATATTGGAGGCTTCTCCAGGTTATTCAGATGGAGTTCCCGAATTACCAGAGAACGCTCCCGAAGGACTACCTCATAACAGGTATTCTATTAAATAATCACTGTAAAAAAAATGATTTAGGTCTCTAAAATTTATAGTTATATTATATGCCTAAACTTCGCAACCTTGACTGGGATAATTAACTGTAGACCTATCAACACATAACGCAATACTCATGTTTGTTCAGATGTTTACATAATGATTATATATTGCAGTAGTTTTCTAAGAATTATGATAAAATGTCATTTGTACCTACATTAATATTTTCAAGATCTGAAGTTTGTAAAATAATATGTAATAACATTATGCATATTATTTTTATGAAATCTTTCTCTATATCTTATCTATGTTTATTACCCTATCAAAGGCTGGATATATGATGCATATTCCACATGAGTTATGGCCAGTTATAGCCACAAGCTATGGCCACAGTTGTTAAGAAAAGGATAACTTAAGGGTGTTTTAAGGGTGCCGGATGACTACTTTCCAGCTTCAAAACTCAGTTCAGTTTGATTTGAATTTGCATCGAAGAATCAAAGTAAAAAATATTTTAAATTGTAGTTATAAATAAAACTTGAATTAGTAATTTTCCAAATTGTATTAGACAATTTATTTATAGGTCTACAGATGCTGCTTATTCCACTCTTACATATAATATTCTACATATTTTTTTTAAATTGTACATTTATTTAGAATACAAAATTATGTTAGGTAGTAATTTGATTTTTCCGATATTTTCTCATTTTTAATAATTATAATTTCTTATGTATGATCTATAATAAATGTAATTGCATGCATTGCATTGACATAATGAACATTATTTAACCCCTAGATTGTGCAAACATTGCATTTTAATTATGGATCAAATAAACAACAAAACTGTGATATAACCACATAGTAGTTTATTCTTATAACTTACTATGAAAATATTTACATGTTGATGAGAAAATACTGATTGTGCATTTTATTGTATTAGCTTGGAGAGTTGCCAATATATTCCAGGTTAATGACTCACAGAATCTTTGTTCCTTTGTGGAATACAGAAATAACATTGGCCATACTCTGAATGCTGTATTTTAGTACAAATGATGACAGTTTAGTATTTTTATTATAACAAAATAGAATTTTATGATTAAAGTCAATCTATACTCATTGGTAAAATACACATTCTGAATATCCTGTGTTAGTTATTTATATTTCTAAAGTTAGTGAGTAAACAATTACTATGCCAAATTTAGGGCTGATTGGTTGGGTCAGTATGGCAATAAGAGAAGACTAATAAATTATCTCTTATTCACAATTCTAATATTAGTAAGTTTTCTTTATAATCTGTATTGAAAACAGTGTAATCTTATTTCAGAGACACTATTGAAGTAATTGGTGAAAAAGATGAAGATACTGATGGTATATCTATTATTAGTGATAGTGACCCAGAAACATCATTTCCCTGTGAAATTAATTACCACACATGTCTTTTAGAAGAGGCACTTCCAACCGATCAACAAAATACACGATATTTCTCAGTGAATCCATTAGCTTCTAACTGTAATACTAGTTCTCACAATAAATCAGTGAAGAGTGAGGAAGATTTTCTTGGAGATAATTCTGGAATTCATAAAACATATGTACACAGAAGAAACAAAAGGTTAAGTACTGTCCTTAACATTATAGTATTGGTAAGTGTTATCACTGCAGCTGGAGTCGCTATTGGTCATATGTGGGGTGTTAAAAATGATTGCACAATGCAGAGTATACCTTCTGTAAATAAAATATTATCCAATTTATATAAACTGCAGGAAGAGAATGCTTACTTACGCAGTAAATTGAAAGAGTTAACACTGGTTAATAATTTACAAATAAAACAAAAAAAAGTTGGCTCAGAAAAGTGGTTGAAACAAAATAAATGCAAAAAAGTATTTGAGGAGTCATTGAGTAATAGAAATGTTGACACATACACAAAGTGTGTTGATATTAATCATAATGCAAATGTTCAATCTCATGTTGTAGTGGGTTCTGATTATGAAAAAGATATTTTAAATATTAATCAGCTTAAACCAATTGGACAGAACAAGAGTCTGTTAGATGACGAAATATTAAAAAAAACGGGCCCAAAAAAGCAAATAATAAGCAAACATATGCTAGAATCTCTAGAAAAGAAACCATTTAAAGATATGAATTTGGAGCGGCAGTTGAAAAAAATAAGACGAGCATCAGCTTCATCAGAGCCACTACAAAATGAACCTCTAGAAATGTCCGAAAGTGATAAATTGAAATCAGAAAAGAAAATAAGTTACTCTGATTCACTCCAAATGGAAACCAAAGGAAAAATATTCGACATAAGAGACACAAATATACATACTGATGATGTCATAAAGGAATATCCTTATAAATATAAGGTAAAAAAAATACATGAGACAATTTCAGAATATTCTATTAGTGGTGATGAAGAATTAAAGAAAGATGACAGATATATTGCTCCAAGACATAAACAAGAAAAAAAGAAACATGACCGTCAGAAGTCACACAAAAAACAAAAAAGAAAGAATAAATATGAGCAGTGGCAAATGAAAGGAGGATACCTGAAAGATTATGATGTCTTATCTATATCATCATCTGAGAGTGCAGAAATACAAAATAATAGTGACCAACAGAAAAGCAAAGTAAATGATAATAAAAACAATGTCAGTATAATACATGAAAGTGATGAAAATATTCAACATGTGTCTTCAATCAAACCTCCACCAAAAGGAGGAAGAAAACTTATAAAAGGTAAAACTGGTAAAGATAAAAACGCAACTTGGTTTGACAATAGGGCATTGTTTCGAATGGAAGCCAGAAAGAAACTTAATTTTGAGCTTTTTGGTGAAATAAGTTCAAATACTGCAGGGTGGTATTTCCGTCGCATGCAAAGGCGAGAGCACTGTAGAGCCAAGGGCGACAACACCACTCATAGGAAATTAACCAAACGCAATATGAATTTTAAAATGAAACATTAAACATATTTGCAACCTGCTTGTGTATTGAGGATGACTATATAGAGATGGTGAAAAATTTAAGAATTTTCCTGTTAAAGAAGTAATTGTTTGTAGGAGAGTAGGATGAATGTTAAAATAGTACACCAGGATAGGATTACAGAAATTTATATATTTAGGCATTTCAAACTAAAACATTGTAGTCGGTGCATGTTTATATATTTATCCATTTATTCAATCAATTCTCTATATTTTTACTATTTAGTAGTATTATTAATGTTAGTGATTACATCTTGTACATTGATTTTTGAAGTTGAAGATACTGCTTACAAAATATTTTGTAATGAATTATTATTATTTAGATATATTATTATATAGTAAAGTAATATTTTTGTACTTTATCATAATTATAATTTCATCTCAAATTGATCTTGTTACTGTATAATTACTGCTACAGTATAATTGTACGGATTTATTTAGCAGACTATATCTCGGTGCTGTTCACTATTATTCAGCTGGCGCTGAATTTGTGTTGGAGAACTGGAGCAAGAATCTTATATCTAATAATCTTAATTATTATTCTTACTTCATTTCTGCAACTTTTGACATTGATTAACAGGTTTGACCACATTTATGTATTCCTATAATTTATCTACTGTATTTCGATTCCAAATATAATACAACACTGGTTAGTGATAAACTGTAAGTATCTTATAGTCCTCAGAATTATCTACGGTGTAGATATTGTTTTTTTATAATAACATTGTTTTATGATAGGTTTAGTTATTGTATGACTCCCATACTATCTGGACCCTCAAACCGCCGTCTAGATTTTTATCTATTTCTTGATATAATTATTTATTTTAGTTTGTGTTACTTCAAGAAGTACATTTTAATATTTCGGTAGATACCATTATTCACGTGTAAGGAATAAAATTTTAGAAATAGTTTACCATATTTCTTATGTAACTTTGCGACTATCGACTATAAATTCACGACATAGTATGTACATGCATAATTTTATTTCTGAAAATATGCAATATGATATGAAACTTGATTATATGCGTCTAATATAGACTGCAAAATAATCGAATATGTAACTAATTCTATTTTTTGTAATGGCCTCGAATACTTTGTTAACGCAAAACATAATGTTTGAACATCTTGCTCTTATGGATTTTACAACAAGAGATATTTAAAAATTTCATAAGTATTAATAAATATGAAATGTTAAAAAGTTACTATTAATAAGTATAATTACTCTATTGAATATTTATATATTTATGATATTAATAATCCTAACAAATATTTGGAGTAATTGGAGTTGCTTATTATTATACTATATTATACAGGTGTAACGGAAAGGGTATATCAATACGAAAAACATGGGGCCTGCCCATGGTTACAAACCACCTCCGATGGTTTTTTGAAATATAACTACACTTAAAATGCATTTATTACCATCCCTGACCTGTGGGCTAATTATGTAACTTCGTTCGCAACGATTTTCGTATGTAACGTAGTGAAAATGACGTCATCTGTCAATAATGCGATCATATAGACGCCATTTGACGCTGTCAAATAGCATTGCAACGTAAACGCAACTTTACATATCGATAAAAATTATTTCTATCGAATGTCGATTTAGTAATCGTTGCAACGTCACGTAATCGCTATTTTGCCGAAATGACAGCGTGGAATTGAAACGGTTTTTACATTATGAGAAACAATTTAGAAGGTGTTTCTTTTGGTTACAATCTTTAAAATATCAGCATTAGCAGCATTATTTATCTTGTTTTGGTAATTTTCAGTATTACATATATTTTTATTATATTAAATATTACGTAGAAAGTCGTGAAAAGGTTTTAAATTTATTAAAATGGGAAAATTGTCACGACTCACAACACGACATCAGTGTTGCCAATTCGATATTTTATTTTCGTCCCAAATCACATAGAATGTTGTATTAACTAGAGTAAATGTTTAATATAAAATTAGTTGATTATGATATTAATATAATTAAAAATCTATTTCAATGAATACGGTGCTCTGTGAACGGAATACAACGTTTATGATGCTCTGTGATTTGTTTAAAGTAAATAAAAACTTTAAACAAATAATGTTTAAAGTTTTTACAATTATGTACAAATTTAAAAAGATGTGCCCATATCATTTTAAATTTATATGGATACCTACGTACTTAAGGTATCTAAAAATTTGTAGGTTAGATTAATATTATTAATGATTATAAATAGTTTGTATAAAATATGCTTTTATATTCAAAATTATTAACCTTATTTTTTCATTAGAATAGAATAGACTTTCTTTATTCTATTTTATTAAATGTCTATTAATAAAATTAAAATAAAAGAACAAATGAACGCTGCATTATTTTGTAATTTTTGAACGCAATAAAAATTGTTTCATATCAACCAACTAGTGTAACAACCCAATAAATTAAAATGTAACCCTCTAAAGGTATAAGCTATCTAATGTACTGACTTTTTAAATTGGTCGGATTAACAATATTACGCTAACTTCATAGTAGTGTTTTATCGATAGAAATGATTGATGTTGCGGTCATTCGACCTTACTTGATCGCATTTTTTAAATTGAAATGATTTCATATTGCATCACAACTTCAACAGAAACAATTTCATATCGTGTTACATAATTAGCCCACTGTGGGCTAATTATGTAACTTCGTTCGCAACGATTTTCGTATGTAACGTAGTGAAAATGACGTATCTGTCAATAATGCGATCATATAGACGCCATTTGACGCTGTCAACTAGCATTGCAACGTAAACGCAACTTTACATATCGATAAAAATTATTTCTATCGAATGTCGATTTAGTAACCTCGTTGCAACGTCACGTAATCGCTATTTTGCCGAAATGACAGCGTGGAATTGAAACGGTTTTTACATTATGAGAAACAATTTAGAAGGTGTTTCTTTTGGTTACAATCTTTAAAATATCAGCATTAGCAGCAATATTTATCTTGTTTTGGTAATTTTCAGTATTACATATATTTTTATTATATTAAATATTACGTAGAAAGTCGTAAAAAGGTTTTAAATTTATTAAAATGGGAAAATTGTCACGACTCACAACACGACATCAGTGTTGCCAATTCGATATTTTATTTTCGTCCCAAATCACATAGAATGTTGTATTAACTAGAGTAAATGTTTAATATAAAATTAGGGTTGATTATGATATTAATATAATTAAAAAACTATTTCAATGAATACGGTGCTCTGTGAACGGAATACAACGTTTATGATGCTCTGTGATTTGTTTAAAGTAAATAAATTTATTTGTTTAAAGTTTTTACAATTATGTACAAATTTAAAAAGATGTGCCCATATCATTTTAAATTTATATGGATACCTACGTACTTACCTTATCTATAGCAGAAAAGAAAATTTAATTTGTAGGTTAGATTAATATTATTAATGATTATAAATAGTTTGTATAAAATATGCTTTTATATTCAAAATTATTAACCTTATTTTTTCATTAGAATAGAATAGACTTTCTTTATTTTATTTTATTAAATGTCTATTAATAAAATTAAAATAAAAGAACAAGTGAACGCTGCAGTATATTTTGTAATTTTTGAACGCAATAAAAATTGTTTCAAATCAACCAACTAGTGTAACAACCCAATAAATTAAAATGTATCAAAGGTATAAGCTATCTAATGTACTGACTTTTTAAATTGGTCGGATTAACAATATTCCGCTGCAACTTCATAGTAGTGTTTTATCGATAGAAATGATTTATGTTTCATTCGACATCGCATTTTTTAAATTGAAATGATTTCATATTGCATCACAACTTCAACAGAAACAATTTCATATCGTGTTACATAATTAGCCCACTGATTATATTATTACACATGTCATCATCATTTGATGTCCTAATCCCAATTTAGTTATGTTTTTCCACATGTAAAGAAAGAAGTCACAAACAAATCAAAAGTCTTTTTATGACGTAAATTATTTAATACACAGGACTCCTAAATTCTGGCCACGCCCACTCGGATATGGTCAACAAATCACAATTATTCATAATACGAATTTAAAATCGGCGTCTCAAAGCTCTCATTGTCAGGTTGTTTTTGTTTTGTGTTAAAATTATTTTTAAAATAATGTTTTTAATAACTTTTTTAACATAAAAATATAAGTGGATAGCGGAATAAGTGGATAGTGAAAGAAATGAAATACGAAGTGCATCGTTGTTCGTATTGCGTAATATGTATAGCTGCCGAAAATCTCTATGGTACATATCGTACAGCATCGATCACTTAATCGTGAGTGTGAGTGGAGGTTAATGATCGCTAGTGTTGGAACACGTTTGTTTTGATGTGACATTAAATTAGTTAAAGAAAATAATAATAATTTAATATTGTTTAAGGTATTAAGGTACATTTGATCAGAAAATATGCAGAAAGGGTTTGAATAACCAGCTGTATCCGATCCCTTTGGCTTGATATACCCTTTCCGTTACAGCCTGTATATCTATCCCCTATTATTTTGAAGTTTTTTCTATTTAAGTTTTAGAAATATGTGGCCTATTGATTTATTACACTGAATTACAGCAAAGAGGTCGAGAGTTCAAATTTGGACGGTAATAAAAAAAACTGTATCAATTTATATTTCTGACTGACTCTGCAATGGTGGAAACACGGAAATCAGTTTCTGGCGGGATGTGCGATGGTGAAATAGCAGCGATTCCTCGGAACACTCTTTGTGATATATATAATACATATGTAAAATATTGCAGTAAAGTCAAAGGGTCAAGTCTGATTTACCATTAAAAATATAATTTTGGATTGTTTACCATACTGTCGGTGGCAACTGTTTGTCTTAGATGTATCTTTATTGTTGAAATCCACGATCGGAATTGCGAGATTATGAGAAGATATGAAGACGGCCTGCTACTGTAAAAATAGATATTTTTACTTCCCCTACTTCTTCTTATAAATAGAAAATATCATACTGTGTCCAACACATTCTCCTCCCATGGCGACTTTCAATTTTATATCTGTTGAGCAGGTACTAGAATTGTATACTATCTTCTAACGTTTCAAGATTTGATACCTATCTGTAGTCGAAATCACCAAAAGATAAACCAAAGGAAGTGCAATAAAATTAACAGATTAGAAATGAAACGTTAAAAGTTTGATGAAATAAAATATATAATTTATTTTATGTTTGTCATTAGCCATTAACAATGCCTATTACAGTGAACAATCCTTGGTAGTGAATTAGTAATAATATAGTCAAATTTGACATCACATATAAAATGGCTTTCCGTCGTGTACATGCATTAATTAGGATATTATAATTACACAGGTCATATATAATCAAATAAATTATTCGTCTTCGATAGCGCCACTAAACACCAAGTTTATTGCAGAATTTACATCACCTGTAAATAAATATATTAGTTTAGTACTGGGAAAATTACAATAATATGTAATTAATTTAAGCAATTTTTAAACTTAAGAAGTCTTAATATACGTGTGTGAACTAAGTCACTATGTTTATATGACGGTAATTTCCGGTATCATAGCATTCCACGATACAGGCATAGCCTAGTGTGGGGTCATAGTTACAATGTTACTTAAGTTATATTTTATGAAATAAATGTTATTCTTATATTCCTGATTAATGGAAAATCATAAATAGCTAGTTTTTTTCTATATATCATATATTGTAACAAGATAACTTATTGAAAATATATGGTAAGAAAGGGAGTAAATAACAAGATGACTCTGAACAGGGATGAATGGAAGAGAAAAACATATAAAGCCGACCCCAAATAAATTGGATAAGGATGAGGCAGATGATGATGTTGAAAATATATATTGAAAATAATATTTACCTGAACAAATGAGCAAAGCTCTAAGATTGAGAGCATCATTTAGGAGGCCCATTTCGTGCATACGATGCAGTTGAGTTGCATATTCTTCATCCCGTACTGCAGGGCTTTGTGATGATGAGGCTAAGGAAACAATCACATTTTAATTTGTCAGTATACAACTGTCGCGTACAGCAAGCAGCAACAAAACTATACTAATAATACCTATTCATTCTCCATATAACAAGACAGCTCTTATAAAATTTGTGATTTGAGGCAACAAACTCACCAAATTTGGTTCACTCACCAAAATTTCTATTCATATTATTTTTACCAATAAATTCAAGAAAGTAAGCAAAATCTATGATTTCACACCAGTAATCTGCTGAAGCCATCATCACGTACCAACAACAATTTATAGATTGCTACAGTATTACTTAGTAAACCATTTAGCTCTATTCAGTTATGTAAATTTACAATGATGAATTTGGATAATAATAGGCCAACCAGACGATTTGTCGATTGTACGCTCAGACTCTTAGAAAACCACTCTGCCACAGTGCTACTCTAAATTAAGTCAATATTATTAACAAAACATACAATAATAGGCGAACGCTGTGGTCTAGTAGTCCGTCTGTTTACTACTCTGACTTACACCCAGAAGGACGTAAGTATAAATCTAGTCGACAAAAATAACTGCATCAATTCATTATTTATTACCGTCTTAACCACTGTGAAATGTGGGTATGTCAAGTGTCGCGTTCACCTTGACGTCGACAATTAGCAATGCTTTTAACTACCCCATCTAGTATATTAGTTGTGGTATGTTTGTTCATAAATACCTGCAGTGCTCTGTTCCATCGGTGTACTAGTAGGTTCTCTAGCACTACTACCTCTGTTAGTTGCAATTGCATCCCAAATAGCGTCTCTGAACATTTCCGGTGTTATTACTGTACGATTTGTGCCTGCAAATACAGGAAATAAGAGGGTAATTTCACAAATGTCAGTGGGACAGTAGAACAAAGGTATTGTGGAGTTATAAATGAAATGGTTTTGGATTGTGTTGGATTGACACGTGGTTTCCGTTACATTTACATATTTTAGGCTTAAAATCACTTTGACATTTTGTGTTGTTTTACCTGTTTTGTGTTGTGTTTGTTACTGGTGTTGGCGTAAGTATTTATTTTTCCTATATGTGACCCATCTCCATCACAAAAATGATGGAGATGGGTGCAGACGAAGATCCCCCTGATGATGGGGGAACTACTGCTAATCTATCTCTGATCAGTTGAGTCTGGATACTTCCTTAGTCTCAAGAAAAAGACAAGCAACGAATGACCTAAATGCTGACGAAATTAAGAAAGTTAACTCACCATCAGATTCCATCCAATCCGTATACACAAAACCTGGCTTTGAAAATGATAACTCATTTAAATATAAAATCACAGATTCTGCACCTTATTCTGTACATATTACCAGAGTGGAACCAGACACAGCTGCTGGTTTCTCAATACGTCTACTTAAATTCGCACAGTTTATACATAAAAATAATATTGTGGGTATTAAAGAGGGAGGTATAAAAGCATTGGGGAGAAATAAAATCTCAGTAGAATTTAAAACATACTCTGATGCCAATAACTTTGTTGACAATCCAATCTTGTCAAATAACAAATATTCTGCAATGATACCTAAGTTCCAGATTTCTCGCATGGGTGTTATACGCAACATTCCCACAGACTGGTCTTTAGAAGAATTAGTATTTAATTTAATATCCCCTGACTATTTTGGACAGATAATTAGAGCCAGAAGGCTCAACACTAAATCACGCAAGCCTGACAATACCGTCTCTTGGATCCCATCAACAACTACCAAAAATATACTTTATATTGTTTTAATACTTCCCTCCCTGTCTTTCCTTACAATCTCCCAACTATTCGATGCCGTAATTGCTGCCGCTTTAGTCATATAGTGGAGATCTCAACCCAGGTGTTATCAATGTGGATCTCAACATTCTGGAGACAACTGTGACCAAAAAGATGAATCGCCATTCAGTACCCTTTGTGATAGTACAAATCATCAAGCCACAAACTCAATTTGTCCCGAACATGTCAGACAAAAGAATATTAAGATCATTATGGTAGAAGAAAATATTAGTCATATGGAAGCATCAGCCAGGTTCCCTAATCCCAAACGTTCTTATGCAGATATGGCATCAGCTCCAGCCTCTAACCTCTCACAGGCAACCATAACACAAACATATCAAAAGTCTCTCCACTCCTCTTCTTCTAAAACTCCCCAGAAAAATCGCAAGACGATATACAAGTCTCCAAGACCCAGACCTAACCCGGGCAAATCCTATGACCGTGAAGCTCACTATAATATCATACTTGCCCTTAGATACCACCAAGAACGTAATACTGATACCACCCCCCTTGCTACCCCAAATGACAATTTAATAGAACTACTTACTTGTTCCCTAATTAACATAATTTCTAAATTCTCCGATGCATTACCGTCCAATGTCGTTTTCTTGATTCAGCAACTCCTATCCACTTTTAACATCCTATCTTCTAATAACGGACCAGTTGTTCTACAGCGGTTCTACAGTGGAATACTAGGAGTATCAGACATAAAAAACAAGACCTTATCCATCTCCTCAACAACCATAAACCCACTGTCGCTGCTATCTCTGAAACTCATTTGGAAGTGACCATACTCCTATTATTATAACAATAATTAATTGTTCCAGATTCCAAATTGCAACTCCCAAAATTCCACAACCTCTTCTAAAGTATAGAATAACCAAAGCCAACTGGCAAAAATTCTCCTCTCGAAAAACTCACATCCCTCCAGATTGTAGCCATATTCAGCAATATAATGATTTCATTTCTGCATTACTCTCGGCTGCCGATGATTCAATCCCCGTCAAAAACAGTTCCCTTAAAAAAATACCTTCCCCTCCTTGGTGGGACTCTGAATGCACTGCCAGCGTTAAACAACGCAACGAGGCTGAGAACAAATATAAACTAAACCTAACTATGAATAATTCTGTTAACTTCCGTAGGACCAGTGCCCATACTAAAAGATTCTTAGCAAAGAAAAAAAAAAATGGGATGGTACACTTTTTGTGGATCATTATCACCAAGAACATCCCCTTCGCTGGTATGGAAAAAAGTCAACTCCTATCGTAAATCACGTAATTGCCCCAATGAGGACTCCAGTGTCTCAGCATCTTGGTTGGAGGACCTACTCAACAAATTAGCTCCATCATATGTTCCTTTTCAAGATTGTTTCCCATCCTTTCTTCCCTCTTCCACTTTCAATAATAGCTCTTCCCCAGGCATAGATGGCATACTCTATTCTTTCATCACAAAATCTTTAGTTTTCGCCCAAAAGAAACTGCTTGATATCATTAATGCTGTTTTCACTACAGGAATCATTCCTGAATCCTGGAAGACTCAAATTATAGTCCCTATTTGAAAGCTTGGGAAAAACCCGTCACATTCTGATTCCTATAGACCAATAGCGTTATCCTCCCCTCTCGCTAAAATCACGGAACATTTAATTAAAAATAGGCTTGAATGGATCATAGAGACTAAGGGGCTATTAGCAAACAATCAATTCGGTTTTAGACGGGGAATGGGAACTATTGACAATTTAAGCATTTTCACCACTGAGATCCGCCTTGCATTCTCAAAAAATGAACACCTTATTGGTACCTTCCTTGACATCTCATCTACATACGATAATGCCCAACTCCCAGTACTCAGGCAGAAAAGGCAACAGCTGAGTATCCCTGCGAGATTAATCCATATCATTTGTAACCTCTTTATGTGTTGATCAATTTCTCTACGCGTTAATGGTACTTTGCTTCCCCCGAGGCTAGTTTGAAAGGGCTTACCCCAAGGATCGGTCCTAAGTACAATTGTTTTTAATATATATACTTCCGACCTAGAGACATCTGTGACATGTTTTTGTAAAATATTACAGTATGCAGATGATATTGTACTGTTGTGTGTTGTGGGGAATCTGATACTGCAGTATCAGATTCCCCACATGACTACATCCCGTTTGAACAATGCATTGTGGTACCGAAACCAATGGTTAGAAGATCATGGTTTGTCTTTATCGATTCCAAAATGCTCTGCGGTTGTTTTTACCCGCAAGAGGCAAATCCCTACTATCCAACTTGCACTCAATAATGAAAATATCAGGATTGAGGACAAAGTAAAGATCCTGGGCATGATCCTAAATTCTAGGCTTACAGGTCTTCAACACATTGCCTACATATCCAACAAGTGTGAAAGCAGCATTAATATTATAAAAGCTCTCTCTGGAGTTCGATGGGGTTCTCACCCCTATAGCCAAAAACTTCTATATAATGCTTTAATTAGAAGCCACTTCGATTATGGTTGCTTTCTTTTAGAACCATGCAACAAAATTGCCATTGCCAAGTTTGATAGGCTCCATGCAAAATGTTTGCGCATAATTCTGGGTGCAATGAAGTCGTCTCCGACTAATGCTCTCCGATTATAATGTGTTGACCCCCCTCTCCACCGTCACCAATTTCTTTCTGACCGATTCTTCTTTAATGTAGCCCAATATAATACTCATCCTTTATTTCGTGCCCTTGATTCCCTTTCTGACCTGGTCTTTACATCTACTTACTGGTCACACAAGGATCTGCCCCCAATAGTCAACAGTTACCGAAAACTTAAAAACCTACCAACCCAAATTATTAAAGTCCATCGAAATCCAATTTTTGAATTCGACTACGACTCCTTAATATTCCAACCTAGAGTCCTGTTTAATCTTGGTATTCAGAAAAACTCACCGACACCCAATCAGGACCTAAATAAAATAATATCAGAAAACTTTAATGAATGGACCTTATTCTTTACGGACGCATCTAAAATAAGGGATGATTATGATGTTGGTTTTTCTGTCTGGATCCCTAAATATAAAATAGCTTTGAACTTTAAATCCCCACTTATGACATCTACTGGAGAAACATTAGCCATTTTAGAAGCCACCTCGTATATTCCCACAATATTAACAAGTCCTTGACATTATCAGATTCACTGAGTTGCTTGCAGGATATCACTAGACTACCATTCCACTCTAAAAACATATTTCTTGCCTCCATGCAAATTCGTGAAATTCTACACAAATACCAGCGTTCTGAACTAGAAGTGGTACTGGCATGGATACCGAGTCATTCTGGTATACTAGGCAATGAAGTTGTGGACTCATGGGCTCGGAAAGCGACATTGATTGGTTGCAACACCCACGATCGTTACTACTCTCGTGATTTGCGAAGTCATATGAAACCTCAAATGTTCAAGGTTTGGAATGACATCTGGCAAAAGTCACAGCTACTAAAAGCGAAATATTACGGAGAAATCCAATCGCTTATTCCCAATAAACCATGGTTCTTCAAACATCGTAAACTGGAAAAATGGGTCACGTCTGTAATATTTATGCAGATTTATTTGAAATTGACAACAAACAAATACTGACTGCTCATATATTTTTAATAATAAAATGTTTGGTTTTCTTTTCTAAAGTTCCGAAACGGAGTATACATATGGATGTAGAGCCAACTTTGGGTGTAAGTATTTTTGTTACTTAAGCATACTCATTTCAAGATTCAAGTTACAAGAAACAATGACATCAAATTCGTTGCATGGCTGCTCCAATCGGTAGAATTTATGTTTATACATAAATTCTACCGATGGCCATTCGTAATACCACCACATGGGGAAAATACTGGCCATAGACAATTAATTAAAGGAAAATAAATAGAGATTTTTTACCTGATGCGGTTGGCGTGTTTGTCTCTGGTACAGATGATGTACTGCGAGTTGGTTGTTCAGCAGCTTGAAGCAGCCGCACCAGGCTCTCATGCCCATTACCTCGAGGAGTTGACGAGGACACCGCCTCTGTTGCTGCCTACAAAAAGTAAAACACAAGATAATTTTTAGATTTTAGAATCTATTGGACACAAATAAAAAATTTGTCCAACAGGCCTTCCACCCGAGCCTATTTGTCTCAAGAACCAGATCACATTCAACGGGAAATGATCCTCGTACACAAGAACACTCCCAGACAACTCAAGAGAATGTTGATCCAAAATACCAAAAAACTTGTCCCCCCACATGGCAAAGAGCTCCAGTACAACGAAATCCAAAAAGAAAAAAACTGTCAAGTAGTCCACCACATGAGGAAAGACCATTAAGTCCCTCACAAAATGTAATCACCTCCAATCGGTATGACGGGTTGCCTGTAGACCTGACTGAGGATTCTGAGGAAAGCCATAACATTCAAAGAAAAGTTAATAAACCACCACCAATAATTCTCTATGGTATTGAGGACATTTCAAAGCTAACGGAACTGTTGAATAAGGACATTCCCGGAGGTAACTACTCATACAAAATAATCAACAAGGATCAGCTGAGACTAATGACATAATGTACTGAAACCTACAAAAGCTTGATTGATACTGTTGGACTTATTGGTCACACTTTTACACAAAAACAAAATAAATGCTACAGAATTGTGATCAAAAATCTACATCATACCACTCCGAAAACAGCTATTATAGAAGAAATAGAAAAAACTGGAAATAAAGTCAGAGGTGAAGTAATATGTGCAATATCCAGAAGAAATAAGAAGCCGCTAAATATGTTCTTTGTGAACATTGAACCTAGTCCAAAGAACTCAGATATAAAAAGAATAGAGTTTATATACAATACTAGAGTTAAAATTGAAGATCCTCGGAAATCAAGTGAAATCCCACAATGTACCAGGTGCCAGCAGTATGGACACACAAAAAACAACTGTATGCTCCATATAGGTGTGTCAAATGCGAAGGACACAAGACTGTAGAATGTCCAAAAAAGGACAGAAATACACCTGCAACATGTACCCTTTGCTAACCACCCAGCCAATTATAAGGGTTGCCAGGTATACAAAGAAATCAGGGCAAGAAAAATGACACAGCCATTAAGTACAAAAACACCACTTATTAAAAAACAGCCAACTAAACCACTTATTCCAATGTACCCGCCAACAATGAATGAATTTCCTCCACTACACAAAACAGACTGTCATCTTGCTCAAAACTCAGTACATAATGATGATATAAATATACCAAAAGTCTTCAAAGCCGCGACCAGAAATTCTGGAAACTGGGGTAGGACATCAGAGACTATAGAATCTCAGCCAACAAATTTGTTACAACAAATTTTAATAAAACAATCAGAAAAAATAGATATATTAATTCAACAGATGGGAACCCTAATGGGACTTCTCACAACATTAATTGCCAAATATAATAAGTAAAAAATCTCAGAATTGCTACATGGAATGTTAATGGCCTGCCTCCTATAAGCAGGAAGTGGAATTATTTATCAATCACAACAAAATTGACATTCTTTTAGTATCTGAAACCCACATGACTGATGGTAGAATTATTACAATAAAGGGGTATAACATATACTACACAAACCACCCTGATGGCACATCCCACGCTGGGAGTGCCGTCATTATAAAGGAAAACATAAAACATCATGTTCTTCCTTATTTCAAAGAAGCTTACTTACAGGCTACGATTGTATCTGTAGATGATTGGCAAGGACCACTCCAAATTATCGCTGTATACTGTCCCCCAAGACATCGACTAGACGAACAATTATTCAATGACTTCTTCTGCAGACTAGGTTGCAGATATATTGCCGGAGGAGATTGGAACGCTAAAAATACCTACTGGGGTTCTAGGCTTACCACCACTAGAGGTCGAGAATTGTTTAAATCATTGGAAAGAAAACAGCTGAACGTACTTACCACTGGAGAACCAACACATTGGCCTACTGACCGTAATAAAATACCAGACCTTATAGACTTCTTCATAACCAAAGGGATATCTGGATTATACACAAAAGTTGAATCATGTCTGGATGGGTCTTCTGACCATTCGCCAGTAATATGTACATTAAGCACCACACTTATCTCGAAAGAGTCACGTGAGGCTTTGTATAATGGAAAGACAGATTGGCCAGCATTTAAAGATTACATCGAAGAGAATACAAAATTGCACGTACCTCTCAAAACCGAAGAAGATATTGATAATGCTACATGGTACACCACAAATTTGATACAAACAGCCGCATGGAAGTCAACACCTAGTATTGAGATAGAACCACAAAACAAGAATTATACTACCGAAATTAGAATCAAGATAGCTGAAAAGAGGAAACTAAGGCGCCAATGGCAGACGAGCAGAGATCGTGGTCTTAAAAGGACATTAAATAAAGCCCAAAAAGAACTAAAAGAGGTCTTAAAGGAATGTGAGACTAAAACCCTTCAAGACAAATTAAAGACGTTATCTCCACATAAGGCAGAAGAATACTCGCTTTGGAAAGTAACAAAATCTCTTAGAAGACCACAGGAACACAATGCACCATTAAAGCGAACAAATGGCGGTTGGTTGAGAAAACCAGCTGATAAAGCTGAGACCTTTGCTCACTTCCTAAAAGACGCTTTTACGCCTAATAAGTCAGACGACAGCGACTCAGAGACAGAAATAGACAATGTTATAAACAGCGATCAACAACTGTCATTGCCATTACGACCAGTTACACCTGCAGAAGTCAGGAGAACCATTAATGGTCTAAAGAATAAAAAGGCACCTGGTTTTGACTTAATAACAGCTGAAGTCCTGAAGCAGATACCAAAGAAAGGTATTCTTCTCTTGACCAATCTTTATAACGCAATATTGAGAAAACAATATTTTCCCTCCCTGTGGAAGGTCTCCATCATAAACATGATTCTTAAAACAGGAAAACCTGCCACAGAAATAACCTCATATAGACCAATAAGCCTCCTGTCAATATTGTCAAAACTGCTTGAGAAACTTATTCTGAAACGTTTGCTAACGCATCTAAAAGATCAAAATGTTATACCACATCACCAATTCGGTTTCCGCCAACAACATGGCACGACAGAACAAATACACAGAGTGGCTCACACCATCAGGCAAACAATGGAAAAGAAAGAATATTGCTCAGCTGCCTTTCTTGATGTGCAGCAAGCTTTCGACCGAGTTTGGCACAAAGGCCTGTTATATAAGCTTAAACTGTACTTACCCAACTCTGCTTTTATGCTTATAAAATCCTACCTAGAACACAGACTATTTCAAGTTCGATACGAAGACTGTTTGTCCTCCTTATATCCAATAGATGCTGGTGTTCCTCAGGGTTCCGTGTTGGGTCCTTTATTATATACCATATTTACTGCAGATCTACCTACCTCAGAAAATGTGGTGATTGCAACATATGCAGATGATACAGCTATACTTGCCTGCCACAGAGAACCTGAAGTGGCTACAGCAAGACTACAAGAACACCTGAACCATATAGGGTTATGGCTTAAAAAATGGCGCATAAGAGCCAGTGCTGAAAAATCAAATCACATTACCTTTACCCTGAAAAGAGGAGACTGCCCACCAGTGACGCTCGACGGCTGTATTCTGCCTCATAACAATACCGTTATTAATATTATAATAATTCAGCGTTACCAAAGTAAGGTGTTAAAGATCATAACCAATGCACCTTGGTATGTAAAAAACCGGGAGGTGCATGACTACACAGAGATCCCAACGGTGCACGAAGAGATAAAACGCTCATGTAAGGCTTACCGGCAAAGACTTCAACACCATACCAACCCTCTAGCAACAACTCTCCTGGACTCTAGGAATTACGTATGCAGGCTGAAAAGGTCACGTCTGGCTTCGATTTAAAACAGCTGATGTATATAAAAAGAGGACCACATTATTGGATGTGGTAACTCAAAGCGACAGATAACGAAAGCTATAAAATCTGATAAAAGCTAATTGGCTGATCGCAGATAGATAAAAGAAAAAAAAAAAAAAAAAAAGAATCTATTGGACACTTCAAACACCATGAAATTATGGTCATAATATTTTATTACATTAATTATTAACATTTCTGTTATTCATATGGAATATTATTGATTTGGTTAGAGTTACCTTTTAAGGAAAGCTAATATAACATATAAATAGACCTTGCTAACCTACTTAACTTTTCTAATGCCATTTTCATGGATCAGTTTGTACACAAACTAACTGATTATGGATACTAGATCAGTCTTCCATTCTTGCATCCTTTTGCATTGCATCTCTCTATAGTAATTATTTCATACAACATTTTAAATGTGTTAAAGTTAATCAATAGAAGTGAAAGATTGAAAGATTAAAAACAAAATATTAAAAGTGTCAACAATAGTAATTAAATAACCTGTAATGCGGCTGCTAATTGTTCTTGTGTTATAGGATTCCTCTCACTGTCCTCATTATCTTCCTCTTCTGCATCTTCATCTTCGGATAGTGCTTCCAGAGAATAGACAAATCCAGAAGTGGGTGGTGCAACTGATTAATTTAAATTATTATTATTATTGATTATTAAATAGAGTTAATTACACTCAAATGTCTTATCTCTTAAAAACTGCACAAATGATATAATAAACATTGTTTCATGTACTATATAATTAAATTCTACAGCAAGGTTGCGAGTATACATTAGTGATTGCGCATCTAAATAAAACTTTTTTTTTTGGGGCTTGGTAAGGGCCACATGGAAATAAATACGGTTAGCAGAATTATTTTTACAGCATATATGATTAAAGAGATTGAATAGAATAAATAAAATTAGAGATAGAATCGAGAGTAAGCTTTATTCTCGATTTATATATCTTAAGATATAACAAATTTTTCTCAACTAATTTAATGTATTTATGTCTGCTTGTTATATTTAACAAGTGCTGATGTCACAAAATCAACTGTAAGCCCCATAAATAATTTAGCCTACTACTATTACTACTGCTAATTTATTTTGTGTAATATTATCATAATTATATACCATTCTCGTGTAGTGATGGTGAGCCAGTCCAAATACGAACAAGACGTATCAAATGATATAAAGCAGCTGGAAGTTCAGGGTGCGCATTTACACCTCTACGCATGGTTTGTTCATTTGCACCCAACGCTGCTAATAATTCAACTTCATGTAAAATTGACAGCAACACAGAATCCTCTGCTAAAGATGGTGCATGCGCCATAATTTCCCTCATAGAAGCCTCATCATTTACCAACTGAAAATTATAACAGTATTTGTAAGATATTTATTTAAATATTTTAATTGTATTTGTTATTGGTATTACACATATATATCAGAGTAACTGTAATTTAACTTTTGTGTAATCAATGAACTACTGAACTGATACTTGAAGAGGGGACAGCTCAATTGACAAGGGTGACTATTCTTCTTAAAAAGTACCTATATTAAGTTTATTTGAAAAAAGATTATTTCTATTTCTATAACATTTTAATATTTACCTGCATAGCTAAAGTCCAACCTGGTGCATTGGGGGTGCATCCCAAAGTTCTCAAAGATGTATTCAGTTGTTGTAGTTCAATATCTGAATATGTTGGAGGGGAAGGTAAGACTACAGGAGCCTTCTTTTTTAGAACATGAATCATTTCCCCATTTTTTACACCACTATCTTGAAGAGTAGCATCATCTTTAAGTATTTTTCCATGATGTATTAATTCTAAAAGATTCAGAACAAATTAAAATATCTGAGAATCTTAAAATATAAGTTAATTTAGACTATTTTTTATGTACTAGCATAATATGAATACAAAGATTGTACATAAATTTTATAGAATGCAAAAACATTAATAACAATAACAACTCAGGATAATTCATAGTGGCTTTCAGTCCCAGGCTGAAGAGTTGGTAATAAGGTACTGAACACCTCATTTATTACCTCTGCTTTTGTATATATATGTATATAATGTAGAGAACATGCAGATCAATATAATTATATTTTTGAATACAAATGTCTTTCTAATGCAAAATTTTTACACCACAGAAGTAGTAATAAATAATAACAAAAACCCAAGACAATTCTGAGAACAACATTTAATCCTAAGCTAAGTAGAGCTTGTGTTATGAATATTAGACAACAGATATAATTACGTACATAATTATTTTTGTACATCCTACTATGTATGGATTTACAAAAGTATATGATATACGTAGAAAACGTAGAACAAAAAATAAGAAGAGGGTAAGAGTTCTTACCAAGCGATGTAGACGGTATATTAACTTTCTTTTCTGCTTCGGTTTTTAAATGAACCACAGTATTGTCAAGGCCAAAATTCTCAACCTTATAGCGTTCTAATGGCCCAGGTTTCACTTTTATTCCCAAAAATAGACAAGTTTCTGTTTCCATGGTCTAATAATTTATATTAAAAAATTCTTGGAATTTTTTTATACGTTTTTGTTTACAGTAATAGACGATTAATTATAAAATATTTTTATAGTATTTACAAACAACAGAATTATAACAACTTTGATTTTACTTTGCAATTAATATATATAGTGCACCATTAAGGTTCATAATTAGAAATTATACAATTAAAGTAAACTAACTCGTAGTAATTGCGCAAAATGACAAGGATGTTTTGAAGATATATTTTTTAATATCGTATGGCATTTGTAATAGTAATTTTGCCAGTGTCAGTTCTACATATCATTTATTATCTATGATTATATGGTCGTATAGTCTAAGGATTTGAATGTACAACGTATTAAATATTAATATATAGTAAAAAAATTACTCGTGAGGCAGAAACTAAATAGAGGGTAGTGCAGGATGTGATCTTTGCTGTGATGTATCTTGGTCCGGGTGAGATGGTTCTATACTCGTTGTATGGGAAATATTTGGCGCTTAAGGAGTGTATGTTCCGATATAGAGGGTTTTCTATAAGATCTAGATAGAGATATCTTCTGTCCGGGAGACTACTTATCGTTTGCCATGGTGGGAGGCTTGTCCCGCTCTCTTCAGGAATTATTAGGTAACTAAGAACATTTTTTGTATTATTACATTAAGAATTCAAGATATATAAAATAAACTAAAAAAAATTAAATACATCAAGAACATGCAAACATGGCTGTATGAGGACAAATCCCTTTGCCTAGCCGTTAAAGACCAAACAGAAGAAAAAAAATAGTGTAACGCACTAAAATAGAAATGTAAATATCGATGTTGCGATCAGTGCTAAAATGATCCAAAAATAACCATGTGCGATTGACATCTTAAATAACATATTGTAAGTAGTACTACAGATAAGAGAATATTAGTTTAAGAATATATAGTATGTAATATATAGTAGCACCACAGATAACATAATATGGTAACACTATCTTATAAACAATGCATTACCGTCAATGCTTTTATATTTGTTAATGAAACATTGTGTTTATTTAACATTATCGTATCGATATCGACAAGCTGTGTGTACATCCCCACTTTATACTTTATCTGTTATGTTCTGTTGTTTGGGTTTAGCTATTTCTTATTTTACTATTTATTCGAAATTTACTGTATTGGCTTGTTATTCAAATCGTTACCCTGAATGTTCAGTGCAAATATATTTATAGAGTGATATATATTTTGTGCCATAGGGTCTTCGTCACCATGTCAATTTTCGAAGATGACGGTGATCCGATTTTTAACGATCCTGCTATATTCCGTGTCATTCAACGCGAAATCTGTATGTAACAAATATTCGATATTCTTCATTTTAAAGTTTAGAAGAGTTTTTAGAAGATAATACAAAGATATCATCATGTTATAAATGAAAGTTTACTACATTTTGTAACATTGTGCTGCTACCCTACAATTTTTGTATTGCATTGTATTTTTTCAGATGAAATTGGTAATATTCAGGTTTTGCCGTACGGCTTTAGAAATATTCCTACACACACAGAAGATGGTATACCAATTAGAAAATTATATGTCACTAATCTTCCACTAAAGGTACTGCTTGAAATATGTTTAATATTTTGTAATGATCTTGGCTTTCCCATTGATCATTTAGCTGAAACATTTATTTTTGTTATAGACAACTCGTACAGACTTATTTGGAGTATTTGCACCATATGGCTTCATCAAGAGTTGTTGGTTGAAAATAATGAGTATGGGGCCAAATCGGGATCCCATACCCACATATGGATTTGTTACTTTCAGTAATCCTGAAGATGCACATAGGTAAGAAAAATTATTTATAAGGTTATTAAAATATGTACCCCTGTTATCTTTATTTATCTGGTTTCAGACTTATGGCTATAATCAGACTTATAAATATCAAATTTAATTTGTTTTGTGATATTAGTATATTTTTTTTAGTTTTATTTATCCTTATAGGAAAGGCAAAGAGTCTAAGCCCATACAGCCATTATCTTCAGCATAATTTTTGTATTTTAGTTCTTTTTACATTATTTAGATATCTTCTACTGGAGAGATAATATATTCATAAATTGCTTTATAAGTTTTGATGTAAATTCCTTTTATTGTGCATAAGGAGTATATTTTGGCCAGACATTCCCTCTTCAGGTAGAATTAATCGTGACTTGTTTCTAGAAACTTTAGGGCTAATTTGTTGGCATGGTATTCAAGCCTGTGCTTAAATGACTATTTATACACAGTACACAAGTACCTTGACATCCCAGTTGGGATACTTCATCATTCCTTGTAAACCATGGTACATTTGTTAATATTTAGACCATTATTCTGGAATCTCTGTAGGATTTCGTTATTTGATTATATTATATTAGCTGAGCCCCATAGTAGTTTTTTAGTTTTATATATGTTTACGCTGTATTATGGTGCTGATTAAATGATCAATTATTGTTATTATAATTATGGAAAATATTTATAGAGCGTTAAAAGCACCTAGCCATGAGAAGATGCTTCGTGGCCAAAATCTAAGAACTTATCCAGCTGACAGTTGGCACCAGCCCACAGAGGATTCTGATGGTAAAGTACAGTGGAGGTCACATTCTGATGCTCGGTTCAATGAAGCTAGCAATACAAGCAATGATCAGGAAGGTAATTTAATATTTTTTGTTGTGTTATTACTACTTACATCATATGTATAATTATATATATGTACTACATATATATAACTACTTAAATATGTAGGGTAATTACATTAGTGTTGTGATATTAATATATTATAGAACAGAAAGTGAATACAACAGAGAGTTTCATCACGAAAATTGTAATTTTGTTTTATGTAGTATTTGTTCACACTTCCGATGGAAAAAGTGATTTATTAACCAGAATGTTATCCAGAGAAGCCTGGATTGGTGATGGAAATTGTCTGATGGGTTATGAAAATTACTCTACTGTCTAGTACATTCATTGTAAACATTTTTCTGTAAGGAACTTTAACATTTTCTGTGTGTTACATTCTGTGTGAAAAGATTATACTAGTTTTGAGATTGGAAGTTATTTTTTACCTGACGGGAATATGGTATTTAAATTTTTATTTTTTATAGTAGATGAAAGAAAAGTTGTTGTAATATCCATCAACTCTACCTTTTATACATTTTTTATATTGTATGCTAAACAAAGTTTTAGGGTATAAACCACATGGATATAATCTAAATTATAATGAAAACCGTATCAAAATCCAATGCGTTATGTAGGAGCGATAATAAGATGAACTGAGACAAAAACATTTGATTTATATTATTTAGTCATAACTATATTGTTCTAGAGTGTCCAGAGTCTTCAACACATAATACAGACAGTGGCATTGCAACCTGTTCAGAAAAAAATGCTACAACTGTGAGTTTTTTTAAGTCTTGATTCTTAGACATGGTAATTCGGATATCATCATGGGTCATGACCTTAAAGGTCATCACCTATGTTAATGTAGTATTTATTTATATTAAAGTTGATTACTTAATTTTAAAGTAGTTAATGAATATTAATACCCATATATAATTGTATAACATTAAAGTAATTTTCAACCAAAATTCTTAATACAAATTATTTTTAATGCTGGCAATATTATAATCTTTCAAATAAGACCATATTTGGGGGAGACATGAAAACAAGGAAAAATTAGTTAGTGAACTTGTAAATACTAAATTTAAAAATGGCTATCGTTCAGAGGGGTGAAGGGTGAGACCCTCCTTTGTATATTTCTATTTCGTTGGTGAAATATAACGTACGATACGTGAGTCATTTATCGGAAACTCGAACTAAAACACTGTATAATTCGCCTCATTGTGATTTTATAGTTCTTGGTTTAATTATATTTTTATCCTATACATTTTTAGAGTGAAGAGCAATCAAATGAAAGAGAGGGGTCAGATGATGAAGATGACTCCAGCATACTGAACATATTGAACATAGACTGTTTACATCAAATAATGTCATATGTACCAATAAGAGATCTCATTTTGTCTGAGAGAGTTAGTAAGAAATGGCAATGTATGGTGCAGGAATATTTAGAAGGTAAGTATTTGTTCTTCATCAATCTATATCATCATAAGTTTCTTAATTCAACACGTGTTTCTATAATTAATCTATAATGTGTGTACTGGATGTTTATAGTGTACTCTGTTTTATAGAAGAGTCTGTATTTGTAAAAAGGCGGGAACTGCCAAATTAAATATGTAGCTTGATTTGCTTTTTACTTAAATTATTATTTAAATACAGTACACATATATTCCCGAAAAAAAAAGATTTATAATCAATGTTTTCCAGTGTTAAATAAAAAAATACATTTTCATATTATTTATTCATTTTTCCACTAGCTATTATTAACCGCGACTTGTATATAACAAGCGAACGAAGTACAAACTTTTTCTTAATTAAAATGAACAAAATTTCTAAACATAAGAACTGTCTATATGATGTGGGTGTGCACTGTACAGGTATACGCTTATACAAGACGTCATGGTGGCCGAAACACCCGGTAAAGCTGACGACGGCAGTGCTGCGGCGGCTGCTCGCGCGGCTCACGTTGACTCGGCTGTATATAGACCACCCCTGGTCTGCGCTCAATGACCGAACGGCGCACGCCATCGGCAAGTTCTGTCCAGACCTCGAAGAGCTCAAAGTAAGCCGAGCAGTTCATGTACTCGTATATTGCGTAACCAGTTTTATACTCAACATATCAATCTAGTTTCGTCTTATAAATATAACCAGTTATAACCATTATAATATAACGTAACTAGTAGTGAAATTAATGAATGAATGCTTAATGAAATAGACATTATTATATTGTTTTAAATATTTAAATCATAATTTCATTAGCACTCAAGTATTGCTCAACATTAGTTTCATCTTAAAGTTATCTTAATGTATAAGAATTTCATTTCATCATGTTTGTTCGCGATCTAAACTACTATATCGTTTATCATGATTTTTTTATGTGTATATGTACTCCCTAGATCCGAGAATAGGTTGTTATACCCGTAAGTTATAAGTATTCAGCGCACTCCAAAAAATTTTTGGTTTTTTTTTATGAATTTAGGAATTAAAAAATACATACTAGCCTAAAGTTTCCCCTGGCTACTTGATGGTAGCCAGGGGAAAATTTAGGCTCCATTTTTTTAATAGCGATATTACTTACACTAATACTCATATTATTATTCACTTTTCAGATTGTAGGAATGCATACAAAAAATTGGAATCCACTGATTTACGGATGCAAAAATTTGAAATCAATTTCGTTCATATCATGTAATAAGGTATGTTTAATCAATTACATGGTTTGATTTATTTTTAGCGCTCTGAATTGTAAATGTATATTTTACTGTATTTTGTCCATATGCTTGACTCATTCGTCTGTCACACCACTATTTTATTTTATATAGGTTTATTTTTATATTATTTGTAACAATACAACAAGTCAAAATAATGTATAACTTTTTAAGTTAAAATTGGATATTACAATTAATTGATTAATTGATATTGCTTGCCAGCTTTCAGATTCCAGTTTGGTACATCTGGTGAAGGGGAATTCGAACATCGGAAGTTTGACTGTTGCCAACAACACACATGTGACCGGCCTCTTCCTCACCGGCGTGAACCCTTTAAACCTGACTTCTCTGTCGTTCTACAACTGTTACAGTCTACAAGGCACGCTGCTCACTGCTGCCATCGATTCCTTGCCAAATCTCACTGCACTAAAGATGGACGCATGTCCAGCAACCCTATGGAGTAAGGTGCCATGCATGCTCCTCAAGTTGCCGAAGCTAGAGAAATTGTCGTTGTGTGAATATGCCTCAGTAGACATGGGCTGGAACAATCAGCAAAGTAACCGTGACTTCTGTGACGCGATCGCGAAACTAGAACGAATAACAAGTTTAAACTTCAGCAGAAATATTTACATTACTAACGCGGTGTTGAAGCGAATCGCCCAGTCGTGCTCCGAACTAAAGTCGCTGGACGTCTCATGTTGTAATTCGAGGAAGGGTTCTCATCATACAGGTCAGTTATATGCGTTATTATTTATATCATAATTTCTACTTATTCCTATTTGCATGTCATCCACCATCTGCTACAATTGTATCCGTCTTCGTCGTCATTTTTTTATTTGTATATTGTTAATCGTATTCCATTTTTAAATTGTACAACGTCCACAAATACAAAGGTCGAAACCGCGGCCATAAGTGACCGGAGTACGTGGTGCGTTGCAGGGGTGGGCGACGAGGGCGTGGCCGCGGTGTGCGCGGGCTGTCCGGCGCTGGAGCGGCTCGACGTCTCCTACCTCACGCGGCTCACGGACCACGGGCTCGCCGCCGCCGCGCGCCTGCCGCGCCTCCGCGCCCTGCTCGCCTGCGGCCTGCCCGCGGTCTCCGCCGCGCCCCTCGCGCTCGCGCTCGCTGCCTGCCCGCGGCTCGAGGTACAGTGACCCCCGCCCCCGCCCCCCGCCCGCCGCGCCTCCGCGCCCTGCTCGCCTGCGGCCTGCCCGCGGTCTCCGCCGCGCCCCTCGCGCTCGCGCTCGCTGCCTGCCCGCGGCTCGAGGTACAGTGACCCCCGCCCCCGCCCCCCGCCCGCCGCGCCTCCGCGCCCTGCTCGCGGTCTCCGCCGCGCCCCTCGCGCTCGCGCTCGCTGCCGCGGCTCTCCCCCCGCCCCCGCCGCCCGCCGCGCCTCCGCCCCTCGCGCTCGCGCTCGCCGCGCCCCTGCGCTCGCGCTCGCCCGCGGCTCGAGGTACAGTGACCCCCGCCCGCCGCGCCTCCGCGCCGCGCCTCCCGCGCCCGCCGCTCGCGCTCGCGCTCGCCTGCCCGCGGCTCTCCCCCGCCGCCCCCCGCCCGCCGCGCTCGCGCTCGCTGCGGCCTGCCCGCGGCTCCGCCGCGCCCCTCGCGCTCGCGCTCGCTGCCTGCCCGCGGCTCGAGGTACAGTGACCCCCGCCCCCGCCCCCGCCCGCCGCGCCGCGCCTCCGCCTGCGCCCTGCTCGCCTGCCCGCGGCTCGAGGTACAGTGACCCCCGCCCCCGCCCCCGCCCACCGCGCCTCCGCCGCGCCCGGCCTCGCGCTCGCGCTCGCGCTCGCGCTCGCTGCCCGCGGCTGGAGGTACAGTGACAACACAATTCGTCATTATTGATTTATCGCCGTACTATATTATTTTTATTTCTATTTCAGGAAGTTGATGTTTGCGGTTGTGACAATGTATCAGAAAATATAATCGAAGCTGCCTTGAAAGCGGTGGAAAATAACCCGCGGCGTTTGGTATTAAGAGTGGCTAGTACCGCTATACTGGAACTGCCAGTAAGTATTATAAAACAATTCATTAATAAAAAAAAGCCTAAAATCCTTTATTCAAAAAAACTTAATAAGAGCAATTTTGAATAGTCATAGTTATTTTATATTAATCTACCGTTCATTCATAACCGAGTTGCTCTTTTATATAATCGTTGTAATTTTACATTTTTTAATTGAAATGTACAAAATGAATACTAACTACCAACTAGCGCTAATTTATTAGAATTAATTTCATGCCCTAAATGTAGTTTTTATAATTACGAGTTCTATCTTGAAATTAAACGCAAATATTCGCAATATAGCATTGCTCACTTATTATCTTACGTACTTACGACTCCAAGACATTCCTGTATACTCCGTTTTCATATGGAGCTATCCATAAATTATGACATAAGTTAATGTTGGGGTCGACAAAGTGTGACATTGTGTGTCCCTTGTCACACAATGTCACACTGTGTGTCTTTATGTGATATTTCAAAATCTAATATATATCATCATTCATACACGATATTTGAACTATTAATGAAGATAGTTAACATTTAAAATATGTGACGTCACATCGAGAAAATATTACGAAATTGAAGATTCCTAAGAATTGTCCCATACATTACCATTATTTATTTGTTTATTCAGGATACACCAGAACACAAATTGCTAATTGTCAACATAACAGATGATCATTGCAACCCTCACTTTAGGCCAGATTTCGTGGACCGCATATTAGACGACAGTTCCGATGATTCCCTTATAGATGAACTTTTTGACCACGACGCCTTCGACGATATTATTGACCAAGGTATGACATCATTAAATTGCTTTTTCGTGTCACAACTTCGTTATATATGATAGTGTCGGGGACGCTCTAGTGCAGTGTTTCCCAACGAGGGGTCCACGACCCACAGGAAGGCAATTCGAAAATGGACTCTTTAATAAATTCCCAAAAATTATTATTTAAGTTTCTTAAGTGAACATTTTTTTTAAAGCCTCAGGTATGACATGACACTAAAAAGGTAGGGAAACACTGCTCTAGAAATATCTTAGACTTTTCATCTATTTTCTGAGAATTAAGATGGTACATGATGGTACGTAGACTACTTTATAAAGTTGTATGCGCACCGTGATCTCATACTTTTTGTACGCTTTGTTCTAGTCTGATGGGTAGATTAATATGGTAGTAAAATTACAGGGAACGAAGGCATGACCTTAGTTCTTAGGAATGGCAATGCATTAGAGAGTATAGTATCATAGGTATTACATGATCTGATCTCAGTGCTGCCGTTATTTATGTATATAGGCGACGGTATTAGAGAAATAAGCTAGTCAGTGAAATGATCGTAAACAACCCTTACTAAGTAACAATTACTTTTTCTTTTTCTGTATATTGAGATTACAAACCTCAATAGATGCTTCATTGTTCAGATATTCTAGTTCATAATAACATTGTGTAATTTTCAGCTGATGATATTTTCCTCCAAGAAGACGACTATGATGACGATGATGATATGGATATGGAGGGGTTTTATTACGGGTTTCATTATTGTTAGCCAGCATATAAAAGCTATGGATGCTTCTCAAGTCCGTAGGCAATAATATCCGCAACGTTTGGTGATCCTCATAATGGCGGCCTTAGCAGAGCCACATACAACTCAATATCGCCCTACAATATATGTATATTTGTATTCTTTTAGTTATAACCTATTGTTATTTTCAGTTTTTACATTTTTAATAATGGAGGAGTAACCAGATTTCCTTAAAATTAATCATATTTGTCGATAATTTGATTTCTCCTTGATTATAAATAGTATATAAAAATTTAAACATTAGTTTAAATTCTCCGCTACTTTATACAATTGTTATTCGATTAACGAACACAAAATAAATAAAATAACTAACAGCTGTGATGTATACATAATTCGTTTTCCAGTAGTATTTTTATAGTCACTATTGCTATCCTACTTCTGTATGTATAAAATGTTTTATGTGTATTATTTATATATGAATGAATGCAAAAAAAATGTGATAGATTAATTAACAATACAAATTTGTTGTTCATGTATGGTTTGCTTTTGTATGTAACTTTATTAAATTGAATAGAAGTAGGTCCTAGGACTATCTTGACACAAAGGTATAGTTCAATAGTAAATTATTTGTTAATGTTGCCACTATATTTATAACTTATTTGCCGGTGCCTGTCTAATAATACCTATGTCGATATAGAGGTAAACATAGTTATTTTTAAAACGTGATATTCTATTATTATTATTAGTGATCAAAGTAATAATAGAATATTACGTAGTTGAAATACAATAGTGTACAATTTTTTATATTTACAATTAGATTTCAATTGGTGATATACAAACTGCGATAACACTGTAATAATATTTAAAACTGTTTAATATTAAAATAGTCCATAAAATTTACATTTTGAAACTAGTTTGAAGTTTCATGTATTCAATTTACACTACGAAACAAACAATTACTGTTATTAAACATTTGTCTTTTATAAAACTAGTAAATGTTATAATCAAATTGAGTTGAAATATATATATTCTAATAATGAGTTTTCACGAAAGTGATCTAAATTTACTAAGTAGTAACCTAGGAAATGACAGGTCACTATTGTAGAAAAGTGATGTCAGTACTAGATTGCACTTCCATCAGGTAGCCAATTCCAACATTTACTATATGCAATACTGTACATAGAACAAACCGATCCTCCAATTTCGTGATGTATATTATTTTTCCTAAGGAATACTCTAAGACTGACAATAAATATACTGTCTGAAGTATTGGCAATATATGTATAACAATATAAGTTGAACTAAGGACAATTCGTAAACAATTTTTTTTATAAGTAGACTACAGCGTAGTTTTTATACTAGACCGTTGCATAGATGATAAAAATATTTACAACTATTATGTTATTTCAATGAACCTTTTATAAATATTATGACCATGGTTAAAAATTTAAAACCTCAAATGTTAGACATATAGATACAGAGTTCGGAAACGGTATACTAAGCCGCAAGGATATGAAAGTACCCATGGTAACGAACAACTTTTGTTCTATAACTTTCCCTGAAACCAATAATTTGAAAAATGGGTTTAGTCTTTATATAAAAATACAATAGCAACAAAAGACAGTCTTAACCATTCTTACTTACCATAGCACTAATCAAGAAAGTCGACTGTTTTTGATTGAATACCAAAGAATAGGTTTGCCTATTCTTTGTAGTAAAAATACATGTGTTTATTTGTATGAACAAAAATTCCTTAGGAATAATACACGCAGGATCAATTAGTTATTAAGTAAAATGTTACAGTGCTAGCAGATTAGTATACACTTTCCGACTAATCCTGTATTATGTGCCTATATTTTTGTGGTGTATTGAATTCTAATAACTTCTTACAATAACTAAGAAGCTGTTTTAGATGGTAATAAACACTTTTATAATTGGTAAAGTCACCATATCATAATAATGGCTGATTAAATTTGATGTTGTTCAAGATAGATAATGAGGATATTTACAGTCTTATAATATTAACAATTAAATTTCGCTTAATTTGTTCGAACTTGGCATTGTTGTTAGCCACTTATTACTAGTTCCTAATGATAACTTAAATACAAAACATTGGCCTTATTTATATATTATGTGCTAATACATGCATTGTTGTTCAAAGTTGAAAGCAAGTAGCTCATTTATACATATTTGTAACAGCTAGTTCATTATTTATAGCAATATAGAATAGTTATGCTTGTGACTAATATTATTGTCACTATATTTACAAAATCATTTTGTTATACTGTGGTACAAGTGATCTAATTCACAATGTATGTGTTACTTGAACAAGTCAGTAGTAATGATGTTATTTGCATATTAGCGTTAGGTATATCAATTTACTGTTGCGCTACAGATTTTTTGTTGTTAATACAATATTATATTAACATTTGTAATGTGAAGACAAGATTTATTTATTCAGGTATATTAACGATATTGTTCATGGAGCTATTTAGATTAATTTTTTTATTTAGAATATTTTCAGGAGTTTTGTTATATTTGTCGAACTTTATTCATTATACATTCCTTTTTCAATGTAACGGTTTCTATTTTATTTTATTAAAGGATTTTATTTTAATTACACAGAAAGATCAATTGGTGTATTTTATAATAATAACTGTTTAATTTTTCGTAGTGGCGGGCATTTTTGTTTATTGAGAAGTTGTAACATAGATTTTACATGTACTGCAAATATGAATTCGGTTATTTTCGTATTGTTCCTGTCACTGTTAATTTTATTGTAACAAGCAATAATAATTTAGCAGCTTGCAGGTTTTATTGATTTTACTTATATTAAAATTGTGGGAATTTGTTTGTTTATCTTATTTTTTGCATTTGATTGTATTTTATTATATTGAAACGCCTTGAAACTTGTAAGCTGTTGAATATGAATCTCAATAACACAATTAATCATGCATCTGGAACGGCGTACTGCGTTTAGGTTATAATTATTTTAGCGTTTATTTGTGAGTAGAATATAATTTATTTCACTAATATTTTTCATTCAGGTTGTTTACATCATTATATTTTCTGCGCTCACTTATTTGTGTTTTTAGATTTCTTTTAAAATAATGCATGAGATGATTTGTGAAATGATCATAGTTTTTATATGTTCATTGTTTTAAAAATATTAATATGAAACTAAATACAAACATTGTCTTTAATTCTGGTCGTTTTTTTATACTTCACGTTATAGAATATATTGCGAAGACAACGAAGTTCTTGTTGATAGTTAGTAGTGCATTCACCTGTGTTAATGGTATGCAAATGGTACTCGTGGAGGCTGATGGGATAGACTAAAATCACCAGCCAGCCATCATTGCACTCATTAATTCCTCCACTCTTCTTTCTGGCATTGGATTTTACTACTATTAATAATAGTACTAATAACAACTCGGACAAAACAAAAAGTCCCAGACCCAGGCATGCAGCATGTGCAACATGTGGAACCAGACCACGAAATTAGGCACTCTTCAAACTATTATGATGCTGAGGGAGGGGATAGTTAGTAATATATATATATATATATAAATTAAATTTTGGAACCACCCAAGGGCACCAAATTTGTCAAGGTATACCATTATTATAGCTGGGGGTACAGTATACCATATTCATCTTTAAAGAAAACATGTTTATTTTTAGGTAACAGATAATCATAGTAAACATTACAAATTCTGTGGTCTACAGATTTAGATCGTAACATTATTGATAGTTGTGGGTTTGACTTATGATAGTCCAAGAGTGTTGTTTTAATGTTAGGTTTTTAAAAATAGTATGTCTGTCAGTTATATAGTAGAAGCTCTATTTAGTTTGTACCTAAATGATGTGTGACTTGTTCAGGATTAATTCTTCACTTAACTTCAGTGACTATCTTTCAAATAGTAGCTATTTGTTTAAATATATTTTTTACTATATAAGCAGTAATTCCAGAACTATACATGCACAATGGCCGAGATGAGAGGCTAAATGCAGAGAATGGAGTCCAATTTACATTTTACACTAAAATCATCACAAAATTTATAAAAATATGAAATCAACTTCAAGGTAGAAATGAAAAAAATATGTACAGTCAACAATTTATATATATTTTTACTACACTAAAATTAAACAACATTAATGTTTAACATCATAACTGGCCATTTTCATATATATATTCCACCAATTTCCCATAAGCCCCACATCTACTATTCTTGAAGGAAGGCTAAAGTAACTGGGCTTCAAATAAGAACAGTGAGCTTTATATAAGTCACAGGAACTGTTTAATTCCGAGGTATACATAATGGAGGCTATTCCAAAACTTTTATAATGAATTACACCTTCATTGTAACATGTATTCAGAAATTTTAAGTGGTTTATTGATGTGGGGTTCTGACAGTCTTCACTAACTAATGCCATTTCGTTTCCTATTATTCGTAATTTATCTTTAAAGTCAATTTCTGAAGGATTGTTTTTGGCTAATGCATATATACCAAACAGAGAGGTTGTCCAAATAAAAGCTTTTCTTGGATCATCTTGTATATCAGTACGTAAGTCCTGTATCATTTGCCGATAATCGATAAATAAGTTTTTCCAATAATCCGCCCATTTCTCTATTATGGTTCCTTTAAACTTCTCAGGGAATTTAATTTTTGATGCCTGTAAGGCTATGACATTAGGTACTTTCTTTAATTTCAGTAACATTTGTGCAGTGGTATGCATATGTATATTGGAAATAAATTAAAGAGATAGAAATCGGAACATTTCACAGATTTTGTTTAACTATGTAATGGTTAATTTCATGAAAAATAGAAATGAAATTATTTGAACTAGAACAAACTGTGACATTGACATAATCAAAGAACACGATATAGCAAATCTATGAAAAACTATCTGTAACGGGCAACGGGGTTGCTAACCTAAACAATTTAGCTAGCCACAGACAAAGCAGTTAAAAAATCTCGTACCTAAGTATAATAAGATTCCCTATTTTTGGACGACGGTGAGAGAATATAGCTCATTTGTTTTAATAGATAATGAAACAAACTTGCGTGTTGGCGTTAAGGGTGCCCTAAGTAATTTCTTATCTTTTTCTTTTAGTTATTTATTTGTTCTGTTTTTTAACATCTTGGACCCAGAATTTATAAATCTACGTATTATCTGACATATAAACGTTGTCGTTATCGAATAACAGATAAGGGTAGATTTCTCTTAGGACGTATCTTAGACTATGACAAACAACTATAATATATATGTCGGTCCAATGCTCGATATTGTGAAGATATGGATATGGAAATCATGTACTAAAATATTGGCGATATTATCTACGCGACAGAGTATCAGCAATATTTGATATATGCTTTGCAATATAAACTTTAGATACTGTTAACCAGTTAAGCTTTTCAAATTATTATCTTGTATGTGGATTTAATATAAATAATATACAATACAATACAGTGAATTTAAGGAAATAAAAATTATAAATTTAGATGCTCAATTTAATTTTATTGAAATCGGCAATTTATATTACATAATAATAATATCATTTTCAGATGTTCATGTATTTTGAGGGAATTTTATTTATCCTTTTTTAGTGGGCATATAACCGCCTCCTTTAGCTTCTCTTCTTTTTCGGGATAGACTGTCCATTTCAGGTGGTTTCATTTCAGGCATTTCTGGTGGCGGTGGGGGTGGAGGAAACTGTCGGGCTACCTGAAATAGAGAATCCAATATAATAATATTTTAAATTCGTACTTGCAAAAGTAACACTGTCTATCTGTCGACTGTCGATATGTGCGATTTCACACCAATAGTACTGAACCGAGTTAAATGAAATTTGATACTCTAGACCAAGAGAAAGGACATAGGCTTTTTAATCAACATCATCGCAGCCCGGAAGTCGTCCACTGCTGGACATAGGCCTCCCCCAAAGATCTCCAAGACGATCGGTCCTGCGCTGCTCGCATCCAATGCCTTTTCAATGTGAAATGTTAATTTAACATAAAAAATATGTCATACAAAATTAATAAAAATTTTAGCCTTAATAAAATAAAATAGGGGATGAAAGTTTGTAAGAAAATTCGTCATTTTTGAAGCTAGAAAGACGAAACCTTTTCCTAGGCTTTTTTGGGTTATTTAGATAATTAAATATTTTTATTTATTTGGTCTACTATTCCATGCGAATAAAGTCGCGGGTGCAGCTAGTACCTACATATTTATTTCAGATTATTATTCATAGTGTTAGTTACAATTTCTTAAATTTAATGTTAGTAATATAAGAAAACACATAAAACAACACTTTATATAGTATTATGATGACCCCGGAACCCATCAGTTTCTCCGGTGAGTATTTATTTCTCCATATGAAGAAATATTCACCGGCAATGCAGCAGTGATTACAAATAATGATCAAATTAGAATAGGCTGTACTTCCACAGGAAGTGTCCGAAAACATTTTTTATTGTAACGATAATTTATGCACTGCGATGAATAACCTCGAATATTTCAAGACGGACCGCGTGGATGTCTACCTAACTGGGAACATTACTAACAATGGGATCAATGGAAAGACCATTATTATCATTCTCCTCCTATTAGAGCTGCCATTGTACTGTCCGTTGCTAGTAATCCACTAGATATCTCCAATACACATGGAGAATAGCTATTACATAATTTTTTTTATAGTTGGTAAGTAGTTATGCAGACGCAAAACTCCGTCGTTTGTAAACACCTTACTTAGGTATTGGATGATACGGATGCTATAAAGATAACAAATACATATAATTGTATAAATATTTGTTGAAGTTTTTTTTAATAATACTACAGAAAAAACTAATAGGAGTAGCCTTTGTGCGTCTTTTTTAACTACATTTAATATTTATACTAGTAGTCCATATGTACCAAAATGAAAATATTATATATATTATACAGAAAATTCGATTTTTTTTACCTTGGACCATTCAGAGAGTCCCATTCATTTATTATGTAATATATTATTTTATCTGTGCATATAATGAAATATTTGCATCATACGAGGAATCTAACCCGCGACCATCAGAAGTAAGCCGACTTTGCTAAACCGCTAGACCACCGAGGCCAATACAATGTTCATGTCAACGAGGTTAACGACTTTCTTTCTCTAATATATAGTTGATAATTGTTAATTGAATATAATGAAAATAATGTATAATATTTATTTTATGACATTAATTGTCATTTTATACAACAATTTGCCGGGGTACTTACTCGCTTGAGAGGCCGATCATTGTAGTTATCTTCCAATTCTGATGAAAATGGCGCAGCTTGGATTTGTTGCAAGACCAATGCGACGGATACAGCAAAGACCATCAAACAAAACGTAAGTTTCATCTTGACTGACCACTACTGTATTACATACAGTGGGACTTCGCAAACATTCCTTTATATCATATAGGTTGCATGTTACAGTAGCAGCAGTACTTTAATAAACAATAGAACTGCTTCCTGTGTGATACATGCAACTGATAAGAACAAAAATGCATTAATGGCTATAACAATGACTGATAATGATATAACATTCCATAAAACAAATAAAAAGAGCTAAAAAAATATCTGAAACAAATTAAATCTGTAGAGAAGTCTCTGCTGTCTGTTTAGTTAGTTAATTACATTACATACATTATTATTACATTAAATACATTTTCATATATATTTACTATAGGATTTTCCAGTACACGTGTACCCATAGCGTATACCTGCTCATGTTCAGAAAAATCTCATTAAAACAGATATCTATGATTCTTTCTGCAATCAATAGAAGTACATTAATTCAATGTACCAATCGCCATATAAGAGTCCGTAAATAACAGATTACTTAGTACAAAAGTTCTTTGGACACATCGCCCGAAGGAATAGCCGTAACCAAGTACAGCTGCTATTGACGCACAGGGTGCATGACAGATACCTTAGAGCAAGTAACATTATACCCAAGTCTAACTAAAATCGTTACGGATATATAAGAAATTATGATCGAAAAGGAGGTGATACTGCGGGGTAGTTATGACTCTCCCAGACGTAGGAACAAAAACAAATTCAGGGGAAGAAGTCCCTTATAAATCTTTTTTGCGTTATAGTCAGCATACTTTTTATGGAACAAAATGCAGACATCTAATTTATTTATTTTTTGAACAAAATGCATAATATCTAATTTATTTGTCTTTCTTTTAGTGCATACAATAATATTAAAAGGTGGTTGGCGGAAGATAAGTCGTGGTGAATTCACCAGAAATGGAATAATAACATGGTACATTGCTACTATTAAAACTCTTTGTCTCCATAAATGACAATAAGGCCAGGGAATTGAACTATCGTCTTGGGGGTACACTGTCTGGTTTGGTGAGTAAAGTAACACACATACGAACAAACCTCTCTCCGGGAATTGAACTATCCAGTGCAACCAACAAAAATCTTTTCCACGCGTAAAAAAAGTTAGTTATACACATCGTCCAGTGTCTAACTCCAAACAACATAACATACCTTGACTGTTAAACCGCATGGGGTAGTCAGAGATCTTCGCTCATACTTTAACAAATGTATTTCATTTATATAAATATTTATTATTTATATTTAATGTTATTAAATATATATTATTATAATATATATTATTAAATATTTATATTTAATATTTTCATTTATATAGATAACACTTGTACTGCCCACATATATCATACACTGCTCAATACACGAGACAAACGCGGTCCCTTGGAATTTAAATTTAATCCTTTTTATAAGTAAAATTCTAAAATGTGTCACTTTGCAGTAGGGAAAGGGTCTCACTGCGACTACTCTTTCCTAGACTCAAAAAAGATTAATTGGTATACGTATATAATATTTATATTTATTGACAAATAATACAATCAGAAATACAAACAATTTTAAATAAATTTTAGGAAATTCGTTGAATTCTCATTCTAAATATTTTTTACCCAGGCATTTTTGTTTATATATATTGGCACACTGTGCGATGGGGACAGAATCCCTTATAGTCAGTTCTCAGAATATAATTTATTTCTTTAACAATGAGTACAGAGCATTATATTGTATTACTTTACTGGCTGTTCAAATTTTTTAATATAAAAAGAATGTACATTTGATTTTTAATGTCTCTCAAAAATTTGTACAAAATATGCCAAAGTTTTTCAATTTATTTATAGTGTATATTTTCTAAATTTTGTGTATTTCATTTATCTTAAAATATAGTAACAAAAAGTAACTTAATGACGTTGTAGTTTTTTTTTTATATTATGTAGTACGGATTTAATGATTCTGATGCTACTTTTCTGTCTGACGTAGACAGTCTCCGGGATTTGTGGTCTCACCTCACAGTTCAAATTCCGTATTTGGGAGTTTGGGACTCCACACCAATATCCTAGACATTTACGCACAGAGTACTTATTAGCACCCAGAGATTTGGATTCAAGCCCAGACTTATCCCAAGTCTCTGATTTATAAAGCAATCTTTTTTCATATTTTATTCAAATTACAATATATATTTCGAATATTCGTTTAAAAAGGAAATATAAGAAATGTCGACGCGTTGGTAAGTTACTATATATATATTTATATAAATTATGTTTCTAAAATAGTTTTTTTCTATGTAGAGTGTAAGTAAATACACTGTAGATGCGATAAATCACTAAATTAAACTGTGATTGTGTACTAGAATAATTCGCTTAGAAGAAATCAATGTCTAATATTAGTAAGTCTTTCTATGCAAGTTAATTTTATGTAAATAAGCCAATATCTTTAAACTTTGATAAACTTGCATCATATAATAATATCAGAGTATTAGGTTAGATTTATTGATTTAGTTTAAGTGCTTAAGTGCTAATTAATTATTTTCAGGTATCCTATATACCAAAGAGGTAATCCACAACTTAGGATATTTCTTCCTAACTTTTGGATGAAGTTGGTGCAACCCTCACCAAAGCAATTACCTAATATTGTGCATTTCCAGTGCTCAATGGAAATGACCAAATATGATATCAGGAATTATTTAGAAAAAATCTACAGCATCCCCATAATTAATGTGAGAACAAAGATTGCATTAGGTAAATTCCGTAAGGATGTAGGTAGAGGTTATGTCGTCAAAGACGATGATATAAAATATGCCTTTGTGACATTGGTAAGGATTTATGGAGATTTCCTAAAATTTATCAAAATACTTATTTTGTTATTATGTTTATTCTATTTTATTTGTATTGCAGCCCAAAGATACAAAATTTAAATTTCCTGATATTTTTGAAAAAGCTAAGGATACTGATGATGACCATTTGAAATCATTAGAAGAAGCAAAGAAATCCTTCAGAAATTATATAGATCGCAATAAGGATAGATCTGATGTTCCAAGCTGGTTTTCTATATAATCTAGATTTAAATGACTAAATGTGTAAAGATAAATGTATAAATAATTTAGTAGTTATTAAAATAATATTGTTATTTTATATGTTATTATATCATTTACCTGCTTAGTGTATGATATGTAGAGTGTGTGTTTTATGGATGTAGGAGAAACATTGTACTTCCGCAATATTAGTTTTTGAACTAATTTTATATTTCATAAATTACTTTAATAATAATAAACTATTGAATATCAAAGTTCAATAGGATTGCATTATAATGAAACAAACTGTATAGTTATAAATTTCTCTCATTCACAGACCACAGTTGACTTACAATTATTCTTTACTTATAAAGCATTTACTAAAATAAAGTAACATTGTTATTGTTACAATAGCATAGAATGATATGAACAAAAACAAAATAGTTTTTATCATAAAAACTAATGTTTTAGTCATGACTTATAAATATTGAAATCAATATCCATGAAAGTAGTAATTAACAAAACAAACAAAAACAATATATAAAATTTAAAATAATGAAACATTTTTAATCATTCAAATTAATATTTGAATGAAATAAAAATTAAGAAAACTGAAAATGTTAAATTTTGGAATTACTTTAAAAAGTACATAATCAAAATACTTATATTTTACACCTGTCCAGAGTATTCATCTAAAAACACAGAAGAGTGGCAGCGTGGGCATTCTGATATATCCAGTAAAAATGTAACCTAGAAAAAAGAATACAAATAAGTTTATAAAATATCTTAAAAAAAAATCCCAACTAAATGCAAGGCCATGATAGTTATGATATACAGCATATTACACAGATGTGCCAGAAAATATAAGTAACAAAAAGTTTAAGTAAAACAATGGAAACTATGTACTTGAGTGAATCCAAAATTTACATTATTTTACTTACTTTTTGAAAATAAATTTATACAAGTAAATATGTACTTGTGTAGTACATACTTACATGTATTATAAAAGTACATTACAATAACACAGAATAATATTTACAGTGTAATTTATGCAGAATTAGCCATTGATATATGTTGAAACAATATCTAAGAATTGAACATGATAAGGGCTTGAAATGAGACTAAAATAGTTAATGGTATACACTGGTGTAAAAAGTTATATCAGCAGAGAATAGTCAACACTGTCTACACTGCAAGGCTAGAACTTCAATGAATACAATTCACATAGGTGGGTATACTTCGCAGATCAACAAAAATAACAGAATCCTGTTATCACGAAATTAGATTTGGATCTCATTCTATGTCATAATTCATGTTATGATGATGGAGTCGAATCGTTACTTTGTTCCTATTTGCCCAGTTGGAAGATTACAAATGAAAAGGAGGAAGGATCATTTAAGTAGGTATCTAAATAAAGAATAAAATTACTTACTCTTGGATGCTGTTCGCATTTAAGGCGAATACGACCATTACAGTAGTATCCGCATGCTCGGCAAAACACTATTGTCTTTTCTCGGTTACATGAACATTTTTTGATATAGGCAACGGCAATTTTTGGTACTCCGCGTCCGACGCGCTTTTGAATTTTATAAATTTTGCCAGCAGCGGCAGCCACTACAGGAGTTGTGTTATTTTCCATTCTTAAAGTAGATAAAGTATTTAAATATAACAAATATTCCAAAAGTTTAAGGAATTCTAAGTCACGTTGTAGCTATGGTTTAAATTTGCAGAAATGCAAAATGTTCAAAAATGTACAGTTAGTGGGTAGGTAGGTAGGTACCCAGATTGCTAAATAAAAACGAACTCGTTCAGAAGAGTGCTCCTAAAGAGGAACAACACGAACTAGTTCGCAGAAGTATGGGTCTTAAGTTCGTTTGATAAAACGTCAAAAGAATAAATAAATTAAAAAATAGTAAAATGGGTGGAAGTTGACCAACCCTTTTCTCATTCGAGTGCAAAGCAGACGAACTAGAGAACTGCGAAAAAATACCATACTGCGACATGACTAATATCTTTAACAATGATCTGTGAATATTTTGTAATTCTTGTAGTTACTTATTTTATTTGTTGGTCAACAATATAAAAACACTAAAGGTATCGTATATTATTATTAAAAAGTGCCTAAATATATTTTAATACCGTAGTAAATCTCATCGGTATATTGGATATGCAGTGGTAGAACCCGGTTTTACATGGTAATGTTAACATCGTAACAAATTGTCAAACTGGCAGTTGAATTAAAAGATGGCGGTGGCTCTGTCACCCGATCAAGAATTGGTGAGTTATTCTTTATACAAAAAATATGGGAACTCTGCAATTGCGTTAATTATTAAAATTTAAATACCGGTGAATAGTAATGTATATATTATTATCCATTAAATGTTGACGAAAGTTATTAATTTTGAAAGTCGGTCACACTGACTTGCGTCGTTGACCATGTCATCAATGTTTGTTTTGATTTCTCAGTATCTATTCATTTCTTAGTAATTTCAGTATCAGTAAATTTATAAACTTTTATGTGTAATTCTTCTATAGATATTCGTTATTAAGAGTATCCTTAATTATTATTATAAATGGAAACAATATTGTTGTTTATATAAATTTTAAAGTGAAATTAAACCCGCACTATAATAGTGCGAGACCCGAGTGACCCGACGACATTATTGCCCACTTCCGCTTCCTATCCTGTTCTTTATGAATATACTTGGAACTATTCTAGATTCATATGTATTCTGGATTAATTAATTACCTATCTTACTAAAATACCTATGTTAAATCGATCATATTGGCTTGCCATTATCCTTTTTTTTGGGATCGGCGTAGTATGTTATATTCTTCCACAGCCATCACATTACACAGCTTACACTCCTTTTATACATATAATCTTTTACACAATCCAGCTTTCTTTTTTTGGTCATCATCTCCCTTTCTATCCATGCTCTTGTTAAATACTTTCTTTAAGACATGGCCCTCGCTCCTCTACATAACATACAGCCCACAAATAGATAATAGTAGCTGAGTCTCAGACCTACTGAACTGTATATAAATTTTCATAAAAATTGGTCAAGCCATTTCAGAGTGAGGTAACTAACATTGTGAGAAGAAATTTTATACATAAGATAAAACCAATAAATCATTTCAATCTAATCAACAATACAAAAATTTCTGTCAAAAGTCTCAGGCTGATTTAATAATAACATTGATGATGATATTTGTCCACTTTTGACTACTAATACATAAGTGTGGTGGAATACAATACAAATAAAGTGATATGGGGTGCTTCATCATCATATATTTGAGATTTGGAAGTGTAGAAGTGTGGAAGTGCATATATATAGTTTTTTTAAATCACACTGTGTTGACTACTTGACTGCATAGTAAGGTGCCTGGATGTATTTTTTCTTCACTTAAAAATGTAATAACGGTGATTTTAGTTTGGAACATAAACACAAACTATGCGGGTATAATGTGGGTCTATCTGGAAAGGAGGATATGTGTACAGGTATTTTATTGTCCACTGAAAAGAGCTACATAGTCCAGAGAGATGTGGTAACATAACAATGTAGTATTACACCACACTGCTCTCTGATGGTTTCCAAGGGGAACCGCGTGGAGGTCAACCTGACATGGTACATTGATAGCGATAAGATAATCAATCCACATTACTAACAATCCCCTTTCCCCCTAACAATGTAGTATTACACCACACTGCTCTCTGGGGCTCAGAAGGCCCATGATTACATGATATAGCTTATAATCATGTAATCATGCGGCACCTATGGGACTAGTTAAGAGGGAACTGTAAAAGCAGTAATATTAGCCCTAGCTTTCAAACATAGACACTATAACTAATGCTAGACTGCATTGCTGTCATCTAAGAACATATTATCATATAATTGAGATATAAATAAATGTAGTTTCAAGCCATCCACATTTAGTGTGATTTTACTTGCCTGTGAGTTGGTAAGTCTATTTATCTGCTCTACTGTGTATTTACCTACTGATGTAGACAGTGCAAAAGATTGAAATTACATTATGAGTAATTCCATAGAAATTATAAACATCAATATCAATATTGTATATAATTTTGCAATATTCTTTAAAGTAATAATATAATGACGACAAATCAGTGGCAACGGAAATCAAACATTATAAATCAGTAAATTTAAGTGACAGTGACAGAGAGAGGCTTAAGCCGGACGTCCAGCTTCACTCGCGTGATGGAGGACCCTCCACAGTCGGTACCTTAGACTATATACACTGATGCTATGAATCTAGTCCGTGTTGTTTTTATTTTACTCAATTTGATTGGATTTGGAAAAGAAAAACAAGGAAGCCAAAATTAGTCTGTTTTATAATAAATGTTCAAAATAATTTCTCTACTCAACGACTATGATAGATATTCTTTACATAGATGTAAATTTATAATAGTGCTACAACAATAGTAAAATGAAAGAATATAATGGGTATAAAAAATAGTAATAAAATAAATTCGCGCACACAAATTGAATTTCGATGATGTATTTTTTAATACAGACAATACAGACGGTGACATATAGTCACATTCGTCAGTACTATTATTCTGCCTGAACCACAGTCTAGTTCTTTTGCGTTGGAATCACTTTACAATTACTATTGGGTTACATCGGCGTAGCTATTTAGTGTAGGAAGGTGTCAAGTTTTCTTCGTTACCGAAATGTGACGTTCATGCTTGCTGGCAGTTAAGACAATGTGATTGTTAGAGCATGTTTTTTGTATTGTACTCTAATATTCCCTAGAATTGGGTGCCTTTGTTTAATATTATTTGCCGTCCTCATTTTGAAGTGAAAAGACAAAGACGGGATAGTTAGTATAAGTTTTTAAGTGATACACGATTGAAAATTTATCAGTTTCATGTTTTAATTATATTTGGTACTGCTACTATAGCTGTACTCGCGACTCCGTCCGCGTGGAATTTAACTTTACTGTTCTAAAATAAAAGTAGCCTAAGTCCCATCAAAATCGGTCCAGCCATTTCAGAGATTAGCCGGAACAAACAGACAGACAAAAATGTAAAAAATGATATTTTTGTGTTTGTACCCTATTTATATTCATATGCATGTAGTAAAAAACGGTTATTTTGATATTACTACTAAACTTACTACTATTATAAACAGACACTCCAATTTTATTTGGTGGTCCCCTTGATACCCACCTCTTTCTGAGAGAATAGACATATGAAAAGGACTGTTGATATAAGTATGTTGGTCATACTTTGGTCAGAATCAGAAGAGTGAATCATAGGTGCGGCCTGATCTCTACTTTGTATGTATTACGAATTTTGTAAGGTCTTTGTTAATTGCATAGTCATGGATGGTTGCGCACAACTGGTAGACCGGTACTTCTATACTACATATAATAAAGAGGACTTTTTTTTCATATATGTGTATTTATTTTGAAATACTTATATTAAATTGTGATTATATTACAAAATTATGTGTTTTTTGTCTCAACGCTTAACTAAGTACCTTAGGAAGTCTCGTTGATTGTCAATGAACGCGGTTTCCCTTAGAAACAATTATGGTTAATCGCTACGCATTAAATGACGAGATATCTTTCACATCTATTCAAGGAAGCTTAGGTGGTCTCACGAAATATCCTACCTACTTATATCCGTGCAGAAGGGGAACTATTCCCTTCCGATCGATCCTCTATTCCATTCAAAGAATACTAAAAACTAAAAAGTTTCGAACCCATAGAGGTGCCGACAGACTAAAGTCGTATTCGTCAGGTAGGACTGCTATCTGCCGTCCCATAAGTTCTACGGGTTTGAAGCGCCCTCAGTCCCTATTTTTGTCCGCTTAAGTGTAAAGGCAAGTTACGGCCAACAGGAATAGAATAGTTCGCAAAAACGGGATGATTCCATTATCGTCACCATGGAAATATCTTATCGTATACATGGTATTTGGGATAAATATTTGTGTTTATATTATTCAAACAGTTCGTATTGGTGATGTAGGCGAAGTTGTGAGTAAAAACTGATGATTATAATATACAATCGTATCACGGCACCGCACCCAAACGCCACGTGAACATAGAGTAGGATTTCACCCACGCCTCCAGCCACCGCCCAACCTAGTCACCGCCACAACAGCCAACGTGTCGCGCGGGGGCGTGTAACATGCAATAGGCATTTGTGATAGAGTTGCGAACTCAATATATGTATGTAGGTATTTATGGCTATGTTATCTACATTCACGCCGAACCTCGTATGTAAATAGGCGAAAAGAACCTCCTGTTTAATCCACTTTCTTAACTCCGTCCACATACACTCCGGTTCTTAGCACTTGACTCTACAACAAAAATTTATTAAATTAAATGTAATATTACAGATCTTTAACAATAACACTATCTGATACTAGGTCATTCGAGCATTTCGCATATTCGAGCTCAGCTACTATTTTTTATTAATTTAGCAGAATGTGGTTTGAGTCATAAATATCATATCTTATTATTAAGTTATGTAATATATTATTTTAAGTTTGACAAACCTTAAAATAATATATAACAATAATAACAATAAATTTTGTATAGTTTTTGTTTTAATTGCGATTGTTTTAAAGTAATAAATTTAAACTGTTGCATATTTATTGTTACGGTACTGAAAATATATATGTATAGAAGATTTTTGAAATGAAAATGGTCGTGCCAAACGAAATAATTGATTGGATTTCATATGGATTTTTTCCGGCTGTATATAAACCTACAATCTGTTTTCCGCTTAACATTAGGTTACTGAAAATCCTGTTCTATCACTTTGTACCAATGGTATTAAAGGGTATTGTTAAGCGTGATGAATTGGTATTAATTATGTCTGTTCATCGCATTATTTCACAGTTGTGGTTCGATGACGAAATCGCGCGTTCGTGCCGCCACGACCCACGAACCTTCGAGTGGTTTATTTACATTTCGGTCAAATAATAATTTCTCTTACATAAATAATCGCAACAATTTGAACACTTGTTATTAAATTTTGTGAGCATTTGTGGATTAAATTTTATAGTCAATCTTATAGATATCGAGGTTTTCATTCTCACATCGTTAATCTGATTGATATTATTTGATTTTTTGTTAGTGCCTTCACGTAACGCGTGGTTTTATAAGGCACCCCGTGGATTAGTTTATTAACCATAAAGGAATTTAAGAATATATACCGCAATACAAACCTACCTAAGAATTACGTTTTACAACAAATTGCAACCGACAACGACAGTAAACCGCAGCGAAACGCAGTGCGTCGTTTCAGCTACCTCTCTACAAATTAAAAAATCATTTATATTATGATATTCTATTAGCTTATGAAACTGATTTTTTTGTATTAATATTTTCCCAACGCTCTAGTTCTGTATATGGATTCAATTCAGAAGAGCTACTCATCCTGGTCAACCACTGAGATTATCAAAATTTTAACCGCGGATCTAGACATATTCTTAAGTATATTATAGAATGACGTAATCATATAACGCACTTAGTTTGTGTGACGGGCTCGTGTTGGCCTATAATAATATGCAGGGACCCGCACACCCGCAGGAAACACATCCCGGAAGAATTAAGCCGCAGTCTCCCGTCAGCTTATTTGCATCCATATACATATGCAACGTCCAAACCCCGCCAGTTTGGAACGTGCCACTCAAGCGCCTTTTCCAGTAGTCGCTGTACCGTGTCATTATTAATAACAGGTGTCGGTGCGCTTGTTTTCTCCTAGTTGTGACAATAATCACAATGGCCGAAGTCACGACTTCGACACGCGCTGAATAATTTGAAGATGCAAAACTATAGTACTTGTAAATGAATAACATTTACGAGCTCGAGTTGAAGTTCATGTAATCGGAATAGTGACTATATTGTGAAATCTAGTATTTCGTATTTGTGCAGTTATATTTACGCAGGAAAATAAGCGACCATTCCGCTCGCCATGGATATAGCGTTTCGCAGGAGATTTTTAAAATTTTTGAGGGTGGGTACTGATTATATTTAAAACTAGCTGTGCCCGCGGTTTCACCCGCGTTAAATTTTAATTCAATATTAAATATAGTGTATATACTATGTGTTATTCTGATGCATAAGCTATATTACTGTAAAGTTTCATAAATCCGTACAGTAGTGATTGCGTGAAAGTGAAAAGATTTTTTTCAAACATAATGCTCATACACAAGTATTCATGGAGCAGGCTTGGTAATAGCGCCGAAAGGGGACCACAAAAATGTTACAATAAAATAATTCAACCTCATTGTATTAATTTTCGTTTGATATAACTTGCTGTGATTATGGATCCCGAACAACATGTTCCTCATAAAAAGTTTGTTTGTGCCTGCCATAATATTACAACAATACGTCTGTTAAAATTTTATTTATTTATTATTATCGCAAATTTAGTAAGTTAAACTTAATAAGTACTAAGTTAGTAATCAGTAATTAAATTCGTGATCTAACATTTTAATTAATTACTCTACGGACTCGGATGTTAATATTTTGTTTGTCAAATACTGATAATGCTGATTAAAATTCACTAAACAACAGAACAGACCAGGAAAAACAATTAATAATAACATGTGCGATTCAAAAATAAATTCATATCTAAATAATAATAACAATTTGTCATAAAACAATGGTTATGTTGATAAATATTTTTATACATATATTACACTCTGGTTTTATACAAGGGATAAAATATCCTGTTCATTCTAAATATGGATATTGTTGTATCCTATTATGTTAACAAAGAAATTACATGTTAGGTGTAGGATGCGACCATTAGCATTAGCAGAGATCAGAGGGAGATGACAATTACGGATACTGGATACGAATAATGGATAGCTTGTTCACATGCCTAAATCAGTAAATGTATTAAGTCAAATTATTTAAACTTCTATATTCATAGAATGTCACACACCAGTATGTAATTTTTAACAAACAACACTACACGGTTACTTGTGGTACACACATTCCTTTCTTTCGGTGACGGTTTTTTGCTGTGTGTAATAATTACTATATGTATCACGTAATTATTTATCTATCACTTTACAAAAACTTTATAATTGGCAGCCAAAGAACCGGGTCAAACAGTTTCTATTTATGTCCAAAAAATACGATGTACACAATTACATATTATTGAGAGAAATAGAGGCTAAATAACCTAAGGGTACATCCATTAGCTTTTTTTTCCTCTGTATCTCATTCGCCTTATTAGCGATATAGTATAACGCTCTCAAGAGGCATCAATAGACACGATGCTTCGAGCAAAAAGAAATATAAAGATGTTCTATAAATTAAAAATACCTAGACCAATAATGCTACGGTCTTGATTGATCATAAAATTGCGAATATCCGCATAATGTTTTTCAAATTAAAGCCGAAAATGTGCTTTATTGTGGGTGAGCGTAGATCACAAAATATGTTATCTAATCAGCACATCGCAACGATAAATATCCGATGTGTGGGATCAATTCCCGATACAAAATGATCTATTTATACATTATTTTAAAAACATATAGAAAAATTTTGGTCATACGTCATGTCTGTCTCCTATTGCGCTAGTCAGAAACAATTGAAGGCAATTTTTTTACTTGTTCCATTAGTAATGATTACAAAAAACACTAATATTTTTTCACGGTTCTTATCAATAAACAACAAATAACAATATGTACTGTTCTTATATAGTTTTTATATTTTTGATATGTGCACGGGGAATACTAGAAACTGAATAGATCGTAGTAATTTTATTTTTGTAGATCGTAGTTTTGTTTGCAATAATTTACAGTCCGCTGAGATGAAAACATCGGAGATTCTTTATTTCGTAACTTGCAGTGCTTGCAGTTTCACACGCGAGATTCTGATGTATAAGCTATATTATTGTAAAGTTTTATTAAAATTCATACCTAAGTAGTTTTTGCGTGAAAGAGTAATAAACATAGGTACATCCTTTATAATGTTAATAAGATTAATATCTGAGATGACCTAATTCATAATATATTTGTTTGGTTCCAGGCGACGAAAGCGTTTTTGGACACGTTGAGCGAGGCGGGTGCTGCCTGTGTGTCTCGAGCGACAGCGATCAAGTTTCTACTCGCGCGCAAGTTCGATGTGGACCGTGCATTCGCTCTTTGGAGGCAACACGAGGCTACGAGACGCCGCGAGGGGCTCAGCAAGTTCGAGCCTTTCGAGGACCCCCTCAGGACAGAACTTGAAACTGGAAAATTTACTATATTGGTTAGTTTCCTATCAACCACAATTTTTTTTGAGAAGCCATGAATATGTCGTTATCACATGACAGTGGCTAATGATGGTAATGGTTGTACATTGGCGAGATACCACTTATGTACGAAATGATTATGTATTTAGGTCATTTAATCTTTTTCGATGTCATAATGAGTTGAATTTGCTAAGAATTTACTAAAATGGTTTTGTAAACGTAAAATATTCAGTATCAATAATATTAAATTGTAATCAAAAGTAGTTTCAGGGCGATTATAAAATACTGAGTCAATTAAAAAGAACTCTCAAAAAAAGATATAAAATTGGAAAAGTCACGAAGATTAATTCATATTTTTTGTATACTTGTATGATATTTACATGGAACATTAAGATTATATCGAGGTTGTTCCAACGGTTGTTTTGGCGTACCCATGGGGGCAACTTCCACAAAGAATCGGTAATACTATACGTATCACATATGTAATATGTATCTTAAACCGGTTACATATGGTCACACAAACCACGTCGTGAGCAGAATCTAGTAGGGTATTAGGGTACTGGTAGTAGTTATATTATTAAATATATACTATGTGCATTTTTGCAGCCTACACGAGATGCAACTGGAGCGGCTATTGCAGTGTTCACGGCCAACAAACATTTCCCCACACAGACTACACATCAAACGACGTTACAGGTGAATAAATGTTTAGTAATCGAGTCGATTTCATTAAATTAGTTACTTGTACGTACGTGACTATCGTAACACGCAACAAGTTGCATGATATCTCTTTATTTTATATGCACACAGATTGCACAAGGTTATAAATCATTTATTACATCCATCAGTTTGGTATTGGTTGTTGATATTCCTACATATGTATATACTATTGTAGCGCCGTGTTTATCACTTGACCACTGCGTTATAGCGTTATACTCACTACCTACATACTACAATAAACGGTATATAAGGTGTTGCTACATAATATACTGTTTATTATAGTATGTAGGTAATGAGTATACCGGTGAAATAATTCTACTATTTATTGTACATTAGTACAATAAGTAGTACATTCATTGGTAGTGTACTACATTGCTTATTAGTAACTCGTACATTCGACCTGGATTTCGGAGATTCGGAGAGGAGACTGACTTTACACTCAACTTAAATCTATGTTATCTGGAAAGGTAAACTAATGGAAGGGTCTCGAATGTTGACAGACAGAAATATTACAAGTGTAGGCACACTATTACTGTTGACCTTAAGTTATCCCAACTACAATTCTCTTTGTTTTTAATTTGTGAATACAGAATATGGAATGGTGCACCCACTAACCTTAACGGGATACTAGTGGAGAATGATAGGACGTGGATGAAGTCCGGTCAGTTAGCCCTTGTGGCGAATTTACCAGAAATTAACAATTATTCTTTCTAGAGGGAATCACATGGAGGTTGGCCTTATTGGGTACATTACTAGAAATGTCCTTAAAATGAGTTTACTCATTAAACCGTTTAATACTAATGTTTTATATATAATAAACAAAGAAATACCTATATAATCTAATAGAAAAGTTTTTAAGACTACTGCTACAACGTAATATATATATTTTATATAAATTATTTGTTATTTGACAAAGTTAGTACCTGCATCTTTGTCTGCATGGAATAGTGTCGTTGATGAGCATTTTTAATTATTATATTACAATGTCATATTTATATATTAAACAAAAGCCTAAAAAAAGGTTTTAAGTTTCTAGCTCTAAGAAAGATGATACTTCCATAAAATCTTTCATCTCCCCTCTCAACCTCTTACATCCTTTTTTACGCATTCAAAAGTAGTCTTCTTCCTATTATTCTATCCTATGCGCTATCTCAGAGTTTAGATTGTCTTTGTACCACATTTTATTTAAATCAGGTCACTTTGGCGTGAAAGTGCGTTAAAATATTTATTTATTCTTTTGCACACAAAAATGTACATGGCGGACTTAATGCCTGATGGCATTCTCTACTAGTTGACCGTCGCGCCGATCAGAGATAATAAAAAATATGTTTTGGATTAACAGGGCGTGGTGTATCAATTGGACGTGGCGCTCCAGTCGCTGGAGACGCAGCGAGCCGGTCTTGTCTTCATTTACGACATGACAGATTCAAAATATACGAACTTCGATTATGAGTTGTCACGTAAAATTCTCACCATGCTCAAGGTAAGTGCTGTGTAATTATTTATTGTATCCATAGCCTATATATATTTATTACGATTTATTTTATTTAAAAAACAACATTATGAATTTTATGATAGAAAATAATGGTTGGATATAATTAAATATATTGTCGGTACTCTATGGCTATAGTTAACATGTATTAACAACAAACCTTCTAAACTTTACATATGTTGTGTATACCTGCCTCCGCCTCTACAAAAACATATCTTGGAACACTTTCTGGACAATACTACTACAGTTCTTAGTAATTACACCAACACACTAATATTAGGTGACTTTAATTTAAGTAATATTGAATGGTCTGGAAAGCCCAATAGTCCTCTGCATGGCTCCTCCAAAAGCCACAGTCTGTTTTCGAATATGCTGTTGGACTTTATTTCATACAATAATTTAAATCAATATAATAATATTTTAAATCACAAAAATGGAATACTCGATCTTGTCTTAACTAATGTACCGGTGGAGAACGTATTAAAGTGTGCCTCACCATTAAGTATTATAGATCAATATCATCCACCTCTGGAATTTGCATTGTCATGTACATCAGGACCGAATTATTTAAGCGCTAACAATAGCATTAGATTAAAATTTCATAAAGCTAACTATGTGCAAATAATTGATCATTTACACAAAATATGTTGGACAGAGCAGCTGGCAGATTGTGACAATGTAGATCAGATGGTTGGGAGATTCTATGCGATTTTGAATTACACTATCCGGCAATATGTTCCCAAATATGCACCTAAATCACAAAAATATCCAATATGGTATAACAGTGTAATTATTCGACTTCTAAAAGAAAAAAATAAATACCGCTTATTATTTATAAAATATAAAAACCCACTAGATAGAATATCTTATCAGACTTTTAAAAGAACGATGTAATAGATATTCGAAATCGTGCTATAAAAACTATTTGTCTGGAATAGAATCGTCCATTAAAAATAATCCTAAATTATTTTGGTCCTTTTTAAAACAAAAACGTGATTCTAAAAGTTCATACCCATCCAAAATGTACTTTAATAATATTATTGCAAATAATGGTATTGATATTTGTAACTCGTTTGCCTCTAATTTTTCTTCTGTTTATAAACCTCAAAATGACAAAACAAATAATTACGACTCACCCCAGTACTTAGATCACAATAACAATTGCCTAAACTCCATTTCTTTTCTGAATTAGACCTGAAACGCGCACTAAAAAGACTTGATCACCGCAAAGGAGCCGGCAGTGATGGCATACCTTCATTGTTTGTCACAAAATGTGCAACAGTTTTAGCTTATCCCCTCTCCCTAATTTTCAATAAGTCTCTTGCAACCGGTATTTTCCCTGCAATATGGAAAGAAGCTCTAATCATTCCTATTTTCAAATCTGGTGATAAATCAGATATAAAAAATTATAGACCCATATCCATTTTACCTGTCTTTGGAAAGGTGTTTGAGTCCCTGATCGGCCCTATAATCTCCTGGCATGTAAAAAACGTCATTCTGCGTCAGCAACATGGGTTTATAAAGGCCCGTTCTACATTGACAAATCTGGCATGCTTTGTATCGGATGTAGTGAACGCTGTCGACTCTCGTGCATCTGCTGACGTCATCTATACTGATTTCAGCACGGCTTTCGACACCGTAAACCACGACATTCTGGTAAAAAAATTATCCGCTTATGGTTTTTCCGGAAATTTTCTTGATTGGTGTTCATCTTACCTCACCAATCGTAAATCTCGAGTAGTGGTAAATGGATTTACTTCAGAAGAGTATATAGCATCCTCAGGAGTCCCACAGGGATCCCACATCTCCCCTATCTTATTTAATCTCTTCATTAATGATGTCGCGGATTGTTTCACAAATTCACACATTTATTTATATGCTGATGACTTGAAAATTATGAAAATTATTAATAATTCATCTGACTGTGACGTACTACAAAAAGACTTAGACAGATTCTCCACATGGTGTATAAAGAACAAACTATCTTTGAATTTAAAAAAATGCAACTTTATTCATTTCTCACGTTCAAAAAAAAACTATTTTAATTCATACAAGTTATGTAACAGTACATTAACAGAGGCAGAAGTTGTACGAGATTTGGGAATTTACATTGATAATAGGCTACATTTCAACACTCATATTAATCATTTGGTAACTAAAAGCTTTAAATTGTTGGGTTTTATGTTGCGGAATTGTAAACAGTTCAAATTGGCGTCCACTAAAATCTCCATATTTAACGCGCTTATTAGATCTGGTCTAGAATACTGTTGTCAGGTATGGACCCCTTATTATATGGTACATAGAAATCGCATAGAATCCATACTTAAACGTTTTGTCTGGCACCTTTCTTATCATAGCGGAATGGCAAAGGAACTAAAATCATTTAATAAACGTTTGAAATATTTCAAACTAATGAGTCTCGAAGACAGGAGACAGTTGCTTGACGGTGCATTTTTCCATAAAATTATAAATGGTGTTCTTGATTGCCCTGCATTGCTAGAACAAATAACTATAAACGCACCCTATAAATTACCTCGCAGTAAAAAGTATTCCTTATTTGCAAAAAAGCGATTCAGAAGCAATTTGGGACACTTCTCCACCATTAATAGATTAGAAAATAACTATAATATTGTAGCGAGGAGTTCGGATATTGACGTGTTTTCTGGTTTCTCCAAGTTCAAGTCAACCACTCAAGAACACATATTGAGACAAAAGTCAAACCCGTTTCATTAACACAATTAAAATAAAAATTTAATATTTATACACATATAAATATATAAATATAATATAAATACATATATAAATATAGTATATATAAAAAACAAAAAAAATAATAATTAAAAAAAAAAATAAAAAAAAAATTAAAAAAAAAAAAATAATAATTGTATACATATATATATATATATATATATATATATAAACTTCTGTAACCAATATCGCGTGCCGTGGCAACCAGTAATTGTAACCTCATAATATAACACTATATACCTGTGTACAATAATTGTAACCTCATAGTGTATGTCTTGTTGGTAGCTCAAATAAATAAATAAATAAATAGTTTTACCTTATTTAGCAAACTAGATAATATAATGGCAGTTTGCTTATTGCTTAACAGTTTCCTTATTATTTTTTTACAATTATCTATTGTTATATGATACTATTTTATAAACTTATTATATGTTCATTTTCAGTATAATTGTTTCCACTTCCCCTGAAGTTTTCTTTAGAGCCAATCTCGAAAAATCGGGGACTAAATCAAATCTGGGCCATGATCCCATTCTGAGGACTATTTGAATCAATATTTTGTATATATACATATATTCATGGCCCAAATAATATAAATAATAATAAATAAATAATAGTACGGCTTTACTACCAAAATTTGTATGTTTTGCCAAAACAAAGAAGAAACGGCACTAACCAACCAGTAAAAGTAATATTTTTTATTTAAAACAAAAAATAATGAGGGGGATAAACATTAAACAAATCAAGTTTTTCCTAAATTATTTATATTCTTAGAGTTACACTCAGTATTTATTATCTTTCAAAATAAAGTGGCGTTTGGTGTTTGGTTAGGATTGATAAATCAGTGACTAAAAATGGTTAATATGTTGTATCAGGTTACCCAAGTTATGTAGTGTATGTCAAAATTATTGCCTATGCATTACCTTTATTACCTTTGGCACCCACTACTACTTTTAATATTATAATTTCGTTATATAATTTGTCATATATACATTGTTTACCTATATTTATGTTAGACAGTTACAATAATACTACGAACAAATCAATGCAGTCTGATTTTAATGTATTATTGTAATAATGACATTATAATACAAATTGAATTAGTGTAAATGCAATATGAAAAATCGATCGATTATTGGAATAGGGTTAATTGGATCATAACAGTACGAAACATTTTAGAAGAAAATCGATATCCATAGGTCCAATGTAATATATGAATATCTGAATACCTCCATCAACAACCCATACTAATGTATACATACATAATTTATATATTTATGTTTTTATTCTACGTCGATCGAAAAGCAAATAGGTAATAGGATATGTTATATGTAGTTGTGGTTTATTGTGTAAGCGTTTAAAATAACGTGTAATAGGTACTTTGCTTTTAAAAATATTTTTCTAAATAATATAATACGAGTATGTACTATTCAATACATTTGTGATTATTAAATAATTTGTGATTGCTGTCTTAATATATCATTAGTATTCCTGAAGAAAGTAAGTTCCTGTAAAATCGTGTTGTCTAAGAATAAAAATTAAATTGTACTCAATTCAAGTTGACTTAATAATTACATACACGTGGGAGATTCCTTGTAAATAAATCTAATAATGAACACGATATACCAATTTATTTTCTACTTGTTCCACTATTCGACAATAATTAAATCTATAGCAGGAAAATTCATTACTTGCCACAGCGATTTTCCTAGTAATGTATATTTATAACGTGTTTTCCGAACGTGAAATTGACACGGAAATACGTATACTTTAATGTTGAATAATCTCTATGCTTTTTTTTGAAATGGATGATTAGGAAATGGTGTTCCCGCCGCGCACGCGTAGATAAATAACTACGCCGGCAGGGCACAAGTGGAAGATAATAAAATGAACAGGAAGTCAGATCATCTAGCCCATAGTGACAAATACACTATGAATTTATTACTTATCTAAGGGAAACTGCGTGGAGATCAGACCGGTTCATCAGACCGGACATTTCTAGGGATGGAGTAATTAGTTCACAGTTTTTTAGCTTTGACCATTAAATGTTAATAAACATACAGTACCTATGTAAATATATAATTTTAACCTCGGGTAGCGTAAAATTATTTATTTACAGCATAACTGTGTGTGTGTAAGAGGAAAAAAGGTTGTAGTTGTTACAATGAATACAATTTTTCTATTTATTAAGACATCTTATTACAAAATCATACATATAATAACCAAAAACAACAAGTTACAATATT